ATAATATTCTCAAGAGCCATCCATGTTGTTGCACATGGCAGTATTTCATCTTTCCTTATGGCTGAGTAGTATTCCATAGTATATATGTACCACATCTTCTTTATCCAATACTCTATTGAAGGACACTTTAGTTGTCTCCATGTCTTGGGTACTGTGAATAATCCTGCAATGAACACAGTGATGCATATATCTTTGTGAATAAGTATTTGAGTTTTGGAGGGGTAGATACCCACAAGAGATCATATGGTAACTCTATTCTTAATTGTTTTAGGAATCACCACACTGTTTTCTATAGTGGTTGTGTCAGTTTTCACGCCCCCCACCAGTGAATGAGGCTTCTTTATAATACCGAGTGAAAACGTCCTGTCCTTTGTGGTGGACATGACCCTTGTGGATCCTGGTGTTACTAAACTTAGAACCCAGATATTGAATTGTTAAGATCTTAAGGACCTTAGGCAATATGGCTTTAGCTTTTGTTGAGTGTGAGGTGCCTGGGAGGCCTCTGAGTGGAGATGCTTAGGGAGCAGACTCTTAGACACTACAGTATCTCAGACTGTATATCCAATTTATTCTATTGGCTGGAGCTGAAAATATGACAACACAAATTCATCTCCAGAGAGAGATTTCACAGAGCATTTATAAACATCATTATTCCATTTTTTTTTTCCTTTCTCTGATCTCAGTAGCTGCTACATTTCTCACCAATATAACGAAAAGGGGTCAGAGAAAGGCTCTTGTCCAGTGACCTTGTGTCATATTTGCAGCTCCATGATTTGTAAAACATCCAACTCTGTTCAGTCTCCTCAAGATGGAGCAGTGGTGAATATCTGCATTCCTATGTAACATCCCCAAATCATGGCCATGGACAATCAAAAGCGATTAGTTGGGATGACATAAAGAACAAAGGAAGTCCATTTTCAATATCTTAATAGGAATGAAATAACAAATATGTTCATAACTGCAGGGCCTTCTTTGTCCTTATCCCAGAATCCATTGCTCTCCAATCTTGTGGTGGAATTGCTTTTCCTGGTGGCTTAGACTCACCTTCTGCAGGAAGATCTTCATAATAATCAGGTTGCCCCGATGAGGAGGAATACTTATCCACACATCCACCCGACCCTGGCTCATCCCCTTCCTCTGCCATTGCCAGAGGCTGGTTCTGATGCTGCTCCATATTCTTGGAATAAGTCTCCCAAGAACTGAGGCTGAAACTGAAAAGAAGAGGCTGCCAGGATTAGGAAGGGAGAGAGTATTTCTTCTCTTGAACTGTATCTCCTCAGGGTTTGGACCGTGTCTGTCCTAGCACTACCCCTAGTCTTGAATCTGCATAGAGTAGGTACCTTTATTAGTCTACTTAGACTGACATTAACAAAGTGCCACAAACCAGGTGGCTTAAACAAAAGAAATGTATTTTTTCACAGGTCTAGAGGCAAAAATTCCAAGATCAAGGTATGTCAGGGTTGGTTTCTGGTGAGGGTTTTCTTCCTGGACTACAGACAACTGCCTTCTTGGTTGTAGGTGTACAACCCTACACCTTTCAATGGCCTTTCCTTGGTGTAGGCGTAGAAGGAGAGAGCTCTCTGGTATCTCTCCCTTTCATATTTTAGGACGGTAGTCATATTGGTTAAGGCTGCACCCTTATGACCACACTTAACCTTTATTACCTTCTTATTGGCCCTATTTCCAAATACAGTCACGCTGGGGATTATGGCTTCAACATACAATTTTTAGGGGAACATAATTCAGATGAGATCGGGCGCATTCAGGGTGGTATGGCCGTAGCCAAGGGGGCATAATTCAATCCATAACAGTGCACCATACAGGTTAGTGGGATATATCAGTTGGTGACTAGTGAATATTTGATCAAGTGAATGAATGGTTTAGATATTGGTTTTTGGTCGTCAGCTGGAAGGAGGAGAGAAGAGACTTGAACAGAGAAGGAAGCTCCTCTCAGGCCCCTCAAAGCAGCCCTGAATCCAACAGGGTCCTGTGGCTTCAACTCGCAGGTCTCAGCAGTTCTCCTGTCTCATTTGCTGGAGGCCAGTAGGGTCGCGAAAGGGATTAATGAGGTCACAAATGTGGGTTTCATTCCACGTGGGTCAGTTAGCTTCATTTTGAGAAAGGCTATTCCATAGCCACAGCCAGGAGGCATTCGGTATTAGGAGCCAGACATAGACAATTTGGAATAGCTCAGACAAACAAATGCCAAGAACAGAAATAAGCTGATCTAGTCTTCCAACACCGAAATGCCACTATCAGATAAACAGCAAAATGGGAATGCCACACTGAGTCAGAATGCGTATATCCTATGCAATGGAAGTCCTCATTCTAAAAAAATTAAAGTGGAATATTTGGGTTTATCCCAGTCTTATAGCCTTTTAAAGCTAATCATTATATTGCTTAGAGAACAAAATAATTTTTTAATTTAGGAATAAAAAAAAGCACCAGAAGAAATGAAATTGCCCATAAAATTTCTTGACATCTTAATAGAACTGTTTCCAGGCTTTCCTTTTTCATACTTGAATTGCATGTGTAGAGCTTTTCAATAGGTATATATATAAACATATATATATATATATGTATGTATGCATTTATAAAGAAGTTTTCAAGGTCTGTATAAGACTCCCAGAGGCTGTGTACTCCTATGTATCCTGTGGCTCTCTGATGTAGTTCACTTGATTTTAATCTGGAAAAGGGATCCTTTTGTTACCAGTACGCACACGGGGTAGCAGAAAAAACAACTTGCTTTATCTCACCGTTTACATATAGTACTGTAGGTTTCAACAGCTGGTATTGGCATATTCAAAAGAACACATAATTCAGCACATCTGCTCTTCTCCAGATAGCTAATCAGCTTGTCCCTTAATATAAATATTAGGGAATTCACACTTGGATAGCTGAAAAAATGAATTTTTCCCTTTTCTTTTCAGTCAATGAGATTTTGGTGATGAGACGAATAACGAAGTATAATAGTCGTCCCTCCAAAGGCTCTTTCCTCATTACTTCCTGTAACACGCTGCGTTTCGCGTCAAGGACTCTTCATGCGTGCTTTCGGCCAACCAGATACAGGGCTCTCATACCTTGTTACACTGTTAGTAATTTCACTCCTTATATGCAGAACTACCAAATGCCAATTTTCTAACAAATTGCATTTTCCAGTTAATATTGGCTTCAATTTTATAGTCTCTCTGGAGAAAAATAAATGTTGGCAGGAAGTTCACAAAAAAATGTGACGTTCTCCATGAGGGCTGTACTTCTCTTTCTTGCTTCACTTGTGCCTCTCTGTTCCACTTATGCTGGCCCTGGACTGTGACCGGGTCGACGTCTCCTGGGTGGAAATTTCGGGGCTAGAAAGTGAGTGTGTTAGGCTAGGCAAGGCATCAGGGAACTCATTTTTATTGAATGCTTCCTAGGATGCACTAAATACTGGATTAAGTGCTTTATGTACTTTATTATCTAATTCTAATCCTATGAGGCAGGAATTATGCTTTTAAAACAAGAAAACTGAGGGGAGGGGCAAGGGATGGGAATAATGCTGAGTATTGCTATGGTTCTGTGTGCTACATACAGTACATAGATTATTTTACTTCTTCTCCACAGTATCTTATGAGGTAGGGATTCTTGGGACATTTAACAAATGGCACAATGGGGTTCTCATGCAGGTTTTTATGCTTCCCAACCATGTATCTCTTTTCAGTTTACCATGAAGTCTACCAGCTATGGCAAATTGTTAACAGATTTTAAGATGTTAAAAAGGAGGAAACTAGATCGATTTCTTAAAGCAACTAAAATGCCTTTCAGTATGAAAACACTCTTAGGCAATTACAAAAACACAGTATAAACTTGTGCTTTTAATATATACCTTTCTTAATGAATTTTCCCCTGACTCTCAATCCCTTTAAAACCTACACCAGGCTTTTGAGATGCCTCTGTCTCCTTTACCCCACCTAAACTTTGAAGCCCCCAGCAGCTTCTCGTCACGCTTGCTCACACGCCACCAAATGCCTTTCTCCCTCCTGAAGAATGGTACTCAGTGTGCACGTGATAAAGTCCTGTGTGTGGGCCCAGGTGAGCAGACATTTCCCCTCACCCTGTCCCACACTCTCCTCTAAATGAGATTCGGGAAACTTCTCTTTTTTTATATTGAGACAGAACAAGACATTATATATCAGTATACATTAATTATTATCTCAGTATACATTAGAAGTGTAGTACAATGACTTGACAATTTGCTATACATGTGACATGATTACCATATCAAGTTAATGAACATATTTATTACCTCATTATTATTAGTAGTAGTATTTGATGAGAACACTTAAGATCTCTAGCAAATTTCAAGTATACAATACAGTGTTACTGTTGTCACCAGGCTATGTATTAGATCCTTATTCATTTTATGACTAAAAGTTTGTACCCTTTTTAAAAAAAGTTTTTTTTGTTTGTCCCCTCCAGCAACCATCATTCTCTTCTTTAGTTCTATGGGTTTGACTTTTTTTTTTTTAATTTTTAGATTCCACATGTAAGTGAGATCACACAGTAATTGTCTTTCTCTGTCTGGCTTATTGCACTTCGCATAATGCCCTCCAGGTTTATCTAGGTTGTTGCAAATGGCAGCATTTCCTTATTTTTAAAGGGTGAATAATTCTCTCTCTCTCTCTCTCTCTCTCTCTCTCTCTATATATATATATATATATACACACACCACAATTTTTTAAATCTATTTATCCATTGACAGGCACTTGGATTGTTTCCATAGCTTGGCTATTGTAAATGAGGAACAGATAAGTGCAGGTACTTCCTTAAGACACTGATTTTATTTCCTGGCTATCTACCCAGGAGTAAGATTGCTAGATCACAGGGTAGGTCTGATTTTAATTTTTTGAGGAATCTCCATGTTCTGTCATCCATAATGGCTGTACCAGTTTACAATCCCATCAACAGTGTTCAAGGGTTCCCTTTTCTCCACATTCTTGCCAACATTCTTTCTCTCTCAACAGGCTGGTCCATTCAGGGCCAGGGAAAGGATCGCCCCAGGCTGGTATGGATCTGTCCTTTGCAACACGAACGGGTACCAGGCAGGGGATTGAAACCCATCTCTTCAGGGCCGAAATCAGCAGGGACCTTTCCCACTGGACAAGGAGCATAGTACAGGGTTGCCACAACTCAGCTGAAGTGATTGCCGAAGTCACCACAGGTGAGTGCTGCAGGCCACCGGCGCCTGATGTCACCCTCATACAGGAGGAATGCACCTCTACTTCACCCAGGCCTGAGAGTAGTTTCCGTTACCAGCCTTTAGGGGCACTTAAAATTCCAGAGGTAAACTTAAATTTGTCTAAATTAAGGCACACCTTATGTTCTACTAACTTGGAGCCAAAGGGTTAGATTGTGAAAAGCTTAATCCCATCTTCATTCAAGAAAACTTAGTGAGCCCTGACCAGCGCGGCTCAGTGGGTTGAGCATTGTCCCGCAAAGCAAAGGGTCGCTGGTTTGATTCCCAGTCAAGGCACATGCCTGGGTTGTAGGCCAGGCCCCTGGTTGGGCGCATGCAAGGGGCAACTGACTGATGTTTCTCTCACACATTGATGTCTGTCTCCCTCTCTTTCTCCTTCCCCTCCCCTGTCTCTAAATAGATAAATAAAACCTTTAAAGAGAAAAGAAAACTTAATGATTTGGCAAGTCAGATGTGACTTCCTGGCCTATAATCCCAAGCGGTTTATTGGAGGCATAGACTTTGAGGCATAAACTAGCAGGGTGTTTATAAACAACGGGAATTGATTTCGAGTAATACTTTATCACAGAATAAACTCATTGCAAATATATTAGGAAGCTCACAGAGCTGATCAGAAAGATGGACCACCAGACTCTGAAAAAGAGCCAAAACTAGAGGGATCTAGGTGGGAGCAGGCAGAGCAAAGGGTTTATGGGAAGAGTCAACAGTCACTGCGCCCCTGGCATGAAAGGAGGGGCGGGCAGGATGGGGGGGAGGAATGAGTGTAATCTGCACCCTTGCAGTGCGCTAAGAAAGGGTGAGTTAGACTATGAGTGTAGAAGAAAAGCCCTTCCACACCATACTATTGATTGAGTGCTTGCCATATGCCAAGCATTTTATATAATGTCTCTTGGTGTGTCTCATACTGTAAGAAACAATCCTTTTGGGGTCCTGAAATCAACTAATTGAGATAAGACCAATCCTTTAAAAATGAAATAATTTGGAATAGAAATACCAGTAAATACTGTTTTGTGTTGTAGCATCATCCAGGACGTGTATATGTGTGTGTGTGTGTGTGTGTGTGTGTGTGTGTGTGTGTGTGTGTGAATGTATACATCAAAACACATTGCCTCATTTTATTGAGTAATCCTCATGATTCCCTTTTCAATGTAGTTTTACAAATTGAGAAGCAAATTCTTAAGTAACTTGCCCAACATCCCACAACTAATAAACAACAGAACTGACTTTAGCTCTATGTCATGTCTTTCCAAAGTCCATTCTTCATTCACTACATTGTCTACAGAGATGTGGAACTTCTCACTGCTTTGCCAGTATTCCAAAAACAATAGGTCTGTTCAGACTACTGTGATAAATAATTTTCATGCCACCCTCCAAACTGTACAGAAAGGTAGGTAGGTAGGTAGGTAGGTAGGTAGGTAGATAGAAGATACATAGATGATTGAAATAGACAGACAGACAGACAGTCTGATAGATATAAACAAACAAAACACAGGCTGTAAAATTTGGTACATTTGCTAAGGTGGACTCCATATTTAATCTAGGATGTTTCATCCGCCAGCACAAGATACAGTTACAGTGTCTATATGCTATTGTACCTGATTTTGAGCTCTAGGACAAGTTGCTTTTGATGCTGAGATCTAAGACCAGCTTCTTCCAGGTCTCCTGTGGTCACTTAGAAAGAGGGCATTATGTGACATAGTACGTAGTATCCTCAGCAACAGTCTTCCAGTAAACCCAACTCTGAGTGCTTTCAAGTTGCTTCTTATAACATTCTCAGTTCACCCTGTTTTACCATCTTCTGTTACCACTTCTTTCATTTTTCTCTGTCTTGGAAGAAGCAGTACAAGGTAATAATGACAAGTGAGTGCTTTAAAGTTAGATGTGCCTGGATTCAAATTCCAGCTCTATGTCTTTCTCAATATTTTACTGAAATCTCTTCACTTTTCATCCATAAAAAATAAAGGAAATAATAGTATCTACTCGATAGGGTGTCATCAAGAATTGAGAGAAATAATCCATGTAAAGCACCCAGTACTTGACATATAGTAGGTGCTCGCTAAGTATTATTCGTGGTTTTTCTTATAATTATTTCTCCATACCCCTTCTGTGCAATATGCTAGCCTCTGGTGATATGTGACTATTGAAATTTAAATCCATTAAAAGTAAATGAGTTCCTTAGTCACACTTGCCACATGTCATGTGCTCAACTGCCATTTGTGCCTAATGGCTACCATATTGGACAATGCAAACCTACAGCCTTTCCATTGCAGTGGAAAGCTCTGTTCTAGCAGACGATTTCCCACGTGACATCATGTGAACAGTGTTTCTGAACTTAAGCTGTGCTGAAAACAACAAAAACAAAGTTTTAAAATTTTACTCTCAAAACCCTCAGATTGCTGACTGCCACCCCCAGAGAATCTGATGCCACAGTTCTGCGTGGGGCCCGAGCGTTTGTATCTAGTTAGAAACCAGGTGGAGCTGATGCTGCTGGTCCACAGGCCTCTGTGAGCAGCACCGACACAGGGAGCAGCTTCCTCTGGCACTCAGGAGCCTTCTGAATGATGGGACACACATGAGCGCATAGTAGGGTTTCTCCACATTTCCTCCAGTCACGCAAATATGAAAAAACAGTTATTTTGTAGAATTTCTGCTGTATCTCCAAGGTATTCGATCTTTTTGAAATTATCCTGAAATGAATGAGTGCTCCCAAATATTCTCCAATATCATTGAAAACCTTTTTGGGGTGTCCCTGAATCTTTAATTGGATGTGCCTATTCTGCATGGCAAGAAAAACTGGAGTTTCTGAACCTGAGAGTTGGAAAAGGCCCAAGCCAGCTGAAAACTAAATTGAATGAAGGTTCATGTGTAATACCAGAGGAGTTCAGGCTCCTTGCAACAACTTCAGGAAAGTTCTTGGGAAAGAATAAAGATTGCCAAAGGGATTTGGTTTAGCTTACATTCCACAAATTTTGTAAAATCCTTCTCTCTCAATAAACTGAACTCTGTTTCAACAGAAAAACAATGAGGCTGTTGATAAGACCAGCCAAAGGAGAATAACAAAGAATCAGGTGGACTGAGCTAGCTGGGTGTTGGGAGAAAAGAAATTATGGAAATGACCAAAGGTGCCACCCACTTCCAAATTGAAAGATGCCTGCAGAGTTGGGGAACGGGGCTTAGGTTTTAATCAGAGCCTCAATTAACTTGATAATGCATTCAATTTGTCCTGTGTAGCTCGAGAACCTCTTCAGATAACCAATTTCATTATATGAAGGCCATGAATACCATTCGAAGTCAACTAGAATTAAAAATAATCACAACCGGTTAATTCAGAATATCCAGTGGCATAGCTTTAAAGTTCAAACATAGAAGAAAAAAAAAGAAACCCAAAGTTGCAGCCCCTTTGCCCACATATTCTGCAGGTTGTAGAAGTGAATATTGTCAAAAACAAGGACTCAAGATGAGAAGCCACAGCTGCGTCTATGCCACTGTCCTTGGGCATCCTTGGCCAGGAGGGGTGGCAGAGGTCTAGGGCCCTTTTCAGAGGATAACTAGACTTATCGAGGGGCTCAGCCCAGAAGGACCCAACGCCTATGAGAAAAGGCGCCTTTGGAAACAGCAGCCCTTGGTTACAAGTGGAAAGTTGCCTGCAGAGGAAGGGGTATATGTTCTAACTGGACGTTCAGTGAGAAGCCACCTGATTCTGTGAGCACATGCACACCCTGTTCCTCCTGCCACACTCCAGAGGCCTCTGCCGCCCCACTGCTGTATGCTTCTCAGAGAAGCCAAGGGCCTCTCCACACCCCGCAAATCCAGAGTCCCGGCGTGGGAGAAGACATATGGCACAGAGGGGAAAGAACGTGAATTTTGAAATCTATACCACCTGGGTTGTGACATGTTCTCCTGTCTAATCTTTGCTTTTTTCACCTGTAATATTCAGCTAAGGCCCTGCTACAGAAGCTTGAGGTAAAGTGACATTCAGTTTGCTTCATAATGTTGAGCTGAGCTAATGATGGTATAGAATGATCAATAATGCCCTTGCTCTGCTCTTCCCAAACTCCATCCCCAGCAAATAAAACGTCCTGGGCTGTCCCTAAAGAAGTTTCACATATTTATGGAGGCCTGGGCTGATGTGTTTGCCAGGGTCTGTTAAATGTGGTGTTCTGTGAAGCCCCCCCCAAAAAAAAAATCCAATTGGTACTTGTTAACCCTTTTCAGAACTCTCAAGTCAAGGGTTTTAAATATTCACGTCTTCCTAAATAAGACCTCGGATTCTGGTGGCCGTCCCTTCATCTCGCGCAGACACTCAAAGTGCTAGTCTCTTTCTCTAGATGAAGCACCACACGTGAAAGCCTAAGCTGATCGAAAGGTTCCAGTTTTGTCCCTTTGGCTCAGAAGGCACCATGCGGACAGCACCTGAGGTTCCTGGACGCCACAGTGGCCAGAGGAGGGACACGGCACTTCACGGACGGTGCCACGTCAGATGTCTGTCTGCTACAGCAGCTTTTCCAGGACCCATGGACGAGTCATCAGAATAATTTAAAAAGCACTCCTTTCTATTTATAAAATGAGCTTTGTTCAGCTTTCTTAAAACTAAAAATTAGGTTATTTTTGAATGACTCACTCCTGACTTCTTAGGTGTGTCACAGTTGTTAACTCTGATGATGTAATGGGGGCAATGCTTGCTTTCTCACCAGGTGGTAGACACAACTGTGTGTGTGTGTGTGTGTGTGTGTGTGTGTGTGTGTGTGTGTGTGTGGTGGGGGGTGATGATGATGTTGACTCAGAGGTCGCTTACTATAAATCAGACGTCAGTTTTTCCTGCCTTGAGACAGGTACACCTCTCTACCTGCGTGTTGTCAGATGGTCAGATCAGGGCTGGAGGCCAGATAAAATGCAGTAAATCCCAGCAAATGGAGTATCTTTCGGTTTATTTTCTTTAGTTTCACGGAGCAATTTAAATTACAAGATAAAAATCAAGGAATATATTTTCATGAACAATTACTTATTTTTAACTTTAGAAATTTGTGGCTGGCCCTTAGAAGATTACATGCCTGGGAAAATGGATTGACGTTCATTGTTTCTCTCCCTCCCTCTCCCCCTTCCCTCAGCTTGCACCTACAAAAACCAGGAGTGCCGTTTGACCATACATTATGACAATGGGTTTTCCATTACCACTGAACCACAGGAGGGTGCCTTTCCCAAGACAATCATACAGGCTCCATATGAAAAGTTGAAAATGTCTTCAGATGACGGAATCAGGATGCTGTATTTAGATTTTGGAGGCAAAGATGGAGAGATCGTAAGTGCACTTTTCTTTACAAAGTGTGATTTCCTGTATTTCTTTATGCAACACACCTAGAATGGCTCTCAAACATCATGCCACCTTGTATTTATTTAGCACTGGACTATTAACAAAGTACTTGCGGGTTCATGTCTTATTCGATCCTTGAAAAACAGTGATTGAATCCAACTCTCCCACAGTTCCTTATGTTAGTCTTGTTTTCCACTAGAATGCTACATGCGTATCTGAATCCAAGGGAAGAATCCATTACAAAGTCAGCATTATATTCTGCTCAAACAGGGTACCCACCAGCTTCAAAACGTACATTCATTTTTAAAAAGTGCCAAATGTCCGATCTAACTTTGTCCTTGTGCCAGGTGTGAGGAGGCAGGGTTGCGACCCATGTAGTCCCAGCCATCGGGGGAGGTCTCAGGAGCGGACAACACAGAGGTGGGAGGTGGGGGGCGCTGGGCACGGGCAGAGTCTGGGCAGAGTCCGGGCAGCGGCAGAGAGAAGGCCAGGCAAATGTCCAGAAGTTGGGGGAAATGTCAAATGTCCAACAAATTTAGCAAATTTGCCAGTGAAAGTAACATACTTTTCCTATCAATCCAAATAGCCCCTACATTTAAATGCATGACTTCCTGTGATCCTCCCTGCCTCCCATAATGAAAAAGCACGTTAGTTCAGTTCCAGTGAAGGGGGAGAATTGCACTTCCATTTCTCAGGAAGACATAGCATCTCATTTACATTGTGGAATGTACAACGTCAAAGACCTTCATTTTGTAAGAACTAGTCTCTGTTTAGGTCCTACCTAGTCACTGGATTAATCAACAAATATTTATTGACTTCCACATGATAACAGGGATGGGGATATATAAAATACAGAGAGGAATCTCAGTTTTTAAAGATCTAATAATTTCAATTCAGCTACTGGCCTCCTACAACCTATCCTTCCTCACCCCTATCTGTCTATAGCTATTTCATTGGTCATTCTCTGAAAACCGTTCAGGGTTACCTAGTAGGGGCTGACAGAAAGAAAGGGCCAGGACCACACTTAAAAGAGCAGAGGGGACTTTCTCCCCAGAGCTGCAGCACCACTGTTCTAGAACATGCCATAGTACTACCCCGACACAATACCAGATTTTTTTCCTGTGGAAGCTTGTGATAGGACTGACGCCCTGTGGCTGACAGCTGATCTGAACTCCCTTTCTGAGAACATTTTCCAACCAATCATTTTTCTAACTTTTAAAATGGATCCGCTGCATTTTATAGGATTTTTTGTTGTTGTTGTCATTTATTTGTATGTTTCACTCAGTGAAGTCAGCCCAAGGCACCAGTTTGGAAATAAATAAGTGATCTGAAAGTCCATTTTACTAAGAATGCTTCTAGTTCAGTTGCTATTCTGCCAATCACGCAACTGTACTTTTTCCTGGAAAAGTTGAAAAGAACAAGAAATGTTCTCCTGCTCTATCCTTGACTTGAAAATTCAAGGCTGTTATTGCCTCTGAGGAAAATCATTTATGTCTAAATGTCAGCCTTTTTCCTTGTAATTATAAGCTGACTTGGAAGACTTAGGAAGGACTGATTTTTTTGCTGATAAGCTCAAATTCACAGACCGCTCCCCAAAAGTATCTGGTGAAGCAACCCCAGGGAGCAGGCAGCAGGCAGGCCCAGTGTGGAAGAGGGAAGCAGAGAAGAACTGTGGGAATGCAATTGAGGGCCCAGAGACCCGTGTTCTCTGAGTCTGGAACTAATCACCAACTGTCTTGGGCAAGTCCTTTTATTTCTTTGGATCCAAGTGTCCCCATCCATAACATATAGGGACTGAAGGAGGTCATCTTTGAGGTGACTTCCAGAAGTTGCATTCTGTTTGGTGAAGTAGGATACTGTGGTTAAGCTCTGACTCTGGCATCAGGGAGCCTGGTGTTTGAGACCATGGTGTCTCTGTACTGTAACATCTCTGATCTCAGGAAGGTTTATAACTACGCCAAATCGTTTCCCATGGAAGTCAGAGATCATAACCACAGCTACCTTGTAGGGGTTTTGTGAAAATGAAATAAGAGAGCATATAGAAAATATAGCACAGTGCCTGTTTTCATAACATGTAAAACCTTAACTTTCCTAGATACACGTTCAGGTTATTATTTTCCTGAAGTGCCATCATCTGCAGAGAATTGGGGACAGCAGATAAGAACTGGGGACAGTTCCGCCCGTTCTCCTGAACTGGGTCGGGTGATAAAAATTCCACCCAACCCCTATGCTCTGACCTTACGTCGGCTCCGTAGGAACATGAGGAGGAGGGTGAGGCTTTAGAAGGGGCCTTAACAGACATGTAAGGCACTTGCCTGCAACAATCCAAGAGGACAGGACAGATGATACTAAGGACACAGCTGCCTAGCAGTATTGGTTCCATGTTTGCAATGTATAAAGAATTTTCACATACAGTATCTCATTGAATACTCTAATGACCCTGTGAGTTAGGTAGCACTGAGAAAAACTTTACGTGACTCGTCCAAAATTCTACACTGAAAAGGGTTAGAGCCAGGATCAAACCAAATCTTCACATGTGAAATTTAGTGCTGCTTCATGCTGTGCCAAATCCAACATAAACATCATCACTATCGTGATACCAAAAATAAGACGGTCAAGAAGGATAACGTCAGTATTTTACAGAACCAATTTCAGGAAAAAAGATATGTGAGACAGAAAGAATAAGTTCAAAGAGTTATTTTTTAATCTCCTTGAAGGACAAGGATTTAAAAACATTAATTGCCCCAGTTAACTTTTAAAAGCAGGAAGTGCACAGATCCGTTTGATGTGTAAATCGCTATTCTGTACCAAGCGTTCATTTGAAAAATCCCTCATGCTCACTTCTTTTCAAATTTCAGCCACTGGACCTTCATTCCTGCCCCAAGCCAATTGTTTTCATCATTCATTCCTTCCTGTCAGCTAAAATTACAAGACTGGGCTTGGTGGCCTGAACACAGGGGCAACTTGCCTTTTGAGAGGAGGTCTGCGAGGCCCCTGGATGTGTGCCATCAGATGCCGCGTGCCACAGTCAGCTTTACATCCTGAGAGTCCTGCATAATTGTCCCAGACTCCTCTTGTCAGTTTCACCAACTGCAAGGGGGTAGCCTGAGAAAATACCACCAGGAACGTCAGAGTAAAACTCAATGGGTAAACAGGAGAGGACGATTGGAAATACACAGCATAGCTTTCGACAATCAAGGACAAGAACAGTAGAACAGCATGTACAGATCTTAATCATACCAGTTTCTAGGCAACTGGTTCACCCAGGTAAGTAAGGGCTGAATAGCAAGATGAGAAATGGACACTTGCTCCTCTCTCCTCCTGAGTAACGACCCCTTGTTTAGTGTGATTTATTTCCTACTTCTGAGTTGACTTTCCCTGGTAAGGAGAGACAAGTACTTTAAATGGAAACCCACCTTTTATTTAAGTATGAAACAGCTGTTACTTTTTCTTAAGGAATTATCTTTTAGTGATACAGAAAGATTCTGAAGTACTCTCATTAGCATATGCTGAGCAGGAATTGAATAAAGCCTCAGATACTGATCTGAGATATAAGCTGGTGGAATCTGAGCCAAAGTGGACTGCTTAAATTGCGTAGCTTCACTGAGGAGTGGTGTGCATGAAGGATGCTTAATTCGGGGCTGTACTCACACCAAGGTCCGCTGTGGGGGAGACTGATAGCTTTATTTATAGAAAGCAAATTATGGATATTTTTTAAAAAGATTGTCATTTGATATATGTATACAACTTGCGTGGGGTTAACTAATTATCCCCATTTTCTGGTTTCCAGTGGAAGCACTGAGCAATTTATTGACCCTTGTTTCTGCCTGTGCTTGTATGCATGCATTTTCGAACCAGTAATAGAGCAACGTCATATAATTGTGGATGATACCGGGTTTTAGATGTAGACCCAGCATTATAATCAAATCTACTGGCAGCATCCGCAGTCTTTCAGAATTCCAGGGAAAGAATATAATGACCTGATATTTTTCTACAAGAATATTTTCAGACATACCATAGCGTATTAGTGATTTAATGCTTTTACCTTTCAAAACAAATTCATTAAAAATACACCTAATATTTGACTTCAGAGTCACTTTCAACAAACCTTGAAAATTAGCTCTAGAATTTCTATAAGCATTTGTAACCCTTCTTTCCCCATACAGTTTACATAGACAAATATTTTGGGTTAGATTTATGTATTTTTTTTCAGAATCGTATTTTGGCAAATACCTATGCAAGAGCTTTAAAAAAGTGGAAACTGTGTTAAAGGAATGGGATTTTGCTCACTCAGACATAAGTGTTTATTGAGTTGCAAAGTTTTATTTTAGATCAGCATTTCCCAAAGTATGTATCATGTAACACTAGTCACAAGGGGCATTGAGTGGTGTCTTTTGGGGATGGAAATAAGAGGTTGGTAATCAAAAATGTTTGTTAAATACCAGGTTAAGAAAAGTTAAACACATTTCACAATTGCAGGCCTCCCTGGAGAATTTACTGTATATTGTGATTCTTCAAGGGGGGATCCATGTGCCATTCCTACATCTACCAATAGAACGCCTTTCTAACAGAGCATCCTGTGAGGCTAGTGTTAAAAAAAACACACACAACTTTGGAAAACACAGTTTTAGGTCACTGATTTTTTTGTTTGTTTCCTATTTTAAAATACTGAAGAGTGAAGTCCCAGGCTGACTATTGTAATGAAAGCTTTGATGCATTTGTAAATTATACTGCTCTCTTTCATTATATATTTTCAGAATCACTGGAATGTTCTTATACAGAAGAATTATACTTGTGATTGTAAATAACATATTAAAATACATATATTAATGCCAATAGTTGAATTCAACAATATGTAATCTAAGGTGCTCAGTAGTACATGAAGTATGAGTTAATTACTCATAATTAAGTTGCAAAGATCCTATTATATATTTATAGACAAATTAAAATGATCATAATTACAAATATTTCTTCATCACTTAAGTTTTAGACTGATTAATATCTGGGTGGAGATCAGCAGAAACTACATTCTCTGCATTTATAAAAACTTAATTTAAATATTTATATTTTAGAAAAAATATTTGAATAAAATTGATGCATTTTCTGAATTAAAATGTGTTATTAGCAAGAAATAGAAAATTTTACTAAGAGAATTGTATATGTGAATCATTTTATTTTCTTTCAAGTTAGTGTATCATATCATAATGGCTATGATGAATCAATTTCAAACATTCAATTTTTTTCTCATTTTGAATTCAACAAGTTACAATGACTTTACAATGTAGATCTTAATCTGTCTTGATATGTTATGAATGTTGTGAATGACACAAACTCATATGTCTGGATCATGTCTGGGATAATCAATGAATCACCTGAGGAATTTGTTTCTGCCCCATTCACTCTGTGCTCAGTCCGTTCCTTATGTGAATCAATGAATTTTAAACCCACAACGTCTGTCCCTTTAAGGGCAACCCAACAGAAGACAGTGATGTTTAACTCTATGTACTTAGTGGGAAGCTACCCATTTGTTAGAGATGTGCTTAGGTGAGCTCTTTGCTGTATGACATATCTTTAAGCCATCCTACAGGGATTTAAAAAAGGCCAATAGGAATACAGGTACCTATACTTGTTTTCTGACTTGAACTATGTAGGATAAATAAAACCATCCACCTATTAAAAAAACATCCAGACAGAAGCATGTAATGAATTCTATCAGTTGATGGAATTAAAAGGCTGAGAAATGCATGCTCCTTTGTTTAAGCTTGTCAACATTTCTTGGTTGAAGTCAGAAGCCCGCTACTAAAATTAATGTGCCAGGGCCCCTCTAGTCCTTGTTTTACAAATATTAGATATTCTATCTTAAGGGGATTGGAGTGGGGTGGGGTGAGGGAGTAATTTTTGAATGTACCTTGAGTTAAAAAAAAATGTGCCTATGTTTATAGTACCATGAATATCATGTAAAATTTATATATGAGTTAAATAAATATTCACCTCTGAATATGGTGGCCTGAGTGGTGGTTTCGCAATAGCACAGAAGGACATGGGCGTGTGCAAACACAGCCTGCAATCCCCTCCCTGAAGACTGGCCTTTAGAAGGTGCTAACGGATAAAGGGGGTGCCAGTAGCAATTTTTTTTTTTTTTGGAGTTGTATATAGTTTTCGGATGCATTTTCCCCTGGGACTTTGGGATCTCATTTTTAACTAAGTTTTCACGGGATTCTACAAGCTCTTAATGCTCAAGTTCTGCAATACTAGAACTTGGCTTGTGTTTAAATTGCTTGTAATCAATGAAAATTTAGCAATATTGAGATTACATCTAGAACTGTAGAATCTCAGTTTTGAGGATACTTTAGAGGTCATCAAGGCCATTATTGCCCAAAGTTTATTTCTAATTTTAGCAATATTTACCTTAGCATCTTAAGAGTGATTTGCTAGTAATAGAGCAACACGGCAAATACATATAAAAATGAATATAATCTGATTAAAAATTTTAAAGAGTTTGTACCACCTGAAGTCATCACACATACACTATGGCCAAGTACTACATTTTCAGAAATGCTGACCTTGTATACTATTCCACTAAACTCAGAAATTTCTTCATGAACGTACCTTGTAGATGTTCATTCCACCAGAAATAAAAAAATGTCCAGCTATGGGAGGAAGCTCCTTATTTCGGAGGCAGGCCACGCCATTGCTGGACGGCCACAGTAGTGAGACAGTCCTTATGTTCTTAGAGCCAAAACTTGTGCCTAACTTTCACTCATCACCTTGCTCTACCCCAGAAAACACTGATAGTCCGGCCTTTCCCACGTGAGTGTCTAATATGAAAAGACCATTCAAGGCTGGGGACTACTAGGTCATATAAAATGACCTGAAAATGGTTTTAATTGGGACATTTATAATCCCTCATTTTCATCTTTAAAATACCCATTGGCCAAGATTAAAACCTTCCACAATACCTAGTGGCGGGAAGTCATGGGAAAAGAAGCCATTATATCCACCCATTAGTAGGTATATATTTAGTAATAATTTGGATAGCAATTTGCCAATATATAAAAAACTTTAAAAATACATTTACCGGTTTTCCCTCTCCCACAATACCTTGCGCATACTCTCTTTCCAACTTGGGCCTGGCATTAACGGCTCACGCAAAGAAGAATGGCAAGAAGAAGAAGGGCCATTCTGCCATCAAACAAGTAGTGACCAGAGAATACACCATCAACATTCACAACTGCACCCATCAAGAAGCCTGCCGCTCCGACACCCAAGGAGACATGGAAATTTGCCTTGAAGGAGATGGAACTCCAGATCTGCCTATTGACACCAGGCTCAGCAAAGCTGTCTGAGCCAGAGGAGTAAGGAATGCCCCACACCGTATATAGGGGCGGTCCAGAAAACGTAATGAGGGTGAAAAGTCACCAAACTAGCCCTCTACAATGGTCATCTACATACTGTCACCACTTTGAAAAATCTAGTTAATGTGGATGAGAACTAACTGCTGATTGTCAAATAAAGTTATAAAGCTGCCAAAAAATAAGAAAATAAAAACTCGTATGCCTTTTGACTTAATGGGAATTTATCCTAGAGATACAGTTGTACAAGTACAAAAAGGCTAATGTATAAGGATCATCTTTGCAGCATTGTTTGTAGTAAGAAGCTGAAAAGGTCGATGTGACCATCAAGAACTAAGTAAATCCTGGCCCACCCATGTATTAGAATATTGCACAATGGTTACAAAAAAATGGTCCCTCTGTAAGTGCTAATGTTGATGAAATTTCTAAATATAAGTTTTGAAAAATGCAGAATATACTACAGATACATTCCATTTGTTCTTTTAAAAATCGTTCTCAGGAAGAGTGGCTGTGGGGTTTTGGAAATCTGTGCAAGCGTTTTGTTGTCACAATGATTGAAGGGAGGGACACTCGGTACATAGCGAACAGGAGTCAGAGTTGGTAGACTTCCTACAGCGTGATGACAGTCCCCACATACAGGGGAACTGTTCCTCACACAATTTTTGTGTCCTCTGAGTTATTCTTACAGGCCAAAAACATATTTATGATGATCTGAGCCTAGACCTTGACTCCATTTTATATATGAAAATATTTCTTGTCTGATTCGATATATTCTGAATTTTCTAGATATGCAACTACTATGGATATGGAAGAAAGACTTTATTTTTGTTTTTCTCAGGGCATTTTATAAATCATTTTATAAAAACAAGTCATGGGTAGCAAGTGTGAAGATGGTACTTGAGTTACCAATACAAGACTTCTGACTACTTTTATATGTGCCTCATTCATGCTGAATATAGATTTTTAAAAAAATGACTTGTCTTTTAGTGTAGTTTTTGTACCCGGGCACCTCTATGTTGAAATGCATATTATTTTATTATCATTACTCTCCTTTTCTAAAATGTCTTTAGCTTATAGTTAGGGGATAACAATAAAAAATTCCTGGGTGCACGTAGGATTTTTAATGACTGTACTAGGCACGCCCTGTGTGTCGCCTCAGACACCCTCAGTGCCATCACCTGGGCTCCTAGATCTGACCTGCTTACTCACTGTTAGGCACTCCCAGCTCTGCTTGAACTAAGTCTTTCTGCCACTGAGAGCCAACTCACCGCCTCCCAGGAAATGCATCCTCCCGCTACTTCCCCCCTTGGCTGCTGCCAGGTAGCCAGGCTAAGGAGATGCATGAATTTCTGGGTTCTGCATCAGTTCCAGACTTGGATGGTAGGCCACACTGCAGGGCATTCAGACTGCTAACCTGAGCAGCTGCTAAGGGTAATGACCTAAACAACCCAGAACTGTAGGGGATTGAAATCTTTGTGGGCCAAACAGGAGAAAATAATAGGAAGAAGCTGGGCAGATAATCCTTTTCCTCTTCCTGTGCATGTCTCTGAGACATGGTGTCTTCATACACCGTAGAGCCTGAGAGACGTCCCCTCTGACTGGGTAGACACCTGCTGGGTGACTGGCTTTCTCTTTGGGTCCCATGAAGACATGGCCAGTGCAGCAACGTAGCACCTTGCTTGCTTTCCTGCCTGCCCTGCCATTGTCCCCCTAGTCCTCACTTTCAGTGCCCTGGAGTTGGACCTCCTAAATAAAGCATTGGCACTTCATCCCTGCCGCAGCTCTGGTTTTGCAGGGAGCTTGTCCAAAGACCTTTATTACTTTTACCTCAACAGCAAAGGGGACATTAAAAATACTTCTTATAAAAGAGGTGTTAGGGTTGCTCAGTGGAGAAAATAACAGACATATAATATGCTTGCGCTTGTACAAAAATGCCTGGAAGTGTGTGTGTGTGTTTGTGTGTAAAAACATCAGTTATGGCTGGAAAATGGGAGCAGCACCCTGAGGATGACCTTGTATATAATGCTTGCACTTGTACAAAAATGCCTGGAAGAGTGAGTGAGTGAGTGAGTGTGTGTGTGTGTGTGTGTGTAAAAACATCAGTTATGGCTGGAAAATGACCCTGAGGATGACCTTAACATGCTTCTCTATTACATGAAATTCTTAAATGTGCATTTTAAAACTCTCCTGCACAAAAGGTTTTCTTTTTATGGATCAATAATGTTCTGATAATGGTGAATAATGTTTTTTAAGCTTATAAAATCTTGAATAATAAAACTATGTGCATATTTGGCCAGAAATGAACGATCGCCTCACCTGTGGTCTTCTAAATTACACTTAGTCTGACTTCACTGGGGGAAGGCAAGTCTAGTACCTCATTAACATGACTGAACCATGTCCATGTGCAGTGTGGAATCACATGTGTAGGATAACAGAAAAGTCTTTTATCCCCTAGTCATTTTTTTTCTAGGACATAAATACGGTCTTTTCTTGGGAGAGTGTGTGACCCGATACAGACAGAGAACATCACCCAGCGTCAGAACAAGAGTAGAGCAGAGGTGGAGGATGGCGACGTGTGGACCCCCAGTAGGGACACGAGACAGGGGTAGGGACGGACGCACAATCAGCCCATCCACTGAGGAGAAGGCGCCTCTGAACCAGGCCTCTCACCCTGGCTCTGATCTCAGAGGTGGAGCCCGGTGGCCTGATGGTTGCAATTCTGCCTTGCCTTGGACTAGGGCCTGGGAATGTTGGGGAGAAAACTAACTCCATTCTTCCCAGGAAACAAAGCCAGCTGTATTTTCAGCAAATTTCAACTATCATTCTTTGGAAGAATAAAGTCTATTTCCTCCCAAGAGCTCAAAGGCAACATCCAAGAAGGACCCTCACTTTATGCCTCCTTAATCGCAGCTTCTCTGCTCTGTAATTCTCACCTGCACGGGGGTGAAGGAACTGCTTCCTTGGCAAGTTTTCTGGGTCTCATGTGAAAGGCAAATACAGTCCAAAAGCAGCTTTCTTTTTCCTGCAAGTAGGGCCTTCAAACTAAGGCCTTAATAGATGTAGATTTCGCAACTGTCCTTCTTGCACTTGGCCTCTCAGTGAATTCTTCAATGTGAATGGAACCTAATGCATGTACAAAACAAACCACCTCAAAACCTGGTGGCTTACAAGATAGCAACACATTATTTCTCACTATCCTGTGGGTTGGTGGGACAGTTCCTTGCTGGTTTTGCCGACTCACTCCTGTGGCTGTATTTAGCTGGCACCCTCTGCTGGACTGGAAGGCCCCAGATGTGTCTGGCTCGCTGCCCCGCGGCTGGTGCTGGCTGTCAGACCGGGCGCCTCGGTTCTCTCCCCGCGTCTCATCGTCCAGTAGGCTAAACCGGTGCCCTCAGGAGGCTCCCGCAGGATCAGGGCCAGGTTCTAGCAGAGCAAACCAGAAGCTGCAAGGCCCTTGAGGACTAGGTTCCAGCTCACACCATGTCATTTATGCCACTATAAATCATCAAAGCAAGTCACATGGCCTGTCCAGATGCAAGGACTAGGGAAACAGACTCCATCTACTCATGGGAGGAGCTCAAACCTTTGTGGTGTTATTTAACCACCACATTCCACTCTCTGGCCACACTTATTTTCATTCTCCTATATGCAAAACATGAGCATTTCCTCCCAATGTGGCTCAAACCCGGCATTTGGTGATCTTCACCTGGTCCAGGTAGGGATGAGACTGCCTAGGGCTTTTTAAAATCCAGAATATTGTGACCTAATTAAACTAGTTAACCGCCATTTATACACCCAACACATAAGGGAGGGACAGGAGAACTGCGGCTGATACTTCCTTTCATCAAGGACCAGTCACCAGTCCATTGCAATTTTGAAATCCAACGGGGATGTGATGAGTGCTGTTGGGGGTGGGGAATTGAACCAGGATTCATTTCTGATACCTGGAAGTGGTACCCTAGTCCATCATTCTTGGCACTGCCTTGTGGACTCTCAGCTATGACTTTCTAAGGAGTCTCTTTTCCATGAGAAATAGTCCCTGTTTGCAACTAAATAGTTTTCTCATCCTGCTTCCTTCCAATTGGAATTCGGTGGCCAGAGGGACTCTTTTTACTGTGATACAAATTCCTTAAAACTTTATGAATTTTCTATTGTGACGAAAATTCAATGAAGTATAATCTTTTCAATAAATACGGCTGGACAACTGGCTATTTTTATGCAACATAATGAAGGTGGATCCCTTCCTCACATGGTACACAAAAGAGTAACTCCAAGTGAATCATAAACCTAAATATAAGAAAACTAGAAAGTGAAAAGACATCCCAAAAATGGGAGAAAATATCTGTAAATCATATATCTGATAAGAGCCTAGAATCTAGACTATATAGAGAACTCTTACAACTCAACAATAAAAACACAAATGATCCAATTAAAAATGGTCAAAGCATTTGAGTAGATATTTCTCCAAAGAAGATCTATAAATGGCCAATAAGCACATGAAAAAATACAAAGCTCATCATCATTAGTTATCAGGGAAATGCAAATCGAAACCATGAGATACAATTTCACATTTCATATTATTTGTCATATGGTTTAGATCATGAAATATTTCTAAGGTCTCAATAAAGGATTATATAACCTCACCTTCACTACGATCCTTTCCCTTAGGCTGTTTCTTTGAGAATCTTTTGCCATTGGAGATACCAGAAATGGGAAACACTTATTTTCCAATCCAGAATGTCCTAAACCCTTAGCATCTCTTTCATAGTCTGCTAGAAAACAGAACAGTTCCTTTGCCCTCTTTTCCATACCATATCATACTCGCCTAAATAAACACACAAGGGGCCCTCTGACACTCTTAACATTCTGCCTGGAGATAACCTATGGTGCTCTCTTTCCCAAGAAAAGGGATCTCATTCCAAACTCCCCATTTTAAAGAGTGAGCTTTCAGCATCATTCCCAGCACCAGGAAATACCTCCCCAGAGCAGCTGATGTCTCAGCTCAGCCTCTCCTCTTTCTCCCTTATACCTTTCAAGGTCCCCCTCGTGCTGACCTCGTGGGCAGGTCAGCCGGGTTCCTCTCCCGGAGCGCAGCCCCCAAGTGTGTGCCGCTGTCTTGCAGCCCGGCCTGCCTCTGATTCCCTGAGTTTTAGCTTACATCCAGCGGTGTTTGCTGGATGTTCTTGCTCAATAAATATCCTCTTAGGGTCAAAGACACCATAACCAAAATGACAAGGGGCTAATACCTGTAACAGTACAAACCAGTGAAAAAAATCAAAATAGTCAAAATAAAAACGGGCAATTAAAGAGAGGTCAATGTATTTAAAAAATGTCCCCCCCCTCACTATTTTCGGTCATCAAAGAAGGAGACAGGGACTCTGCGGGGGTGTGCAAACTGGCCTCTTAGAAAGGCAATTTGGAAATATTTACCAAAAATCTTAGGACCCACAAAATCCACTCCTAAGAAAGTTATATTCAGGAAATATCAAGGATGCTGTGGGAAGATTTATTAAAGTTTTATTTATGATAGGAAAAGACTGAACCTATATGTTCAACAACAAGGAACTGATTAAACAAATTTTGGTTCATTTGTATTATACAGTTTTAAAAATAATATGATATAAAATTCATGACACTGAAAAGAAGACTATAAATTAACAGATACATAAACACACACAAATACACACATGACCCCAATTTGGAAAAGATACTAAAAATAATTAAATATATATTAAATATTAACAGAGTTTACCTATAGGTAATGAGAGCAATGTGGAAATCTGTTGCACTCTTCTTTGTATTTCCTGCATTTTTCCAGATTTTCTACAATGGGGAAAAGATACTTTTTTTCCTGGGAACCTGTCCTTAGTCATTTTTGCTATATCTTATTCTCACAATTTCTGCCCTTTCTTCGCTCTCCATCCGACTCAACAGCGGCCGGAGCTCCCGGGGCGGCCCCACTGCAGAGGTGGGGGAGGCCTGTCTGAATTCTGTTGCCAGAATTTTCCAAATCGGGAGCAGTAAGACATTTACCCAGAAGTAAAGAGTATCTTTTTCTATTTATTGAAATAATTAAATAACCAAGCGTAAAATTTCCAAAGCATATAAAAATATTAACTTAAAAAATTAAAATATAATGGAACTATAAAATATGTATATACTTAAAAATACGTGAACTGAGCATCCTCAAAACTATATAAATAGGGGATACTCATGAAATTCTTTAGAGATGTGACATCTATTCTTTGAATAAAGTTTGAAATTTGTTTAAAATGTTCAAACTAAGGGAAGAAGTATTAAGTAATAGCTTTGCCCAATTAACAATTGTCCAAAGAGAATGATTCTGTGTTATTTCTTGCTTGTCTTTTCTAAAACCCACTCAATCACCTAGAAGGAGGAAAAAAAATATGGTTATGGTTCATTTCCAGTAAAAATATCAGTGATAGAAAAAGATATTGTTAAAACTTTGAAAGAGTATGGTAGAAATTTAAAATAAAAAGGAACATGTCAAAATCCCAAAACCTCTTTTATCTTAAAAGTATATTTTCTTTTGTAACTGGAGAGCACTTTTTACTTGACCTCCATTGCTGAGGGTAGTAACTCCTCACCAGACAAAATGAGGCCCTGCTCTACGTTCTCACCTTTATTTTAAAATGTTTTCAAATAGAAAACATTTTGTCACTAGAAAGATATCAAACCAAATTTTCAAACCAACTAATCAAAATGGACTACTTTTCCCAGATCTTTGTATAATTTATTTTAGTTTTTCTTTCTTAGCATCATTTTAGAAACTCTTTTGTTCACAGATCTGTTAAATACCACTACATACTTTGCTTGCAAACGTCTATTACTAAGTATCTTAAAGAGTATTCTTACTGCACAGATAACAGCATCATAGTTACCCTAAAATAAAACAGCAATTTAACTGAATGTAGTTTTGTGGGAATAAGTGATTTACCTGTAGAGCATTTTTGTTTGCGGTTTTCTTCATTTCTTCAAATAGACCCCTTGAAGTTTTAAGATCCTAAACATAATAATAGCATTTTACAACTTGCACATTACACTACAGACCAGTTATTAATAAACTTGAGATCATCCTTTATGTTGTGGCATCTTTTGTATGAGAAACATTCCTAAAAAGTCTGCTAATCCTTGGCTATTTCATTATATTTAAAAAGAGATACTGCCCTGGCTGGTGTGACTCAGTGGATAGAGCACTGGCCTGCAAGCCAAAGGGTTGCCGGTTTGATTCCCAGTCAGGGCACATGCCTGGGTTGCAGACCAGGTGCCCAGGAAGGGACATGGAAGAGGCAACCACACATTGATGTTTCTCTCCCTTCCCCCAACCCTTCCCCTTTCTAAAAATAAAAATAAATAAATAAAATCTTAAAAAAAAAAGAGAGAGATACTGGTAATATTATTGGAAGCCCCGTCTGTGTAGAATTTATTCAATAGTGGCTTTACAAAGTAGGACGATCGGGGGCCAGCTGATTTATTCAGTGCAGCCTCTGATTCTCTTTATCCAGAGCCTTTTTTGTATCCTGTCGCAGCGGTGGGGAAGAAAACTACGTGTCACAGGCCTTGCAGTTCGCATCGGGAGAGAAGGGCGTGCGCAGCCAGGTGAAGGCTCCCCAGTTCCCTTTGCAGAACTTGATCTAATTCCCCTCTTTTCCACTTGGCATCTTGCCCTGCTTCTCACGCTACCTGGTGTCTACAGGTCCCAGGCACCTCAGAGAGGGTGTCAGTTGAACTGGTGTGTTTCTCATTGGTATTCTACCTACTAGGCAGGCGTTCACACTGCAACTTCTTTTATTCTGCTGTGCCGCACTTCTGTGTGCTTTTTCTTATTCAACAATCTACTAAAAAGCAAGTCTACATTTTTTTTCTTTCCTCTTTTCTTGGTTTTTGTACCTGAATTCTATCTTTCTTCAAAAATTTTTAGAAAGGAGGGGATTGAATACATGTGGTCAATATGGCATTTTAACCAGAAACCCATATAAAACTGTAATTCAAGTCTGAAACTCTTAACACTGGATCTAAAACCACCTAAGCTTTAAAGAACTGTCACTTGAATGGCGGACCTGCCCAATGTCTTACAACCAGCTGACAATGGATCCAAAATTAGAAACTGGGTGTTTTTTGATACCTCAGTCCAGTAGCTTTTTCACTACATACTAAAATTACTAAGTAAATATTTTTGAAGCTTATTATCAACTTCAATCCAAGACTTGTGAGGGTAATACTGGTAACACCAATTAAAATGTAGTTTTCTGTGTGTGAGGACTAAAATCAAATAAATCTAAATATTTTAGCTCCAGTTTTTCTATCTCCATTTGTAAAAGAATCTGGCAACAAGTTACAAGCAATCAGTATAAAAAACACTTAATAAACATTATTTCAAACAGGAACCTGAGAACATGACCTCGATTTTGCCGTGAGCAGAGAAGACGCTGTACCTTTAGATAGTACTTGGAGATCTCAAAGAGACGCTCGCTGCAGGCAGTGAAACATTCATGGGCCTCAGTCATTCTGTGTTTCCTCAGGGTTTTAGTGACCACTTCTTTCAGCATCTTGAATAGAACATAAGATACGACTAACATTTCTTGGAAAAGGTACAAATATTATTTCAGCTCTAGAGTTCAATTATATAAATTCCACAGTCATGTAGTTATGTTAGACAGGTGAGCTCATTAGGACACAACAATTAAGAACAGAGATCTGCAATGTTTACACTGTCACATGTGTAACGGCTTATTATCTGTTAGCAAGAGGTGACTGGAGTATGTTAAGAAAGGAACTCAAATTGTGAGCTCTGCATTGAAATCTGAGTGTAAAAATTATACACAAAAGGCTATGTATGATGTATGTTTATTTTTTATTATGGAAAATTTCACTCAGTGAAAAGGAACATTTTATAACAAACCTCTATCTCAATATATCTATCAACAACCATCAAGGAGATAAATTTGTGACTAATTTTCATTTACGTACTGGCCACTCACGATCCCCTTATCCTTCTTGCACTGGATCATTTTAAAGTAAATTATAGATACGATTTCATTTCGTTCATAAAATTTTTAGACATACCTTTTACATGAACCAAATAAAGGAATTTCTTGCCATATAGAACTAAGAGAGACAGGAAATAAACCTTTACCCGTGTATGTTTCTGTGATCTTGATTCCTTAATTTGCCTTGGTGTTTTTGATTCATGCGTGCGTTTTTGACCCAAACTGGCCTTTGGAGTGACTTTGGAAGTTTCATAGCTATGAACTGGGACTGATGGCCCAGTCAGAGACAATGATCTCTCTCCCCGGGGCTTTTTGGATGTCACTGCACGGTGGTGATGATCTGTACTGCCACTCATCTGAGAAAGGAGAGAATCTGAACTCTCAGACTTCACAAGTCTATTGTGGGGAAAAATATCAAAAACAAAGTTTAAGAAAATCAACAGCAAAGTCCATTTTCTGTCCTAAGTGTTATCACTACACCCATTGAAACATAAACCCACCCAAGAAAAGCAAACAATATTTCTTGCCACTACTCCCTTAAAATAAGCAATCAACATCATATTATACAGTTGTGCCTTTAGTTTCTCTAATGAGTGACGGAGACATAGAAGGCAATGAACGACAACCTAGAACTTCAGCGAACAGGAAAGCAACAAGCAATATTACTGTCACTCTCCCCATGAAGTCACAATTTCTCACATGAATCAGCCAGGGAATGCCTGGTGGCACCATTTACAGATAAAACACTCATCTGTTAAGTACTACTCATATACTTTTATATTAAGATAATGTTGATGAAGAAACCATAGGCTATACTTACTGGACCTATGCAACTACCTGTGCAAAATAAACACATGTTAAAACAAACACAAATAAAACTATAAAACTGACTCTTCCTTTAACCTTTCTAAATGTTTAAATTTCCTTTTACAAGACAGGGTGTCATGTCCTTCAATTCTGCTAACCAGTGGACCACAGTGGGCTTTCTTTTCTGGAACACATACATGTCGGAAATAAGAAATACTGTCACAGACTACAGTATCCTAAATGTTAATGGATTTGCTTTTTAGTTTTATCAGGAGTAAACAGGACTATGAATTGGTAAAACCCTCATAAAAATAATTTAGTTATTCCATATCAGAGAAATAGTATTACTTGAATTAATTATTCAAAAAAGATATGAAAGTTTCACTTTAATATATATTATACTTTGTGAAAGGTTTAAACATAGTAAGAATTTAAGGCTTGCTTTAGAGGCCAAAGACCTAAACTTGACAAAGAATCTAAAGATATATAATCACAATATATCTTTGAATATTCAAGTATTTGGACATTTTATTTAGCCAGCAAAAACAAAGTATCTAGAAAAGCTTCGCATAAGACATTATTATATTATGTAGGTTTTCCAGCTCTGTTTATATGAAAGAAGCGGTTTTAAAAGGGCGCCTCCTGGGTCCCCCGTGTAGGGGCCCGGCCGGCAGGAGGCGGTGAGAGGGAGGGAACCGAGAGCCAGAACTGCCGTCCCCAGACAGCCTCTCCGACCGAGCCGCTCGGCTGCCGCGTCTGCGGGGTAAGACCTCCAGTGCTCCGTGGCTTAACAACTTTCCAATCCTTCGTGTTAATGGACTGTGTATTAGCACGTAATGCAAGATGCAGTGTTTTTTCCAAGTCGTTTCTTTTTATAACTTATAAAGCAAGTCATCAACTGCTCACAATAAAAACAAAATTCCTGGTATGAAGGAATTAATCTAAAATCTGTGCAGAAAGCAACTTACAAATATGAAAAACTACTATGGGGGGAAAAAATCACCCTAGGAACTAAAATACTTTCTGTCAAAATATTAGTATTTGAGGGTTCTTAACAGGGCACCTTTTTTGGGGATAGAGACAATTCAGATCTTTTGGTCTCCTTTTCAACCGGGATGCTTCAGTCAGATGTTCACTCTGTAAAGCTTCTCCATCAGGGACGCTTCCGGGCTCGGACAAAACTGCAGGAGACGGAAGAGGGCTCAGCATAGTAGGCACTGGAAAACTCTCTCTGGTGCAGGTGGTTTGGGTTTCGTAACGAATAAGACGAGACTGAAGTTCAGAAAATCCCCCATCTCTTTCTAAAGATTTTCGGTCATCTAAGCAATATCTAAGGGAGAGAAAGATAATTTAAAGTCAAAACACTCACCACAGCCCATCTATCCTGCTAATTAAAGAACAGAACTTGTCCTGGCTGATGTGGCTCAGTGGATTGGGTGCTGGCCTGAGAACTAAGGGGTCACTGGTTCAATTCCCAGTCAGGGCACATGCCTGGGTTGCAGGCCAGGTCCTCAGTGGGGCGCCTGCAAGAGGCAACCACACATTGATATTTCTCTCCCTCTCTTTCTCCCTCCCTTCCCCTCTCTCTCTATAAATAAATAAATAAATAAATACATAAACAACAAAAGCATTTCACTTAAAAGGTTATTTCACTTCCTAATAATTGTTGGAAGGTTGAGCGAATGGCCAGCTTCCCTCACAAGTCTTTTCTAGCCTGCTAGATGACATGGCAGAAGATTTAAAAATTTGAAGTCTGATTCCTCTTTGACTGTTTCTGGGCAATACGTTAGGTTAATCCTTTAGCTTATTTTCAAAATAATACTGTTGCTGTTTTAATACCTTTTAAATCCCTACCAACCTCTGATTTCTCAGCATGGCTGATATGTAGCAACATGAAATACTGACTTCTGTTAGAAAGGGCAAGTTTATTTTCAACACAAAGATTAAAGGCATATAAAGGCATTCTAAACTGGCTCACCAAACACAGCTCCAAACATTTTGAATTTTTCCTTTCAAACCCACTTCCCATCTCATGGACTGAGTGGCAGATTTTCCTTCAAACACTGAGGCTGCCTCTGTGCATCTGGCTTCTCGTTAAATCTGACTCAAGGGAGCAGTGAGATGTTAGCTCTGTGAACATGCCTGGACTTGAAGAAATCCCACGTTGTTAAGAACAACAAATAAGTATATGAGGAAAAACACCAATGAGATGTGTGACCTTGGAAAGCTCTTCACTTGTTCTCGTGCTACAGCTGCGACAAGGAAACACAGACCATTTCACAAAGTGATCACAGGACTACGAAAATTAGTCTTGCTTTGTTATCTGTCCACCTGTAAAATTCCCAGATGCTCCTTAAAATCAGATTTTGTGCTTTCCGTTCAACTCCCAAGGAGTGTATTGTTCCCCTAACATCTGATGGAGGTTTTAAGGGCGTCTCTCCCTTGTGACACTTCCATATTTGATTTGAGAGCACAGGCTAAGGAGCCAGACTCACTGGGTTTAAATCAGGCTCCATCACTGATTAGCTGTGCAAACTTCATTTAACTTGATCTAGGCTTCTTGTTGCCTTGTCTGCAGAATGAGATCTATAGCAGCCATCTCAAAGGGCCATTGTGAGCATTCTTCAAATGGGTACAAGTAAGCACTTCGAACCAGTGCCTGGAACATGCCAGCAAAGCAGTCAATAAATGTAAGCTTCTGCTGTATTTACTCTTATTATTATATCACCTTTGTCATTAGGCTTACTTTCTACCACAGCAGATCTTATAGAATGCTGGTAACACAGAGAACAGCCAGAATTTAAATGCAGGTTGATGACTTCGGAGCCTGACTTGACCACAGTAGTACAGTATCTCTTGTGTGAAGTGTAACAATCACCTTTCTCAGGGGTCAACCCCTGCCTTGAACAGTAGAATCATCTGAAGATTTTTAAGAAATACTGACACCTGGTCGACATGCTGAGTCTCTGACTTAATTGGTTTGGGGTGAGACCCAACCATGGACATTTTTAAAAAAGGTGTCTAGGTGATTCTAAAGTGTAGCTAGGACTGAAAAAAATCTATGATCTAACCCAACAGTTTAATTTAACAGGGGAGAACACTGAGCTCCTAGGTTAGAAAGTTAACTGGTGGCAGAGTAGTGACTAGAACCTACGTCTCTCAATTCCCTCATATTCTTTCTCCAGTTTGTTGTTTAATAGAACACATTTCATTAAAAATCAGCAGAAACCCTAAGGATTACTGGTAAGTCCAACTTCAATAATAGGCAACTGATATAATCTAGAGTAAAATTAAGAACGATAAATGTTAAAAGGTTCTAGGGAAGAAGCAATGTAATACCTGATTGGCCTATAGAAAATTTTTGAGAAAAGATACATATTTTTGACTCGAAATATTTTTTTCTACTCTAAGATTCTGATACTAAGATGAAGTTTTTTTAATCTTCAGCAAAGGACATGCTTATTGATTTTTTTAGACAAAGGGGAAAGAAAGGAGGGAGAGGGGCGGGGAGGGATTAGGGAGAGAGAGAGAGAGAGAGAGAGAGATCAGTGTGAGAGAGAAACATCAACTGGTTGCCTCTTGCAAGCACCCCGACTGGGGACTGAACCCACAACCTAGGTATGTGCCCTGACCGGGAATTAAATCACAACCTTTCAGTTTACAGGACAACACTCCAACCAACTGAACCATACCAGGCCAGGGCGATGCAGAAATTTTTTCTTACATTTTTAGCATCTCTTAGTCACAGATGTTCATGATGTTATCCCTTCAACTGGATTATGTGCACTGTGCATGCTGACTTTAATTGCCATTTGAAATGTGTTCAAAATGATTATATGGTGGTATCATTGAAACAAGTTATTGTACTTAGTAAATAATAAAGGAACAGAAACAGAGTAGCAGAGTGTATATTTGATGTAAGTGAAGTAACATATGCATGGTTGGATGAATAACTACAGTTCCGTATTTTCTTGCAAAACAAGTGCTTTATGTATCCAAAGGAAAAAAATACTTATAAAATAAAGCTATTTTTGTCTTGTAACTACATAATAGGCAAGATACTTCCTATCATACTAAGCAATGGCAAAGAGAGCATGAGAAACTACCAAATCTCTTGGAATAGATGAAAGAAAATTCAAAGCAGCAAGAGACCGGCATGACCAATTAACTATCACAGTTTGACAGAGGTTTAATTCGTTGTTAAAGAAAACAGTGCTACTTACAATCGTTGGTATCTTACACCCAAAGATAGACTAGATAAGTGAAAAAACAAACAAGCTATCAGTGGACATATTTCACTTTGACTTAAACACTGATTTGCAGTTGAGCAGTTTACATATTTTTTCACGTATTCCATATGTCAGAGTAGAGGAAGGGCTCAAGCATTCTAAAGGCTTACAGCAACAGAGGATGGGGAAACGTCCCTTGAAGTTTGATATTTTCCTTACGATTTCACTTGAATTTTGTTTCTACTGCACGATCTATGTTTAACATAAATAGGCCACCATGCAGTACTCCCAAATCTTGAAAAAAAGCACATTTCTGGATTCACTGTGCTCCCCTCCTGTAACTTCCCTATTTTAATCTCAAGGTGCCCGGTTTAACTAGCATAAATGTATAAGGAAAACTTAGGTCACAGCTAGGCTTCTTTATTTGCTTATGGGGGCAGACAGCTAGTAGGCAAGAAGAGAACTATTCGTATATAGTGAATCAGAATCTCCTAACATTGTATGTGTATAAATTACAAAGTCTCTGTGTCCATTTAGGCCAATCAGGAAACAGTGGTCAAATAACTCTTAACTTAATATTTTGATAAATAATCATGACGAATATATCCAAATTCTATAAATGTATATGACCATTAACATTTTTATAGAGTACAGTAAAAAAAAAAGAGAGAGAGAGAGAAGAGAAGAGTAGGGAGATGAGACGCAGAATGACTACAGAAGTTTGAAAAAAATAATAAAAAATATAGTTAGGTGATAGGTACTATAGTCATCAGTTAAAATGGAATTATTGTAGCTTATTCCATCCAAATCAGTGCTTTAGTGAGTTTGTAAGGCTGAAGAAGAAAAAAAAAACAACCATGTGTTTCTCATGGGGTCAATATTTTGACCATGTAGCAAAGACAATATTGATACTAGTCTATTTCTCAGTAGAGTTCATCATTGTTCTTGCACTGTTTATGTTTCGGCTTTCAGACTCAAGTTACACTCAAAATATCTTAAGTGCCTATTAGGTTTCCTTAACAGATTTTTATCAAACAAAATGGGAAAGACATTGCTTTTATAGCTGATGAAATAAGACATAGAAATTTAGATATATTATTTTAAAATGTAAAAATAAATAGTAGAAAACTCAAATTGAGAAGGGAAACCAAATCCTCATATTTCATAGTAGGGAGTCAATAATATTTTATATGACAATATTAATAAATACTGATAGGCTGTCCCTTAGAACAAAAAAACTAAAATTGAACAAATAAAACACTTGTTTCTGAAAATGGGGACTAGACGTAGAAAGTAATAAAATAAGGAATCACTGGCTTTTATTTTAAACTCTTCTGTAATGCTTAATTCCTAGGTTTTTAATAAAATAAAAAAGAAAGGAGAAAACAAAAATAAATCCCATGTATCAAATGTTTACATACTAAAAAAAGAAGCTCCCACTTAAATTGGACTAAGGTAAATTTAGTACAACTAAAACGTTCAATCTGTAATCATTGCACAAAGGGTTATACAATTAAAAATATGAATAATTTAAATAAAAGGCTTAGCTAAATTCAAGTTTATTTGGGAAACATACCTAATTTTTTGATGTTAGAGGGGAAACCGTAATTCTCTCAAATAAGAAATTCTTTCCTCAAGTATCAGAAATGAAAAACTTGAATGAACGGCATTTCTTACCTTTCTGTGATTCAGTAGTTATCTCTGAGCTGCCCGTTGTTAACAATTTACAATTCTGAACCATTCAGGTTTAAACTAGCATTTCATAAGGGAGTTCTTTCAGAAATGATTCACTATTGGATGTTGTAGTTCCTATTGCTCATTTTAAAGTCCTCAAATCCCACCATCTTTTTGACACTCAAAACAGATAGAAGTTCAATGTCTTAGTTTAATGTTGCATGTTCAATTATGTTGTTCCCTGTTATGGCTGAGTAGTATGGCTTTGATGACATGTTCCCTCTTATTAATCTCTTCTATTGTACACCTAGGCAGTTTCCAGATGGGGCTATTATGAATAACACTGTTCTGTATGTTCTTATACAAGTCTTTTTGCAAAGTTATGTTTTCATTTCTTTTAGGCAAACACCTGGTAATGGAATTTCTGAGACACAGGGTCGGAGTATGCTTAGCTTTATAAGAGCCTGCCAGATCCTCTTGTGAAGTAGATATATCATATTATACTCCCACCAACAGTGTATGAGAATCCTGACTATACCATATACTTGCCAATATTTATCAGTCTTTTCAATTTCAGCTGTGCTGGTGGCAACACAGAATTTTATTTTATGGATGGTCTACATTTTATTTAACCAAGGCTCTGAAGTTAGACATTATTTCTAATATTTAGCATTTTAAATAACACTGTGAATCATACCCACATAAAAACTCTCAGTATAGACTGCTAACTTTTTCATTAAGCTAAATTAATCAAGCAGATGTTATTAACATTTGCAAATTTTTCTATTCTACATTGCTTGCTAAGAGCACTTCTGATATTTATGGCTTGACTTGTTATTTTTGAGGGGTTCTTTCCCATTGTGTGTAAAACTGAAAATAGTTGGTTAGAGAGAAACTGCTTTTTATATTTTGCAAATTTCCCCACTGAAAAGTCTTTGAGGTCTCTTATCTACAAAACAATATGCAAACAAACAAACAAACAAAACTTGTGTTCTACTTTTCAATACATGTAAACTCTTCTAAAACGCTTTAATTTTCCTTATTTTAATTTAGGCCAGAACATGCAGAACAATGATTTTTTAAAAAATGATGATCGCAGGTATCTTTAATTGCACCTGCCTTTAAGGGAAGTTTCATTTTGATGATTAAAAAATAAAGTAACTGCAGATTTTGCCTCTAATGTCAAACCTAAATATCCCTTAACTAAAATAAATTTTATTTATACATAGTAAGGAACGTGAACATTCCTAGAATGACTTGTTAGGCAGTGACCACCTGTATTTTTTCAGACTGCACTACTATCCACCCAATGTGCTTAAGCTAGAAACAGTAAAGAAATTCTTACCTTCTTTCTCTTCCCCAGCATCTAACTGGTTTCTCAAGTTCTTTACATAGCTCTTACGTTGGTATTTTCCTTCCTGTTTTCCCTATTTTGGTAGTATTTTAGTCTTTCGACATATCTTGCTTAAAATACATTAGCTTATCAAAGGACAATGAGATTTTTTTCAATGTGACAAACCCAAGCATCTAATTTCATACCTTAAAAATAAAGGGTATTTTTTTACTGCCTCGAATATAAACATCACTTCCCCTGCCATGTCAACAATGATCTTCATGATTTCATGATGTGTTCTTATTATAATTCAATACACTTATCACTTTTATTAAAAAATGAAAATGTTGTTTTCTCTTCTTAGAATCTGTACCTCATTCACCCCCGAGATACTCCCTTGTTGCCAGGATAATGCCTAATCATTCTTTCAAACTTGGTTCAGACGTCCCCTGTGAAATTCTCTCACATCGATCTTGACATTAATTTGCTCCATTCCCTGGGTAGTTATCCAGCAGTATTTTAACACTATACTAAAATTATATGTTTCAAGTTTACAAGTCAATCAAAAGAGAATGCTTCCGTTGTTCACTGGTAAACTTAAAAGTTGCTTCCTAAAGATTAAGGTAAAATCATGTCCTTTTCTATTTTAACTTATGAAAACTGCACATAAAATAATGTCTTGTTTTAAGAATGTGAAATATTTTACAAAATGAATCACTAAGGTCTTGAAACTTTATTGTAACATATATTACCACCACCTTTATGAAAGTATCTTTATGAAAATGGTAGATGGACCCTCAGGAACTAATACCTTTAAGCAAGAGAATCCTTTAAAATTTTATTCAAACTGGTCAATTAAAGTTCTACAAAAATGCGCACATAATGAACATGTTACATATGGTAACACAGTTCATCTAACAACGGAGCAATTAATATAATTAGTGACCAGGGAATACTGATATGATCAGCGGTGTAAATATGCTTATAACACAGAAATCAGAACAATTTTGATTAAAACATCTAGTAATTAATAATAGGATGCTTAAATGCTGTTTAAAATAACATTTTTTATAATAGAGGACAAATTATTTGTGTATGTACTGCTTTGTTCTTTGACATACTTTCTCTTTGGCTCTCTATCTCAGTTTACATCACTTTATTACATCCCCCCACCCTTTAAAACTCACATAAAATAAGCTACATCTACAATATACAGAAGAGTAAATAAAAACACTTACTCAATTCCATGGTAGTGACACACTGAGGCTTTTTCAAAAGGTAAAACTCGAAGTTTCCGAGGGCTAAGTTCTGGGGTCAGAACAAAAGTCTTTTCCCTGAAACAAAAAGTTTTTCATTTGTATTTAAAGTTTATTTAATTAGAGAAAATTCCAGAAAGTGTCTAAATAAAGAAATATGATTTCTTTCCGTCTTTCAGTACAACTGAATCTTACCTGGGATAAAAAGGAAGTTATATCAGGAAGGGTAATAAGAAAAGAAAGCAGGGATAGGCCTGTGGATTTTGTCTCTTGCGTCTTCCGTGCCTCATTTCTGAAGTTGTAAGCCACTTATTTTGCAAAACTCTTCTGAAGCGCGGGTAAGTCAAGAGTGGGAAATGATTTGTAGTGGGTATTCAAGAAGCAGCATTACTCTAGAAGGATTTTTTTCTCAATGTAGTGAACTAATGTTGATGCATTCAGTTAAATTCTTTTTTCGAGAGGAGTATTTAAAATGGACTTGAATCTTTGGTAATGAAGGATGTATTCACTTCCTATTGTTAACTTGTGGAGGACCCAGGTCTTTCTTTCACTGGGAATGTAGTCATCCTGACACCTACTTTAGGAGTCAGCTACCTTTAAAATATTAGAGGATATTAGAGACTAGGTGCTGCCTTCGGTTCTCCAGGGGCAGGTGTGTTAACACTAATCATAGGGTGATCTCACATAAACTGTTCATGCTTAACCCCTTCTGCACCTCGACCTGCAAGGCTGTACCAAACTCTCAAGAGGAAGGCCACTGGAATTGGATTAAGCTCTCCTGGTTACTCTAATAAGTGGCCTTCTTCTCTGCCTCAGTTGGGAGGCACAGTTCTAATGTGCTCATGTTCCCAAAGCTCAGACAGGCTGGCTGGGAGTGGAAGAATTACGCATCGGTGGTCTTTACGCAGTAATAAGAATGAAATACCAGGGGTTTGAAGTCAGAAGATTTGGAACTGCTATAGAGAAAGGCAAGTAGGTGGTAAAATACAAAGAATAAATTTCCTATCACATTTTCCCACCTGTGGCACTAGTAACGAAACTGCCCACTTGCCAGTGGAAACTATCTAGGGTACTATAGTAGGCATTTGAAATGATTATGTTAAAATGTAAGACATATATATGCTCATTAATAAATTCTAAAAACCAGAGTTTATATCCTAATGCATCCACTTAAAGTGTTCCACAAAAAGTAACACTAATAAATTGCAACGACCCTAGTGATTTGATGACTGACTATAAAAGTGAGTAATTTTGTTAGATAGAACTCTTTAAGTACCTAGCATTTTACTTCTTCCCTTAACTATGTTGTATTCCATTTCTTATTTCAAGTCCTCTCAGCAACTTTATTTTTGTTTAGTGTTACTCACACCTTGTTCTTTTTAAAAGAAACATTTTAATAAATATGTATTTTGTCAGTATTTAATATTTCATTGGTATATACATAGGAGTTATGCCTGAACTTTAATTTAATATAGCATTTTTAATGGCTCCCTGAATAGAGAGACATTGGATAGGAGTCCAAAGGAGTTCTTGATTCACTGCCATGAAAGCTCACCCCTCAACCTTAATCTTGATAGAAAATATATTTGATAATGATGCAGTGATTTACTAACATCAAGGAACTATATGAAACTTCTCTATATAAATTACTTGTAAACTACAGAAAGAATTAAATATATCTCCCCTACAGCAGCATCCAGAAAGACATCTGACAACAGGAGGGACGGCCCACATAATTCCGTTTGGGAAGACCCATTTGACTCTGCTAGTTCATGCTTAATGATGCAAAAGGATAATAATCCAAAACTAAACAGCTGAAAATGTGTACCATGTTTTTCCGTGTATAATGCACTCCCATGTTTTTGGCCCAAATTTTCAGGGAAAAAAATCTTTGGTTTTAATTTTTAATTCAATTATTTATTTATTTATATTTAGGTGGGCTTTTTTGTATTATAAAGGAATTTTAGCATTTATATTTGAACATATGGTACAAGAAATTTTATGTAACAAATAATTATAAAACACAAGAAGAGATACAAGGTACAAGAAATTTTACATACCGGTAACAAATTAGTGCTACGCATGCATAATGTGCATCCTTATTTTTCCCTCAAAAATTTGGGCAAAAAAGTACGCATTGTATATGGCAAAATGCAGAATATACTTCACTTTCTTGATTCCTATAAAAATGGGTATCAATCTCTCAAAGTAGGAGAAAAGGAATCCCACTCTAAAATGACGGTTTTTAGGTGATTAAGTTCATTAAGTCATAAAGACCCAGAGTCAACATCCTCCCATTTTCAAAGTGTCTCCTTCTCTCTCTCTCCCCTCACACCCCCTTATACATATGAAGGCAATAACCTTTATTATCGCTCTTGATATGTAATAGATCCTTTCCAAAATTCAGATTTAAAATCAGCATTTGCCAAAGCAAGCCTTTGCGAAAGTGATCAAAATGATCTATAATTTTAAGGTCCATTGGAAGGGTTTTCAAAATAATGGATTAACAATTTAAAAGAAAACAGAGTTGTGAATAAATTAAATCTCACAAGTACTTAATGTCATGTTTTTCACCTGTAATTAAGTCAACTGTAACAACATCCAGTTTTTGTTAACTAGTAACTTAGTAGAGGTTGTCTAGGAAGTCAAATTAGTTATAAATTATTCACGTAGACACTGAATTCTTATTTGATAATGTTATAGTTTCAAAAAATTTTTCTATTAAATTTCCTGTCTTCTGCAGCTGAAAGACTCTGCTCTGTGCGACTCTTTGGCATGATGACAAAGTCACGGCAAGTACGCAGCAGCCCAATCAAAACGAGAACGTAACGCAGAAAAGAGAATTAGAAATACATATTTGCAAGTCAAATTATAATTGTTTTCCTAAAAAGTACCATCCTTTGTATACAAAGTAGGAGCTACTGACTTTTATCAGGAATATGCTGAGGTTGCTTTTATTATTTCTGTTTCCTTTATACTCAATATCACAGAACACCAGGCCATTTGCGGCAAAATGTGAGGATTAAGGCCAACTGATGAGCACCGGGATCCATGCGCAAATTGAGCCACAGTGGCACAGGGTGTCAGGGAACTGGGGAAATGAGATACATTTGTTTTTTAAATGATTTTTCAAAATTAACTGGAAATTATAACTGCATTACCTACCCCTTTTGAACCTGTAAAGGTTGAAGATCTCCCACTGGTAATCCATCTGAGGTAAAGAATTTCAGCAATTCTTTAGCGTCCAATAATGTGATCGAGTCCCGTGCACCCTCTTTGTGCCCCAGCAACTGTTCAGAAGAACGAGGTAATGAGCCAGCTCTGGGAAAATAATGTATGAAGGTTTATTAAAAGTCGATTAGAATTCACCATGGTCAGGAAAAGATGACATGAGCAGAAATCATAAAAATACGCAAAGAAAATTGAAGAGCTATACATTTAGGAAGAAATTAAAATAAACTCTTTGCAAATCGCTTAGTATCAAAGTATATTTTTTAAAAACCTACAGATCACAGTGAAACCTGCAGGTACTATATCAGCAATGCTACTACTTAACTAAAATAATTATATTCTTTATATGTAATGGCATGATCAATCATTTAGTAGTATAAAGTTATCAAATCTCTTACATTAAGCATTAAATCAAAACTCTTACGTGCTCTGAAACCTCACAGTATTGTAAATTTTATGGGTAGAAGCTTGAATGTTCCAATTTTCTACGAACTTGGAAGACCACCTGAAGCACAGCCCTGAAATGAGACAGTGACCAGAAACCTCTCCCCTGTCCCACGTGGCCACGATCGCAGCGCTGTGAGCAAGCACTGAGTCATTACTGCCCCTGAAATAACATGCAGGGCTGTGTGCTTCTCCAACGGTTTTACATACGATATATTCTTAATCCTCACAAGTTTCCTCAAAAAAGACAGAATAGGTCTTACATCAAAATCAAGATAACACCTGAAAATAAGTACTTTTTAAAGTGAAAAGCAGCATCCCACACCTAAAAAACCAATTGGTAGTTTCACTTTTCACATAATGCACAATAGTTTGCGTTACAGACCCAGGGTAACATACTGTCTGAAAAGATAGAAGTAGACTGACTCTGAATTAGGTACCATTTCTACTCTGTCACTCTATTTATGAATCCAAAAAGCTCTTAGTAACTTCTAAAAACTTGAAAGAGAAAAACACTTCAGTCTCAGAGAATTTTAAAGGTTTTGCCAAATACTGAGTCATAGGTCATGCTTTGGCCCTGTCACCAAAGTATAAATAAAGTCTTTCAATAATGGCACAGGAAATTAATTTCCTAACTTCATATCAGTTCAACTATTTCCTGATTATTTTACTACTAAAATCAAGCATTTTTATTGATAATTACATGATTAAAATGTTGAGATTATGGGTTAAAAGTTACATTTCTATACATAAAAGATCAATAATGTAACCAATGGTGCCTCTTTCCCATTCCCTTTATTTTTAAATTGAAAATATAACTCTAATAAAAACAGTCAGACAAGAAAATACTCAAGGATGTTCTATGAACTTTATACTCCAGGAGGGCAAGAACTGTATTGTGAGCTGAATTTAATTTCTATATAGCTATTCTCTAGTAGTAACTCACAAATGCTTCTTAATGAAAATTACTCTCAATCATTTTATATGCTAGATGTAATGGGGAAGTGTATAATTTGCATTTATATAGAATCCTGGACATAAGGATATCAAAGCAATTTAAAAGCCTGTTTATGATAAATTGCACTACCAAATATGTTTTGGGTTAAAAACAAAGAAACGAAAACCACAGCACTAATAATGCTTTATTTTGCTCAGTGTTTTCCAGCTTACGAGGTATCTTTTCATACAGTATCTCATTAAATTTTCACAGCTTTGAAGGAGAACTGGCATTGTCTTCCCCTCTTAAAGATGGAGGCCACAAAGTCACAAAAAGGTGACTGAGTTCGTCTAAAACCAAATTTGAATGACTTCTGAATTTTACCAAGCATTGACCCTCTGTGCTCCAGTTAAACCCATTTAAACACAAGATAAATTCTGAAAATAAGCAAAATAACTTTGTCTATAACAAAGAATTCATTGGTATTTCCCATATTTTGAAGTGTCCACAAATACTTATTGAGCATTTACTTTGTAAGTCTCATTGAAAGGTACTAAAAAGAGTTCACTGAGGATAATTTATAGATTTTTAATCAAGGCCCATGATTTAGTGTACAGATTGACTTGAAGTAGGAGAAAGGGGGTAAGGAGGGTGAAAAGAGAGAAACATACCAATGTAGAATGAGTAGAAAAGGTGCAAAAAAATAAGTCTTATGAAAGATTAACATAGTCCTTGGATGCTTAAGGAAGATAGCAATGAGTTGCAGCATTTTAAAAAGGCTTATGAGAAAGCTGATATTTGATTTAGACTTCGAAAGACAAACAACCTTCCGGTACAAGATGGTGGATTAAACACACACAGTCTCTCCATTCAACAAACAGAAATCACAATGGTGAAGTTTCAGACACTAAGTAGACCAAAGAGTTCAATGAATTTCAAAAATTTATAAACTGGAACAAGAGCCTCAAGGAGAACTGGAGATAAACCTACAAAACAGGTAGAATCTGTCTTCTTCGTCCCCTCCCCTGGAGCCCCAGCAGCTCTATACTTGGGTTCATTAGGTGACTGGGCAGAAATCATACAGCGTGTTGTAAGAATCCTCTGAGAACAGGCATTCAATCCCACCCTCTCACACCGTACATCACCCCATGCTTTTTCCTTCAGATTAAAGACAGAGAGGCTGCTCTCTGAAGACCCAGAACCAGGCGTTTGCCCCAGTGTCTGTGGTGATGTGCCCAGAGCAAACCCCTCTTAGTGCTGGGCGAGGACCAAGGCTGCCTGCCCCAGGTGGCCTCAAGTCAAGCTTGTCAGGCATGCTCTCCCCTGCATCCCCCCCACAATATTAAATCGGTTACAGCAGGTCAGGAACAGCACGACACAAATATAGAGCAAGTATATGCCAACTACCCAGATAGAGCAGCCTAGTACAAAATTCGTAGCTGTGAACAAATACAAACTACTAGACACTGGTGAAAAACTACACATGATAGAACACCAAAGGAACAACAACAAAAATCAGATCCAAAGAATGGTAAGATCATTCAACAAAAATATAAAACAAGCTAAAAAACTCTAATATCTTTATAGTATTTTTCTCAGTTCTCATTATGAATTAAAAAATAGGTTACTAATGAAAAAATAGGGTAGGGAAAGAGAATTATTAGTAATTTAAAGTATGACTTCACTTAACCAAAAAAATGAAAGCAAAGGTCAAGGAAATATCCTAGGACATAGGGTAGAAAAAAAATAAAGAAATGGATTATTGAGAGAAAATCAAATTAGAATGAAAAATCAATCCAGGATGTCTAACATTAGTTAAAACAGATATTTCAAAGAGATAAGAAAGAAAGAAAAAAAGACGAAATGGAGAATATTCTCTAAGAAATAACAAAAAAGCCCTGACTGGTATGGCTCAGTGATTTGTGTGGCATCCTGCAAACAGAAAGGTCTCCAGTTCAATTCCCAGTCAGGGCACAAGCCTGGGTTTGTGGGCCAGGCCCCCGGTTTGGGACTTGCAAGAGGCAACCGACTGATGTTTCTCTCCCACATCAATGTTTCTCTCCCTCTCTATCTCCCTCCCTTCCCCTCTCTCTAAAAATAAATAAATAAAATATATAATAATAATACTAAAAAAGAAATAACAAAAGAATATTTCCCAGAGCTGGAAAATAAAAAGTCATAGGACCAAATCATTTCACACCATGATGTCCTCATGTAATTTCAGAACATTAAGGAAAATAGAAAATTCTAGGTGTCCCAGAGACAGAAAAACAACACCTATTAAACAACAGAATTTGAACTGGCATCAGACTTCTCATTAAGACATGAGATCCAAGAAAATACAGGCTTAATTTAGAAATGTGATCAAAAGAAACAACAGGATAACAGTTGTACAGGTAGAAAGGGTGAGTCCCATTTAAAGTAGGTGCAAGAAAATAACCCCAAGAAGAAAAATAATTGTCTATTGCAAATATCATAAGGTTCAGAGATGGAAGATGGATTAGAAGTGAAGAGAAACAGAGGTGTTAATTTCCTCATCTTTCACAATGGAAAGTTAAAAGATATCATCTAAAATTAATCGACAAGAAACTGAGGTTCTTTTGTGAGTGACCTGTCCTCCTGTCCTCTTCTCAATCTCCTTCCTAGATTGAATTCTTCCTCCTGATCTAGAAACATGAGAAATCTTCAAGGAATAATCTTAGGCCTTCTTTTCTTTTCTTTATATGGTTTCACAAAGTGATCTTATCCACTAGTGTGTATTTAAAAATCCCTATTCATAGACCCAAATGGACTTCCAGATTTCTCCTGTAGTCCACTTGATAGGTACACATGTATAATCCATAGAGCAGTAATTTCCAACTGGTGTGCTACAAAAATTTTTAAAACATGCAATACCTGACTATTTAGTGACAGGTACTGACCTCCCTTCCCTTAGATTGTCAAATAAAAAATGACAACAGCCAACACAATAGCCATCCAGTATGAAAGTCCTGTCTTGAACCATAAATACATAGATCATACAATAGAGTTGCATCTTATTGGTCACATCGCATAAGAAAGTTACGTGCATCTGAATAGTTAATTCTTGGTACCAGAAATCCTTATACACAAGCATAGGCACCTGATTTTTTTTTAAAAAAGTCACTTTTGAGCAAAAAGGATAGGTAATTACTATTTTTATTTTTTAGGTCAATCAAAATTATACCATTTTTTAGTCAGATTGGCAAAAAATATATTTTTGGTATGCCTCAGAATTTTAGTAATTAGTTTATGTATGCCACGAGATAAAAAAGGTTGAAAATTGCTGCTATATAGTAAATTTAGCATCCCTAATGCAGAACTCTTGATTTTTCTACCCGAAGGTTCTCACCCCAACTTTCTACCAATCTTCCTCATCCCATAAGTGAAAAGATACCACTCACTCTGTTGTTCAAGCCAGAAATATAAATGATCTTGGATGCCTCTCTTTCCTTCTCCTCCACATCCAATCTATCACAGAAAGTTTTATTCTGGCTTACCATCAAAATAGATCCAAATTTGTTCTCCACTACTACTCTAGTGAGAAATCAAAGTTATCCCTCATTTTGCCTATAGAAATGCCACCTAACTGATCTCTCTACTCCTAATATTTCTTCCTGCAATCCATTTGCTGCAAAAGAGCAAAAGTAATTTTGCAAAATCAGACTGCATCAGTTTTTAGTATAAAATCTTTCAAAAGCTTATCAATGCACTGACAATAAAATCCAAAATCCGTATGATCTATAATGCACTTCATTCAGCTCAAATGTAATCTCCTTGAAAAACTGTCCCTGACCATCCAACCTGATCGAAACTCCCATCACGTCCCTCCCCTCAACAAAGACGATTATTCTCCCCAGTCCCTTTGTCTCCTTCCTTCACTGCGCATAGAATAATTAGTTGTTACTCAATAAATACCTGTTGATATATATGAACAAAATGTTATAGCTAGCCATAAATGCTATCAACAGAAAGGCTATAAATAAAAATGTGACTTGCAATACTTTGAAAGAAAGCAACGGAAGATGGTCTGAAAAACCATTCACGAAAATGTTCACTGTGATTATGTGCGCCCAGAAACCACAAGTAGAAGGCAGGAGAAGGAGAATGTTTTCTCAATATGCTGCTCTGTGGTTTTCTCTCTGTCTCTCTTTCTCTCTCTCTCCACCTACCTATCTTTCTAAAGTATATAATTCTTTTATAATAAAACTATAAAAAACTAGTATCTCAAAAACACAATGTAAGAAGTCAGAAAGTTCACTTAAAAATACTGAGCTGTTTAAGTATTACCTTATTTTTTGTTTAGCTTTTTCAAATGTTTCCAAATTTTGAAGAGCATGCCTCTCTGGCCATTCCAGAGGATTGATTTCCATTAGACTCGAAGAAATAGCTTCCACTGGACAGGTATCTAAAGAGAAGGAAATACACATAAGCACTGAAGAGTATAAACATACTGAATTTTGCTCCATAAAAACGTACACATGTAGATATAGGCACACGTCCCTGTGGGTGTGTGGACGGGGGTATGTGCATGAGTGTGTATAAAGGAATGTTGGATTCACTGTGTAATACTTACCTCAGGCATTTAGTAAGGCTATCTGATGGCCTGAACTGTGCAAAATGCCACAGCAAAGGTTTTTGGAAATGAAAAAAAAAAAGAATCACTATTAAGTTTTATTTACTTACTACCTCCTCATAATAAAAGTGCATCACTTAAGACATACAAGTCCCTTGGCTCCTAATAAAGAGTTCTGTGACTATTCTCTTCTAGTTAGATTCCTAGAAGAAATAAAATTTCTTCAAAGTTTGTGTTTAGTTTCTTAACCAACAAATACACAGCATTTACTTCATACAAGACAACTTTCTAGGCAAGTAACAAATAATTCATTTAGTACTCATATTAATCTACATCACCCCTAATCTAAAGATTAAAAAACTGAGTCGTTAGGAAACTTGCCCACAGTCACATAGCAAGCAAGCCACAGAGCCGGGATCCGAAGTCTCCCTTGTGCGCCTGAGCCACCGCCGTAACTGGGAAGCTGTGCTCTCTCACTTACTGAACGTGTCCATCCCCCAGTTCCACACGTAGCCCCACAGTCTCCAACATCTTTCAGATTACTCCAAACTACTCCTTAACTTTGGTACTGATGTATAGCAATGATGAAATGATAATGACAACATAAATAACAGCTCAATAATTTTTTGGCATTTATTATGTTCTAAGTGACTTATATGTATCAACTCATTTAATCCTCACAATAAGCCTAGGGAGTGAGCAATATTATTGAGCCCATTTTAAACACAAGGAAAGAGAGGCAGGGAGAGGTTAAACAGCTTGCTCAAAGACATTCAGCAAACAAATGACGAAGCTGAGATTGGAACCCTGGCAGTCTAGCTCCTGAGCCTGGGCTCCTGAAGGGGGCTCCAGATGCTACGTTTATATTTTGCTTTCCAAATAGATCAGAAGCCCATAGAAAGCCAAGAACCCAAACATTTACTTCTTTGTATATCTTTCTGGTGTCAAACAGACAAAAAATACTCAACAAACATTATTGTTAACTTGATTCTTCAGTCATTTTCTTATTAATCTAAGGAATAAAAATGATTCTCACAGAATAAAAACGAAAATTATCCTGTACATTTAAAATGTTAGGCAACCTTCAAATGCCTTTTTGTTACATCTTGAAAAGCGTCATCCCAAGCAAATTCATCATAATAGAAACCAGGAAAATAGAAACGCAAGTTAATATAGAAATGACTTCCTCCTCCCTCAGTTAAGTCTGCTGACTGTTCCTGCTATGATGAATGGCAAATGTGGAGCATATCATATGCAGTTTTAACTATATTAAATTTTCTATGCAGGCTCTGCTTTTCTCACCTTATGAAAACAGAGCTTAACAGAAATCACCCATTCAAGCAGCTTAGAGTAGCATGGATCGCCTTAAAAGCTTCTCCTGCTGCAGAAAAACAATTATTACACTGAACGTGCTTTGTAAAAGAAGTAACCAGAACATGTTTAATGTTTAAATGATTAGAAATACAGCTCATCAAATATATACACATATACACACACACACCTACCAGTAACTCTTCCTTTAATTAATGTCATTGACAAGTGCTCTAATTTTACGTAAAATGACAATGAAACCAACTTGATTCATATGAACAAGAGTTAAGTTTCTATGGCATTTCGGCAACATTATAATGAAACGACATTGAATGAAATGATGTTACTTGAGTGCCTGCTGTACTTGTGTATACAAATATATGTCATTATTTAAATTTTAAGGTTCATTTTATTTTGATCAATATTTTATTAGTTTTAATAATAAACAGTAACTGTCATAAATGTCACACACAAAAAAGAGCTAATATTTAGAGTAACAAAAAAACTTACCATTCAATGGATTGGAGGTATTAATTTTGTCTGTTTTTCTTGTCATTGTTTTAGGAATAACAGAATCAAAATGATCTAAAAAGTGTTCCCTTGTGAGTGTTAATAGATGTTTGAGTTCACCGACAGACAATACTTCAGGCTGCTCTGCCAACTTTCTCCTTTCTGAAAGACAATAGATCCACAGGATTAACTATATCACTATTATTTTAAATTCTATCTAAAGCACATTGGCTACTCATTTTATGGGAAATATTCACGAAACTAAAACAAGTGAATTTACCCAGCAAAACAACATGCTTGTGTAGGCCTACTTTCGTTTTAATCCCATTTGTAGATAATGGTAGAATTTCAAGTTTTGTGAGAGAAACAGAAAGACACTAATTTGTTAACACTGAAAGGTGATAACAGTAAAGAAAGTTTACAAGTTTTCAAAAATATCTTGCAGAGCCTTATGCTGGTGTTTTTGTAAATATAAAACCTGTAAGATTTTATTGAAACATGTTAAATGTGGTATCTTGGTCACTGCTACCTATTTCTTCTCTTTTCCAAAACCTAAGATCACAGTAAAGGAATAAGAAAAGATAACCAAAGGAGAAATGATGACGAACGACAGTTTCCACGCACCTTGGGAGATAAGACAGTGGTGGAGTCGGCACAGCAGAGGCGCTGCCTTGAGGTATTAGGGAGACGCTGGCGAGGTCCTGAGCTCAAACGGGACTGGATCCACGGAGGCTCATGGAGGGGCCAGTGAGAACGAAATGTCCCCACCCACCCACCCTCCAGCCCTCATAGCCAGATGACTTTGCTCGTATTTTTGGGGGGCAGAAACCGAAGAGAGTCTCAAACTATGAAATATCAAGTACATTAAAGGTAGTATTGACGCTGGGGTTAAAGCTAAGGGGTTAAGCAAGAGTCTCACACAGAATGGCCGGGCTCCTAGCCCTGTGGTCAGAAAGCCGGCCGCTACGCATGCCCACTGGAGAGATGAAAGCATTCTCCTTCTGAAAAACTGGATGCTCCCAGAGAAAAGGTATGGATACAGATATCAAAGTGAGAGTAGAGACAAAATCTCCCAGACAAAATGTTGAATTGTTACTCCACCACTCTACAATGCAGCTTGCCAGGTACTACATCATATTAGAGTGAGGCGTATAGAACTTCCCTCTTAAAACAGGTCAGAAAAAAACAAAACACCAGACTTTTAAAAGAAAGATGTTGAGGGGAGAGGGGCTCTGCACTGCCATGATCCTAAGACATGTGTAAGGACTGAGCAAGGAACAGTTGCAGCTCCCTTCTCCCTCCATCACTCACTGAGCTAGTCTGGAGAAGCAAGCTGGCACGCTCTGTTCAGACTCTTCCTCTCCAAATTTTATCTGAGCCATCAGAACGCATGCTCTCCGCAAGGTGCTCGGTTTCTAGCACCTAGACCCGGCAGTCACTCGGGGCATAAATTCAATTCTGGGTATATGTATCAGAAAACCTACCCAGCTGCAGATCTAATAAGTCATTTCCTTCAGCCCAGCTTTTATCTGTAATTTATCACCATCTGAGTGTGTGTCCTAAGTTTATATCTTAATTGCTTCCAACTTTGAAAGGGAAAATGGGTATTATTCACTGGCCCCCACTCAACTAAATAAAAAAAGTCCAGGATGAAAAAGAGAGGTTAAAATAAGCAAAGAGAAAAAAAGGAGCCCCACAGAAATAATAACACTGCAGGGAAAAAAAAGTTTGCTGAAATTAATATTGTCATAGAAATAAGAAAAAATACTACACCCCTGAAACAAGTGCAGGATGCTTTGAAAAAAGAACAATCAATGGACAAGAAAAGACTTTTTAAAATTAAGCCCATAAAAAGCTCGGATTTTTATAATTCCATAATAATGGGCTCAAGATGCAAGATATCCCTTAGAAACTAGAACAAAAATATGTAAAAAGGAAAAAGTAGGCATTCTGTCCAGAAGACCAATGTATAACTAATAAGCGTTCTAGAAAAAGAGAAAAGAGGAAATGAGAGAAAGGAAATTATTAAAGAGATAAGTTTTTTCACTTAAGAATGGGAATATTCTACTAAAATGGCTCATCAAGTACACAGCCCAAAAAATGGGAGAGGGACAGGGAAATATACACCCTGCAATCAGAGTAAAACTTTTAGAGGCAAAGCTTCTGGAAATACAGGTTCTAGAAGAGAATAAAAACAAATAAACCAAAACAGAGCACTGCAAAGGATAAGAACTGTGTTCAATTCATTCACACAGCAACACAGATAATGACGGAGAATATCTTCAAAATTCCGAAGAGATTTTCATACTGGAATCCTATAGGAATTACCAGTCAAGTACAGATATTTTCAGACATGCAAGAACTCGAGAAATGCATACTCCATAAGATTTTACTCAAGAAATGATTGGCACATACACTCCAACTAAACAAATGAGTAACCCAAGGAAAAGGAGGAGGATGAGTCTAAACGAAAGGAGACTGGAAGAGGAGAGAAGAGAGAGCCTCTAGGATATCTGGAGTCCGGAAAGTAATCTGTCTACAATGGAGTGAAATAAAGAAATGCTCTGGAAAAAAAATGAAGAGAAATAAAATGGAACTGCTGTGCTTGAACCTACGATGAATTCAATGATGGGTGAGTGGCAGAAATATTGGAGTCTACGGAAAACATACCAATGTTTTGTCTGTACAGAAGAATAGGCAAATGAAAAACAAAGTGACCATCAACCAAAAGCAAAACAGATTATGCAAGGAAGAAGAGTTGATCATTAGTAATCATCATATATGACATGACTCAACAGTAAACTTGTATATATAGTGACAGTACTGTTAGAAGCAACCACAGATTTAACTGAAATTCATGACTTCACTATATGGGGTGGGAAGAGAAAGTGAAGCTGATGTGGGAACGCTAAGTCTTTATCTTAGATCTTAAGATAATGCCTGAAATTGGTAAATCAGGAAACAGCAGCCTACACGTATTATTTAGAAAACTGGAGGAAATGTCAGAAAAAGCAGCCGGAAGAGGCGAGGTTCGCTGCCGGTGGGCGGAGACCTAAAGTCGGGGAGGGGAGGGGCCCCTGCCACTCTCCACATGAAGTTTCCCAGTTCCATTTCAATGTTTAAACTATACTCATGTATTACTTTTATAAAAATACCTTATTTTATAAAACTCCTCTTGACTATCAATATTTTCTTCTATAATAAATAGCAAAGTATAAACCCACAGAGAATTGAATTCATTGAACATTTATAATGCACGGCCTGCAGAGGCAGCGCTGTGCCCTCAGGCGCAGAGGCAGAAGGCAGATTCATCACACCAGGCGGGGTCGGCACATCCATAATCCACGGGAATAGGCTGGCTGTGGTTTTCAGGAGAAACACCTCTGTGAAATCCCACCTCACCAATGGGGATATGGGGAGGGTCATTCCAGTCTGCCCCGAGGTAAGTAACAGATGGTTTCTGCAGTCAAGAACACTAGTCGTGGTGGAGTAAGAGTAATAATAGATGCTGCGTTTATTACATCTTCCTAGTGAGAAAATAAAATGCTGCTGGGAGCGATGCTAAAACAAAAGTTATCAATGATTTTTCATTTCATCTGAAAGATGTACAGTAAGTCATAGGCTTTGGAGATAAGCCCTACACGTTTATTAACTCTAAAAACATACTTAAATCATGCGCCTGATATGCTTATTAGAACTGTCAATTATATGACAATACTGGGCAATCTGGAGAGCAGAGTAAGACTTCCTGATGATCTCGATGACAGAACAAGGGAGAGGGAAAGAAAGTAGATGAAGTTTAACAGGGTTACGAGCAGGATAATTTACCTTGGTGAAAAATGATCTACACAAATGAGGTTGCACACAAGTGGCGGATAGACTCAGAAGAAATATAATGGACTAGTCAAAACATAAATTGGCAAAAGAATGCCATTCATAAAAAAAGCTGGCAATAACTAAGAATTTCTTAAGAAAAATACAGAGTAGAAGGATATCAAAAGGATCAGCAGACTGAGTATCAATCAGCTTTGCACTAGGTCCTGTGGATGTTAAAAGCAGTGATCACAATACTGGAATAAAACAACAGCACTGCTGTTTTCGTATTCCTTTTGCATCACACTGAACAACTTTTTATTTAAAAATTAACAACATTCTTAAACTTTTTCTTTAAAAACCAGTGCAACGAGATGTTAATATTTCCAAATACAAAAAGTTATAAATTACAAAAAAAATTAGGTAAATATAATTATAAATTTTAATTATATTTTTTTCTTAATCACATTCACATTGGGTCCATTACAAAAATATTTAAATTATAGGAGTTTACTAATACATTATTGACAGAGGGTAAATCATCTAAATCTAGAGAGAAAAATATAAGCATCAAAAAACAACACAGCCCTGGCCAGGTTGCTCAGTCAGTTGGAGCGTTTGGTCCCATACACCAAATGGCTGGAGGTTCAATCCCAGGTCAGGGCACACACTTAGGTTGTGGGTTGAATCCCTGGTCAGGTGACTATGGGAAGCAATTGATCAATATTTTCATCTCACAATGAGGTCTCTCTCTCTCTCTCTCTCTCTCTCGTTCTGTCTCATTCTCTCTCTTTCTCTTCCTCTCTAAGATCCATAAACATATCCTTGGGTGAGGATTAAAAAGAAAGAAAGGCTGATAACCAAGTTAACAATGAGTAATAGAGTAAAAAGCCTTAAACTCTGACCCATGAAAAAGTGTTAATTTCTTGATTAAGGAAAAACTCTTAACACCAACTTCGTCCAGTATGTGATACGTGCTTAATTATCACTGGTAGTCATAATTACTGTCTAAGGATCAGTGCTCAAGTTAATGTATTAATTCTGTGAACTTGCATTTTCTTTTATTTGTAGTCTCCATCCTCATATGACTGCTAAAATATATAAACAGACATTTTATAAAGAGATCTAGATTAACCAGAAAAAAATTTAGGTATGTTTTCTAGCATACAGTTAAAAATGGTGAAATACAAAATTTTCCTGGAGAAATATTCCTATAAATGTTAATAGAGATGTACAAATAAATAGGAATAGTAGAAAAATAGTTGCAGACTTTTTCTACTCTACATCACCTCTACAAGAAAAAGAACAGTTCTACAAATGAGTGTCATACCTAAAAGACAAAGCATATGAGAAAAAGTGTGGAAACAATGATGCATGATGTCTGAACAGTCAACATCCTTACAGTAAAATAAAATGTACAAATTGTTACTTACTCAGACATTCTTTCAAAGCCAAAGTCTGAACATGAGCTAACTGCTTCTCTCTCTGTATAAGTTGCTCCCCAGAAAAATGTGGAAGTGACATGAAATCAAAAGGAAAGCCTGAGACAGAGAAAAAAGACAGTATTAAAGATGTTTTATGATAACAATTAATATTCAGTTCCCAGCTAGTGTGTTATTATGCAATTTAAAAAGTAAAAGTCAATTGCTCATCTCTCTTGATCTTGCATATTTCAAAATAAAAAGTTTACACATACTAAATTATTGTGCATTTTCAACTTTGACTTGCTTCTTAAATAGAGGGAATTTAAGGAGCAGGGTAGAATTCTCTCCATAACACTGTCTTCTACAGGCTGAGCTACTGAAACTCTTACGCAGAAGGGGTCAGAGAGAGAATGAAGAGGGTAGAGAGGGTCAAATACATGGTGAAGGAAGGAGACTGGAGTTTGGGTGGTGGACACACAAGGAAGTATACAGGTATTGTATGATCAAGTTGGATATCTGAATCTTACACAATGTTATTAACCAATGTTACCCCAATAAATTTAATTAAATGAAAAAACGAGTAGGGTCGTTAGTCTTTAAAGATGGCCCCCCAGTGAACCACACATCCTGCTGTTCACGCACCGTGTAGTCCTTCCGCAAGGAATCCTGGCTGGTGCTGTGAAACCAACCAAGTATGGTAAAAGTGACAGCGAATGGCCTCTAGGTTAGGTCGCAGAAAGCCTTGAGGCTTCTTAGAACAATCGCCGTGAGTTAGTGACCACCGAAGAAACGAGACCGCCCTGTGACGGTGATGTCGTGAGAGAGCCCAAGCAGGCCGTGAGGAAAGGACACAGCAAGGGAGAGTCGCCTCTCCTCTGTTCCCGCCATCCTAACCCAGGTGCCAAACACGTCGGGGGACCAGCCGTATCGCCCACCCAGCCCTGTTCAGTCTTCAAATGACCGGAGCGCCAGCTGCGTGCGACCGCAGTCATCTGTGGGACCTCAAAACAGAACCAGCCAGCTGATCGAGTCTACAGGACTATGCGACGTAAACGTAAAAATAGTCACTTCTGAGCTAAATTTGGTGTGGTTTTTCACATAGTAATGGATAGCCAAAACATACAGCTTGAAGAGAAAGGGTGACATTTAAAACAGAACAAGATGCTTGAGAGAAAGTAAATGAAATGAGAAGTTATAGAAAAGTAATACGTGTTTAAAGTGGAACATACAAAAAAATTCCTATCAGGAAATTGAGGGCCGATCTAGTAAATTTTACTGGGTATAATGTAAAATGGACTTATTCTCTGTCCTCTAAATTGTTCAAATACATTATAATATGTTTAAAATAAAAGGTAAATTTACTGAAAGTGAAATGGAGTTTGGGGGGAAAAGTTCATTAAAAACCACATAGGTTAATTACATATACTAACAAATGTAAAAAACGGTTTCCACTAAAGTTAACACTTACTCAGTTTGGTTTCTTCTGTCCTCGCCTTCATCTTTCCATGAATTAAACTGAGTGCAAATGAGCCATTGACCTGGTTGGCTGAGTGAATCAGTGTGGCTTTGCATTTTCTACTGTCACTACCTTGTATCAAGAGATAATAGCTAGAATACTCCCCTTTCACTTCAACATCTGGAACTAAACAAAAACAATTATCTTGTTAAGTAGGTGAAAATTCAGCATGCAACGTGACAGAATTATACACTCGACCCTTGGAATAGAGTGACATCTCTGTGTTGTTTTAAAACAACTTGTTACCCAATATACTTGGAGCTAGCCAGCTGTTCATTTAACTGAGAAAGCCATTAAAATCAGAAAATAAAAGGAAAAACAAGAAAACCAGAGAATCAAAACAAGATACAAAATATGAACATTTTAATTTCATTTATTAACTTTTGGTGTAGCTCACTAGAGCTCCATGACATTCTTCTTACTACCCACACCCATAATGCATCAACTACTATTTTCCGCTTCCATTTCTTTCAAGGGGAATAAACTGATCCCTGCAGCCACATACCCCTGGACTGGCGGGAACAGAAGTATACAGATGTATTTTAGAGCAGTTTTTTGCTCTTTGTAGTGGGCACCCCTAATGTATTTTTACAGAGGGACTGGAGAGCATTCATTAATCTGGCATGTCAGTTACGTGAAGGTCAGTTACGACAGCTTCTAGTATATTTTAAAAACAAATCAAGTGAGGGTTATCGTGAAGGTCGAAGAAAAACTGTGAAGCCTTTGAGAGTAAAAATAGAAGCAGAGTCCTTTTTGTTGAAGATGGTGAATTGGACATAAGCATTTATTTTCACTCTCTCCTGAAACTCCATGAAATGAGAATAAAGAGAATTTTAAAATAGCATAAATCTACAAGGACTAATATCTGAGAGAAGAGAACAGCAACTAAATTTTGAAAGCAGGAAAGCAGATGAACAATTGGTAACAGGCCTTACTTTCTCAAATGCTAAAGAAGCTGAGAAAAAACAGAGGCGAGAGCTTAGAAGCAAACCAATTTATACTCTAACCCAACAAGAGGCTCTGGGACGGTGGCCCCAGATGCACTGGAATCAAAAGGAAGGTGAAATAAAAAGTCAAGTTGAAAGACTGTTTGAGAAGAAGAATGGCTTCCTGATTTTCCTTATTCTATTCAAGTAAATGATGGTCCTTTCCCCAGCCCAGAAGACTAGTGGTTTATTCTTTGGAGAAAGCATTACCAGATGTCTCTGGCGTGGGAGATAAAAACACAGAGAGCTCAGGGTCGGAGCTGATTATCAGTGGATTGAGTGCTTTTGTACAGAACACTGAGGGGCCCTTTCTTCACCTACATAACTTCCAGAATGTTGGAGGCCGTATAGCAGAACTAAGTCTTCTTTTGGAAATGTGGTCAGTCCTAGAGGACAGACTAAAGAATCCCAATATTGGGGATCACCTAATGTAATGTTGCAGCGAGATCACCCTAAAATGAAGATCCTGTCAACAAGCTCTACCCAGGCACCCAAATTTTCCAATCGGCTTTCTGGTACTCTCTCTTAAATATGAGCAGACAGCCAAACATTATGAGACCTTAAGAAAAGTCTCTACTATGAATGCTAGATGCCAAAATAAACAGGAAAAAAAGTGACTTGTAGAGAATGAGAGAATATTCTTTTTTTAAAAAATCACAAAGACAAAAACAAACAAGTCAGATCACTAAAAATCCTCAGAGATGATATATAAGAACAGAAAATTACAGGAAAAGAACATTAACTTAGAAAGAGCTCATGGAAATTAAAATTTAGAAAGTAGTAGAAATATAGATTTCAATGAATAGGTTATAAGATAAAGTTCAGCAAATCTATCAGAAAATAGAATATAAAAACAAAAACAAAAAAAAGAAAAGGAAATAGGAGAGGAAGAGGTGGAGAGACCTGAACCAGGAGAAATAACATAAAACAGGACTAACAAAAGAGAGAGTATTAAAACATGAAGAAAAGGAAATTATCAACAAAATAAGTAAAACAACATTGTCCCAACAAAAAAGCAAGCTTCCAGGCATGCTGAGTGCCCAATACAAGAATAAAAACAGACCTACCATGGTACATCATCACAAAAATTCAAAAGACTACGAACAACAAGCTGATTTTTAAAATGCCAGAGAAAAATGCATGTTTCTGACTTTTTTTTAAAAAGAGAGACTGGCATTAGAATTCTAAACAGCACCAAAACTGGACAACAGTGGAGCAATAACTTCAAAATTCTTATATACACTAAGAAAAAGGTCTACTGTTAGCTTATTACCAGAGTTTATTCACAGATATGAGCATACTGTGGGTTAAAGCCAATCCTCCAAAACAATTACATAGCACGAAAATATTTTTCCAACTAGCTCGTAATACAGTAATCCTATTTGTAAACATCGATCTTAGAAAAGGAATTTAGAAGATGGTTTATTACAAAGGAAAGTTGTATTTGACCACATGATCATGCCTATATGTGGAACTTAACCAACAAAACAAACAAGCAAGGAAAATAATAGCCAGCAACATTGAAAGAAAAAAGGAACCAACAGAATCAAGAGGGATGGAGGGGTCTGGGGGAAGGGAAGGGAAGGGGCAAGTCAAGGAACGTGTATAAAGGACCCATGGACAAAGCCAAAGTGGACAAAGATTGAGGGAGGGAGGTGGGGGAGGGGGACAGGGGAAAGTGGTGGCGGGAAGGTGGAGACAAATGTATTTGGACAATAAAACATAAAAAGAAATAAATTAAATTAAAAAATAGAGAAAGCTGTATTTGAAACTGATGTTTGCCAAAAGTTACAGTGACTTTAATTCTTTGACCTGTTTAGCATCTGCCAACCTAAGTTATGTATCCCTTCAATCCCTGACACCCTTCTCACACTTACTTATCTCCCAATACCTGTATTAGAATTTTAATCACTGAAGCTTGTAATTACATTATTTTCCTTAAAAGAAAAATATTTTACACAACTCCTAACTATAATAACTATGCAGTCATTTAAAAAACGTTGTTCCAGATATAACAGGTGTTAATGAAAGACTTAAGTAATTTTTATGTAAATATAGAGAGTAACAGATATAGAATTAGCATAATTATTCAATTCTCATAGCTCTTCCTAAAGAATTAAGGGGGAATGATTACAATAGAAAATTCCTTTCTATTTTCATACATTATTTTTATACTACCAACTTATAAGAGATTAATTGGCTGGCATGCCCCGCTCTCCACCAAAACCAAACACCGACTTTGGATCTGCTATAAGTATGGGTAAAGTGGGAGAAGCTGAAATTACAAGTTTCCCTTAGTTGTGTTAAATTTTACAAGTAACATATAAACTATAATGAAGACAAAATTCTAGTACAATAAAAACCCAGTCATAGTTTATATTAATAAGTTTCTCAGCAGTTCTTGAAACCCTGTAGCAACCCCGTCTTTTTTATAGCAGTTCAACAATATAAAAACAAAATCATATTAATGTAAAGGGGAAATAATATTTCAAATGATATAATGAAAAACACCTCAAGATAATTCAGGAAACAGGATATTCTGGTTAAGTGAATACACACACACACACATACACTCCTTAGAACATGAAAAAATAATATTCCCAATTACTTTATAATAATAGCGTATAGCAAACAATAAAATAAATATAATCCTCACAGTAAGCACTGCAGGAGGCTACATATTTTCCAATGATATCATTGTTTAAGTGATTCTAGATCCAGCCTTTGAAATAGACCTTAGGGTCAGCTGAAGAAAAACAAGATAAAAATAAATCAATCTGCTTACTTTACATTCACAAAGCATTTCCAAAAAATGTATTGCCTAGCTTCATCTCCCACCATATTTGTCAGCTAAGCTTTGAACGATTTAGTGCAAAACTTAGCTGTCACTGAGACTATCCAGGAAAATTCCCTGCTTCTATTCTAGAAGGAATCTAAAAAGAAATATAGTAGAATAGGTGCATAAAGCCTCCTACTGTGAAGATTACACAAAAGGCAGGATTTATATATTCCACCGTGGCTATTTTAAACAAATAACATTAAGATCCTAAACTGTGCACATTTCCTCTTTGTTACAATATAGTAAAATATGCAATTTAAAAGCTACAATGAATAGAGAAGCTATTCAGAATGTTGCTTCAACACCTTACTCATTCTCATAAACAACAATCTCTTTATTGTTCCACAGACACAGAAAGCATTTACGATTGGACAGAATAAGGAAAAGCAACTGCAGGGGTTACAAAGTGTTTATTTACCTCCATTATCACTGTGAGTCAGACAAGTTTGTGAGACCCTCTAAGCAAGTACCGTCCTCATTCTCCAGCCATGGAATTGAAGACCTAAGGCAGTGACTTCCAATCCCTTTTCTGCCTGTAAGCCCCCGAAAGCCTCTTCAGCAGTGGCGGCTCCCTCGCTTACGGTTGCAGACAACACGCCCAGCACAGAGGCCCTCAAATCCTGGGTGCACTTTTGACCTACTTAGGTGCTATTACAAACTGCTGAGGCCCTGGTTCCCCCAGATATAATTGTTCTCATGTAGGATCCAGCCTGACTTTCCTTTTTTTCCCCTTCTTTTAATAATTGTCACGGTGATTCTAATGTGATTTGGACTTTCCTTTTTTTCCCCTTCTTTTAATAATTGTCACGGTGATTCTAATGTGATTTGGTGCTAAGAATCATGGAACCAAAGCCTGCATTTAGGTGTAAGGGTCTTCAGGTGATTCTGACCAAAAAAAAAAAAAGTTTTAATGAGCTATAACGTACATATATATATGTGCATACATGTATGAGAGCCTAAGTTTCATTAACGTAAGGGAATTATATACCTGTGCAACCATCTCCGTAACAGTTTTGAAAACATTCCTTTACCTCTTCGCAGTCTCCTTTCCTACTCATGGCCTCCGGCCACTGCGGATCTGCTTTCTGTCTCTTTTTTGCCTTGTATAGAAATTTTACATGAATGAAACCATGTAATAGTCTTTTAAGCCCAACTTTATAAACTTAGCATATTTAGGTACACCCAAAACTCTCATGCCTTTTTATTGCTGAGACTATTCCATTGTATGGACAAAACAAACTGTTAATCTATTCACCCGTTGATGAATGTTTGCAGTTTCCAATTCTTAGCTGCTATGAATACTGCTCTTGTAAACAGTGGCTTGCAAGCTTTGTGAGAACATAGGTTCTTATTTCTCGTGAATAAATACCTAGGAATTGAAGTACTAGGCTGTGTTGTTAAGTGTAAGTTTAACTGTCAAACTGTTTCCCCCAGTAGCTGTACCATTTTACATCCCCACCAACAAAGTGTGATGTTTGCAGTTTCTCCATATTCTCATCAACACTGGTGAGGTACTGTTTTCAATAACAGCCATTCTAGTGAGTGCAGTACAGAATTGGATTGCGGTTTTAATTGGCATTTCCCTAAAGACTAATGATGTCAAGCATCTTTCATGTGCTTTTATTAGTTATTCATGTATCTTTAGAGAAAAGTCTATTCATGTTTCTTACTCACTTATTAATTGGGTTGTCTACTTATTGAGTTGTAAGAATTTCATATACATACCCATACAGGGTGTGGCAAAAGTAGGCTTACAGTTGTGAGTACATGAAACATACTTTATTCTTGTATTATTATTTATTGTTGTATCACTTTCCATATGAACAACTGTAAACCTACTTTTCCCTGCCCTGTATATGTTGCTGTTAGATATATAAGTAGTTTTTCTTAGTAGTCTCTGAGACTTTTCCTTAACAGTGTTTTTCAGAAAATGGACATTTTTAATTTTGGTAAATATATAGAGTTTTTTCTTTTTACAGATCCTTTTGGTGTATATGTTTTCCTCCAGAGGTTTTGTAGTTTTAGAGTTTACATTTAAGTATATAACTCACTTTGAGTTAGTTTTTATATAAAAAGATAAAAGTACATATATAATTTTTTATATATGGATATCCTATTCTTCCGGTACTATGTTAAGGAAACTACCCTTTTCCCAGCGGCATCTATGTCTCTATTCTGTTCTACTGATGTATGTGCATCCTTAGTCCCCTACCCCCAGTCTTCATTACTGTGGCTTCACAGTAAGTTGTGAATCAGGTAGTATAAATTCTCAAACATTGTTCTTCCTTTTCAAAATTGTTTTGACCATTCGAGGTCCTTTCCAATTCCATATACAGTATTTTGCTGTGTATAATATGCACTTTTTAGCCCCAATTTTTGGGAGAAAAATAAGGATGCACATTATGCATGGCTAGTCTAAAACATGGATGTACATTATACACAGGGGCGCATTATACGCAGCAAAATACAGTAAATTTAGGGTAGTTAATTTCTAGGAAAAGTCCTCCTGGAATTTTGTTAGAGACTGAATTGAATCTATGGGCCAACTTGGAGAGAAGTACCATTGTAACAAACTGAGTTTTCCAGTTTATGAACATGGTGCATCCCTCCCTTACCTACATCTCCTTTACTGACTCTCAGGAATGTTTTGACATTTTCAGTGCACAAGTCTCGCACTTCTTTTGTTAGCGATAGTCTTCAGTATTTTATTCATTGATTTCTGGTCTAATTTTCTTCCTTTTGCTTACTTGGATTTAGTCTTCTAGCTTTTTGAGGTTGATGTGTAAATTATGGACTTTAGGTCTCTCTTCCACCGTAAGATAAGCATTTAAGATCCTCAGGTACTGCTTTAGTTGATTCCCATAGATTTATGTTTTGTTTCCATTCTCATTCAGTTAAAACTATTTTCTAATTTCCCCTTTGGTTTCTTCCTTGACCTATAGGTTACTTGGAAGTGTGCTATTTAATTTCCAAATATTTAAAGTATTTCTCAGATTTCTATTGTTGATTTCTAATTTAATTCCACCATAACTGAAGAACATATTGTGTATTATTTCTATCCTTTAAATTCTGAACCTCATTTCATGGCCTAACATATATGTAATCTCTCCTGAAGAGTGCTTCTTATATCCCTGAAGAGAGTGATTATGTTGCTGAGTGGTGTGTTTAACCAAAGTAGTCCAATAACGTTGGTTGATATTGTTCGCTACTGAATTCCTAGCACCTAGAATAATGCCCTCAGTACAGTGAACACACAATAAATTATTGCTGATGGAGAGAATACTTTTTCTCTACCACTAAAATCTTTCAAAATCTTTATCACAGCCCCTTACCTTTTCTCAGTATGGAAATTATTTACAGATCAGTTATGCTGTGTCATTTTAACCTTATTAGTTTCACCTCACTATTTTGAAACACTTTTATCACACCAATTTATGAAGAAGGCACATGCTTTATCAATTCAAAACATTTCCTCTGTTCTTATTAGTCTACTTACTTTAAAAATATTTTTATTAGAAGACTCATCTGTCAGCAAACTAATTAAGACTTTTTTTCCCCAAGAGTACCTTAAAAATTTTTCCTTTCAAAAGAATTCTAATTTTTTAAAAAATGAGGCAACAATAAACTCATAAATGTAAAGTTATATGCATTCAGACTTAGGTGATAATTCTGATTTCACTCTGTGACATTAAAGTTTCTTGATTTCTCTGTAGCTTAGCTTTTTCATTTGTAATATAAAGTCAGGCAATGATAAACATCTAGTGTTAACAATTTCATAAAACTTCTCTGTAAACATATAGTGAGCCAGGCACTTTTTATGATACAACTGGCTTTTAAGTACAAGTTCTAAATATAGAACTCTTTCTTCAAAAATGTAACAGGGTTTAGTTAATTGCATTTATACACATAGTTCTTTTGCATTTTTCCAGGTATCATAATAGTTCCTGTGTATTTCACCAAAAATCACTTTTAAAAATCATTCTTTAGCCCTGGCTGGTATGGCTCAGTAGACTGAGCACTGGCCTGCGAACCAAAGGGTCGCCAGTTCAATTCCCAGTCAGGGCACATGACTAAGGTTACGGGCCAGGTCTCCAGTAGGAGATGTGCGAGAGGCAACCACACATTGATGTTTCTCTCCCTCCCCTTCTCCCTCCCTTTCTCTCTCTCTAAAAATAAATAAATAAATAAAATCTTTTTAAAAAAGATCTTTCTTTAGTCACTCTTAATTTAAGCATACATCAATGGGGCACTGTTTTTATATATTAAGTCAACCATATGGAATTGCTGATACTTAATGCTTTTTGATATAAAAATATAGCAATAGCATATAGTTCAAACTAACACATACGTGTCCATGTGGTCTCCCTCACACCAACAGTGAAAAAGAAATAAATAAAAATACCACTTACATTGAAGCACAGTATGAAGGGACACACTTTAGCTATGTTATTCTGGGCAAGTTACTAACAATTTGGGCTTCAATTACCTCATGGAATACCAGGATTTGGATTTATATATCTGCTTTTATGAGAGAAATTAGAATTTCATTTTTACAATGATATCCTGAATATAATGGATTATTAGAGAGGCAGGCAACACAGTGCAGCGGTGAAGAACACACATCTGGGTTCAAGCCCTTCGGGACGTCACAGAGCTATTAACAGGTGGAGCCAGGATCTGAACTGAGATTCTGCCGATTAACAGCTCAATGAAATCTCTGAGCCCCAATTCCCTCACCTGTTAGATGGTCCAAAATAGTTTTATAGGGCCATTAGAAAAATCAAGAGAATCAATATATCTAAAGGACTTAAAACAATGTTTAGTATATCATGAAGCTGTTAAATAAGTTCCACTAATTTCTTCTAAAAATTGTAATCACAACTGTTTAATATATCATATAATAAATAAAGCATTTCATTTTTATAAAATTTACTCCGAAAATGTCTCTAAAAAATCCATGTTCAATATAATTAGCCATCTAATTAACCCACTGCTCTGCCTTTAGATCACTGCTATGTTTGAATGGATAAGGTTGCATAAACTTTATGTTACAGTAGGTTGTTGGAGATAATAAAAAAAAAATCTTAAAATCGCATGGGTCCTTTTCAACCAGTAGTAATAAATATTATTTTCTCATTAAGAAATGTTATCTCCATTTTAATTTTGATAAATATTATATCTATGTTGCACCATTGAAACAATGTAAAGATTTCCTACTTACCACTGATCATCTTAGGCTTTTTAGCTATATATTCCTTCCATTTTCTTGAACTGAGTTGGTTGGGAGGCGGAATAAGTATGTTACTAATGGTACATGGCAATACAAAAAGTGCACCAACCTGCTTAAAACAGAGCATACTTTTAGTGACTACACAGTGAGAGTAATTCTTAAATAGTATCACCTGACAACTTTCCTTTCCTATTTCACTTGTATAATATGTATTTAGTAATGCTATCGCCCAATAACTCCACTATAAAAACTAAAAAACAAAATGCCCCACCTCTACCCAACCCCCCCAAAAAACCAAAGACCAGACAACAAAACTAGAGAAAGTTCTTCAAAGCTACAGGCATCCCTTTTCCACTGGGTTATAAATCTCTAAAAACCTTGTCATTTACACATTTGTTTCAAGTTCAGGTTACGCATATAATTTCTTCTTATCTCTGCAAACTAGTGAGAGTCCAGGAATTCCATCCTCAGAAGGTTTTGTCATACTCAGACATAATTTCATAACCTTTTGATTGGAGGGATTATTGTTCTGGCCTCAAAATTAGAATAATTTGGAAGGTAATTTCACAGCTTTTATTCCTAGAGAGTAGAGATTTAACGCTAATAGGTATAAAATGCAGAGAAATAATGAATCACATGCCAGAAATCATACAGCAGCTTCTCACTGATTTATGAGAAAATTCAAATTATTCATCTTTGTATTCCCAGGGCTGGGCATAGAGATGTTTATTAAGTATTTGTTTCAAAAAAAAAAAACCATCATAATATATTTAGGTAAATTCTGAGTTTGATTAAGCACTGAATAAAACAAATTGCAACTCTGAAAGCAGTACTTTGCTGATTATTTTAGAATGCACGTTACGACAGTCAGCATATCCCAATAAATATCTTTCTTAAACGCCAGGGAAATTTTGTCAGGGCATTTGCCAAAGATCGCAAATGTAATGCAATATCACTGTTAACTGTCCTACATAGATGGATTACATGAGATATGTGACATTCAAACAATGCATTAATATGCTAGTTTTATTGCTTATTTATTACTTTTACTTATATATTCTTAATTAGCAGACACAAAATTTAGTGTATTGGAAAAAAAAAATAAGAAAGAATTAAATATGCTTATTTTCCTTTAATGTTATAACCATAATATTTAAGTCCAATGTATTCTACACAGTCAAGAGGTAAATAGTAAAAATATTTAGTAATGCAAAATAATCATTAAGTATAAAAGATCTATGTGTAATTTTCTAAATCCTAAGTTCTACTTCTTCATTCTTGCACAAATAAGATTTCACTGTCCCAAATGCATTGCAAAACTATATGCCCCAAAGGGTAGTCAAGGCCGTAACATGAGCAAACCAGATCAGGGCCCAGCTATGCTTGACAATTCCATAATTGTTATAATTATAGTTATAGTTTAACAATTTAGAGACGCTAACAGAAGTTCAATGTGTAACTTATAGCCTGAAATACATGTGTCCTGACCTATCTGTTAAACAAGTGACCGCATTTTTGAGACAGACTATTTTTGATTAAACATTTGCTACAAATATGAAAAATATTTCTGAATCCCATCATGACACTTATTTTTGAAAATCTCTCCTAAAAAAAAAAGTCACTTCATATCTACAGAGGACTTTGGAATTATTATGAAAAGTCCAAAGTATCTTAATATAAATTAGGACCAAAGTCATGTTATATAAAAGAAATCAAATCATACAAAAACAGATTCTACAGTCCCTTTTCTCACACATCCTTAAATATTAAGTTAAAACAAAAACAAAAACAAAAAACACCTCTACCTTGTCACACAGAGAAGAAATCTGCTCCAACAGTAACATGGAATTCTTCTTAGTACTGTTTTTGGTTAGTCCTCTGTACTAAGGAGTTAAAGAAATGATGGAATGGTACCTGTGAAACAATGTTATTCTCTCATACAAGTTTCATTCTCCAATTCACAAAGTGCTTAAATTCATTTATTAAAAATCTTAACTGTAGGGATTCACAATTACTCCTTTCCTTAAGGATTATTATTTTCCTGATTATGGAAATATACCAAGAAATAGTGCTACTATGAATGGAACTACTATAAATTACAGGAACAAGAGATTTGTAAAAACTAGCTTCTGAGCACTATGCTAGCATTCCATTGCCAGCCAACAACTTCTTTTTATACAAAATGTCCTGTTCCTAGGTGTATTTCTAAAAATTCTCACATTTTCTTAAATGACAATTTAAAATATATTAAATATTTGCAGATAAAAATGATCAAATTAATATCTACCTAAGTATATAAAAAGATACAAGAGACTAGCACTTACCTATCCTGCTGATGGAGAGAAACATCTGAGCATTTAGGAATATATAAATTACTGTTTTTCTCTATGTATTCCTTACATTTCTCCTTTCTCTGTACCTCATAAACAATAAGTAGCAACCAGGAAGTCTTCTGACTAGTCTAAAAGTATAAATACAGTACCTGAGGGAGGAATTTTCTTACAAGATGTAGAACATCTCTAAAACAATGGTAATGAAAAGTATACTGAATGTTATTTTTATTAAAAAACAGTACGTTTAAATATCTAAATGTGGAGTGGTACTAGGAAACATTCTACCCAATACAGAAAATGGAATCTAAAATGAAGATGTAAACGGAAGGATACAACTCAAATTCAATGTCTGACATGTAGCAGGAGGGTAGCTCTGATAACTTTATCATCTGCACAAATTCTAAAGCAGGGCCATAATAATGGAAAACCTAGAAAAGAAACGAAAATTATAAAATAGTTTAAATACTATAAAGTGAAAGTGAACACAGTAGTGATTAGGGTTTAAAACTTTAAAATGAATCTTAAAAAGCAGGCATTTATACATTTGCCAGCACACATTTAGTCCTCTGTAGCAGACAAAGATTTCTTCCATTTCAATTCTACATTTCAGAGCAGCAAGACAGACATGGAGATTTCATAGGAACTAGAATTTTTAAGAGGGAGAAAATGAGTACCATACAAAGAGGTGAGCAACAAAGAATAAGAAGTTCTCAATCTTTCCTGTTTATTGTCAGCAAGACAGACAGACAACCCAAGTGGCTAGGATGTTAAAAAAAAAAGTTATAAGATCTGCAAGACTGAGAAAGCGAAAGAAAGGAGACTCAGAATGAACTCAGGTTAAGTGGTATGCTGAGATTAAAACAAACAAAAAAATTTTTGAAGGAAAAAAATTAAAAGTGAGAACTAGTGAAGCCGAGCGTGCTAATTAACAAAGAAGTTCCGCTCCGAGAAATAAAATTGCAGCATTTCGTTGGGTAGAGTCAACAACTAAATTAAGAGTAAGCCAATGAAGAACAGGTATTTCAAGAGGTGAGGCTAGAGTGCTTACAAGAAGGGCAAAGCAAAGCCAATGTATAATGTCTTGAGAACCTGCACGAAGTTATAAACTTGCAGAAAGCTGAGTAATTTCACTTTATAAGATGATGTGTGTGAGTATATTGTACACACATATAGGGCATAGATGCATACATACATATATAGTGTGTATACAAGTTAGCTATGTAGAAAGACAGAGACCTTTCTTGAAGAGGTTGTACGCTAAGACACTCTTTAGTAGCAGCAAAAATTAGATACACTATTCCTAATTAAATGGTGTACTACCAAAGACAAGAAATTGAGCTCATCAATCTTATGTTTCTAATCTTTAGAAAATAATTTAATATTCTTGTGAAAGATGGCCATGACAAGTTACTTAAAATAATCAATTCTGAACAACTATTGAGAAGTGTGTTTACATCATAAATGCCCTTTTTCTACTACCCTTAGATCAGAAAATAATACCCATCAATCTGACAGCATTATAACTTCATGACTGTTATATTTTGCACATTTTTGAATTGGGTCTTTTAAAGTGAATTTCTGAAGACCTTCTTTATAAACACCTCCTGTTATATTATTTCCCAATGTAGTAAAAAGCCAGGTAAACCCTTTTTGATTACTGTATTTTATAATTACTTGCATTTAAAGAATAAACCTATAGTGATATGGGACAAGAACATTTTTAAATCATAAATGAAGCATATATCCAGTACTCTGTCTCATTTAACCCTCATGATAACGTTGTAAGGTAAGTGTTAACCTACCCAGGGTGACGTTACCCCGTAGTGACAGAATACAGGTTCACACCCAGGTCTGCCTAAATCATTGCCTTTTCTCTTCCCACTATATCAAGCTCTCTCCAAAATGAGCCTTAGAAGAGTCATGCTGAAGGTATTTTCAGGTCTATACTGATTTAAAGTTAGGATCATTTCATTTAAAAAATTTTTTTAAATTTTAAATGATGATAATTTTGCCAACATTTGATGCTAATGAACAGTCTTGTTTAAGCACTTAATTATAATAAAAATTATGTAAGTGAGCACACTTCAGCACATATATTAGGAAATGTGCATTCATGATTCAAACTTCTCTCATAGGAATAAAAATATGTATGAATGGATAATTGCAAAAATAATCAAACATAGATTACCTTAGGCAGAAGAGTCTTATCCTTTGAGAGTATTATCTCTTTGTCAAGAGAGCAAGTATTTAAGTTAGTTGTACTAAAACTCTTAGGCATGGTTCCCTTTATACAAAATTCAGGAAAACTAATTTCACATCCGAACTGAAAAGAAACCGAGAGAACACACTTACTGACATCATGAATAAAGTTACAAAGATTAATACATTTTATTGCAGTGTAAATGTTGAGAGGAAAATCCTATGTAAATTTATTTTTCTTTCCTCAGCTCAAAATGTGGTTCTTCCATTTATGTACACATCCTACATATTTCAACTTACACATGAATTTTTCATGAAAAGCTCTCCTTGGCCCTTCACCAACCTGCAAGAGTATATTAAGCCCATTCTATGCAACTACAGAACCAAGCCACTGCCTTTATATATACTTGTTCAATATCTGGCTTCCTACCAGTCTGGAAGTTCCGCAAAAACAAAACTTGCAACAACGGAGGCTGTTGATGAAAAGATCAATTCCTGCAGAAGTAGTAATAACAGGGATGCTAATAATAGCAATGGTTAACAACCATGATGCCTAATATTTATTGAGTGGTTGCTCTGTGCTTTAAATAATTTAATCTTCATAAAAATCTATGAGATAGAGACTATTATTATCCCAGATGATGACAACTGTTGCACCAAAACATTAGCCAATCTGCCACACAAAACTACCAGGAAACAGACCTGGCCTTTGAATGCAGGCGATCTAACTATAGAATCTATGTCCTTAAGCACTGCCATGTTTCTAGACCAAAAGCTATTCTGCACCAAAAAAAAGAAAAAAAAAAAGAAAGAAAAAGTGATTTCAAGTTTTAAATGCATCCTGTGAAGATATATTAAATGCGAAGATTCATTTAATTTCCTATTCAGAAAAGAATAAAAGAATAACATGAAAAGAACTCGCTATTATCTCTGTGTATAAAAACATGCAGTTTCAGGATATATATACAAAAGCAATTCTCCTAGCCAATCTCTTCTTGCACTCTTCCAAGTCGCTATACAGTTTGTTTACATTAAAACTGCTGCAGAAAGGTTTACCTGCAGACGTTACCTTTCTAAGATAAAAATGAGACGGCATTCAAAACAATAAGAAGGACCCGGCCATGTTACTTCCTGTTGTCTTATTAGAGGTTGTATTACACCATTATTCAGGGTGAACTGAAGGGAAAAAAGTCTAGTAATCAGTGCAACAAACCTCTACAGGGACACAAAGACCTTCTCATGCTCCCACATCACCCTGAACAAGGATTAAGAAGCTTGGTTTTAGTTTTGTCTATATGCAAAAATATATGAAATGCTAGGAACACTTATTTCAACAGGGACACAACTTATACAAAAAACACCAAACATATTAATTCACAGTAAGAGATGACAAGTAAAATTGGAAGCTCAGAGAAATATAAGATGAGAGGGGTCCAACAACTCTAATGCGTGTTCTCAACTTGTACTTGAGAAATCCAAGGTTAAAAAAAAATTGCTCAGAATCAGAACTGGTTAGTAGATGGGGAGATCACCTAAGCTGGTATTATAGGTATGAGATTATGTTCTAAGTAGTTTTCCTATGTATGCAAAATAAAACAGCTTGCATAAACAACATCAAAGGCAACTACTGTCAAATTCTATATTTAAAAAAAATATATTATATCCTGGAACTGCAGTTAATCACAAACTTAATCACAGTGACTATTTACATTTAAATTAATTAAAATAAAATAGAGTTAAAAATTCAGTTCTATGGTGGAAGAGTCACATATAAAATGCTCAGTAGCATATGAGGCTAGTAGACTACTGTATTAACACAGATACAGAACATTTCCATTACTGCAGAAAGTTTTATGTACAGTGCTGTTCTAGAACATCTTTATAAGGAATATTTTTATTAAGATTCATTTAAACTGTGTTGTGAATAAAGTTGAAAATATTGCTTTGCAAACTGTGATCACTGAGAAAGCCACTTACCTTTCTTTCCCATATCCGAATCTTTCCTCTCCATAATTCCTTTGAGTCAATAGCATTTCCAAGATCTTCTAAAGCTACAACATTAGAAGAAAGGTATTCTGCAATTTTCTGACAATTCCTACAAACAAAAAATTATGATAATTAAATATAGGGTTTTACATTTTACTTAGATTTAATGGTGACAGTTTACTGCAAGCCTAACAGGCAAAAATGCAAATTCATATTGCTGCTTTTATCTACTTTTTAAAATACAGACTAACCATCAAGTCAGCCTCTGAGTGTGATTCTATCACATAAAACTGCTTTAGTCCTAGCACCCTCATGAATTGTTACTACTTTTATTTTATTATTTTTTAATTTTTTATAAGATTTTATTTATTTACTTTCCGAGACAGGGGAAGGGAGGGAGAAAGAGATACAAGGATCAGTTGCCTCTCACATGCCCCCCACTGGGGAGCTGGCCCGCAGCCCCGGAATGTGCCCTGCCTGGGAATCGGATCGGCAGCCTTCAGGTTTGCAGGCCGGCGCACAATCCATAGAGCCACATCAGCCAGGGCTGAGTTATTACTTTTAATACTACAAATGAAGAAATAGATTTTACTTTTAATATTTATTGGCTTAAATGTATCAGATGTATACACACAGAGACTCAATGCCAATTCCTTATCTTAGAAAAAGAACTGATCTCCTAAATTATTCCCACATGCACTTACCACAGACTATCATGCCTGTTCCCATTCCTGTTTCTCTCCCACTTCAATGAAAAAGACCTAATCTCACTCTCCTAACTCACCAGCATCTATTGCTGTGATTGGCACAAATTAAATGCTCCATCAGCACTTGTTAATGAAAAAAAATCATTAAGTGAATAAATCCAGTATGAATACTTATTTAAGAATCAAACTGTAACAGAATTTGAAGCTTACTAAAGTGTCATAAAACACAACAGTACATATTTATTTCTATATTGGCACATAAAACAAATAGGACTTTATAAATCTAGCTTATCCATGTATCCACGGGATTCATCACGATGCTCACTGGACAACACAAGCCTACATAAACACACTATTTTTGGAGGATCAATGCTTAATAATGGTTATACACATATAAGCACTGATAATATTTACTAAAAATTTAAACATTTTGGAAACATAAGCATAAAGAAAAAATTGTATTTTTCTCAATAAATCCCCACATGTATGATTTAACACTCTTGTTACATTAAATGTTTTTCAAATGCTGAGTCTATTAAAACAGGATAACACATTAATTGTAAAAAGACAATAAGGACAGTTATCAAATAAACAAAGACACTTACATTTCACTATGATTTCCTGCTATAGTAATTTTTGCTGAATACCATTCCTTTAAATGTTTTAATGCTCCAACAGTAGGCAAACAGTCTTTTAATTTAGGAGGATCTTTGTCAGAGAGCAACAGTATTATGTCTATCATTGCTCTACCTAAAGAGAAAAAGGCATTTTTTGTATTTTTATAAAAATGTTAGATCTGAAATGTCTCAAAATAGTACCCTGAACAATTAAAATTTATGTTTATCTAGAAGATAAAGGAGAATTTAACTTTAATTTCTGAAATTCTTCAAAACAATACACATCTTTAGGAGCTCAACATTTTTAAATGTTCAACATTTGACTTAAAGCCATGTTATCTTGAAACAACTACCATATGCCAGAAAACAAATGAACATCACAATTACTTGTCAATTATGCACCAGTGGTTAATTATACACATTGCTCTTGAGATCATCAATACTATTGCTGTACTGAACAGAGGAAGAAAAAAACATGCAATTTCATTGTATTTTTCTATACTTAACTTTGTTATACAAAAGGGAATGAATTAGTATAAAATTGTAATGTTCAAATAAATTCTCTTTTTAGAAAAGCAGAAAAACACTGAGAAAACTCAATTATACTGACATAATTGGTTCCTGAGAAAGAAGGATAACTTCATGAAACTTTAAATTTTATAAAAATATGAACTTACTTAAGAACCAGGTCAATCATAATGAAGCGGAAGCCAAATAAAAATTTGATAATGAAAGTGTTATCAGCAAAATACAACCAAATACAGCAGATGTGTATTTCAGTGCCTATTTTGAACTTGACACATTTCATTTTTAAAAATTGATATATTTTCAATCTATGTATTATTTCTGTGTTGGACTTTTTACACTAAAGTATGGTCTTGAATATAAGGATTAGATTGTGAGTTCTAAAATCCATGGTAATCGCATAGGCTTTATTCATCATCATGCACTCAGCTCCTAGTACAACGTGTGACATGTAGCAGACACAACAAATACCTGCTTACTAAGTGACCTTAAATAATAAAAACATTCAAAGAAAGCTCATCAAAAGTATTTGTGGATGTAAATTATACCAAACTTTAGATGCCAGCTAATTCATTAACACAAAGATGAATTTACGAGAAATAAGTTTCAGACTCGTATGATACAGTATTTATAAAATATGCTTTCTATTATAGGGAAAAATGGATTCTATAAAACAATGATGAGCAACAGGCTTCTTTTACTGCACATCTTTATATTTGATAATGTGTACAGTGACAGGATAAAAGTATGTTATCCAAATGATCTAGGTGAAAGAACTTTTTCCATGAGTTATTTATGGGACTACTGTTCTATGGAATGTACTCTATAAAACACTGGTATATAGTGGAAAGATTCCTCTGTAATAACTAAATAAGGAAACAGATGGCTATTTAATTTAATAAGTTCTAATTTTTGTCTCAGTAAGTAAAAATAATTAAGAGAACTGTAATGTCTCCATAACATACTTTATTAAAGTAGTGAGCTGCGTTTTGCATCAACTTCAATTAAGAATTTCTTTTTCATTTTGAATTTCAAAGTTAAAAGAGACAACCCAAGGATAAACACTGAACTCACAGAAAGCATAAGATAAGATACGAATTATTGAAAGCAGTCATAACATATTACCAGGAGCAGGAAGTCTGTCTGATAACTGATGCAAATTTTCTGCAGATTCTTCATATAGACTAAAATAAAAGGGCAAGTAAGAAAAAACAAAAACACAAACCATTACATCTAATCATAACGATAATATTAATGGATCTATGTGCCAGACACTGTTAAGTATGTTAGATGCACCATCTCATTTGATCCTCCAAACAATCCCATGATGTACTACTATAATACTATTATAGTCCTCAATTCAAATAATTTTCCTAATGTTGCATAATTAGTAGATGTGGAAGCTAGGATGAAAATCCTGAGTTCAATTTCTCAGCTATATCCCAAATTAACAATAATAACAGAAAAACTCCCTAAATTATATTTGTATAATAAAGGATATTGCTTTCTCTGAGTGGCATAACAGCTGACTGGGAAATGTAATGATCTCCCCTGATTCTTCCAAATCTATCAGTTTTATCCATAGGGTGATTTTTTTTTCATAAAATAGTTTATTACAAAACATAAAGGTACTTAAATCCTTTATTATAAACTCACTAAGAAAACTTACGGCATCTTATATAGTTTTCTAGCGCCCTCTTGTGGAGATGATTATTAGGTTACTTATTAGAAATACTTAGACGTGTCATCTTATAGCAGTGCTGGAAAAAATAAGAAATGACAAGTGCTCTAGGGCTGGAAGGTACCTTATAAGCCTCTGAAAGGATCTCAACACTTTACAAATAAGAAAACAAAGGATCACAGAAGTGACGTGGCTGGCCCAAGATCATATAGAGACCAGTTATATCGCCCCAGTACAGTACTCTTTCCATGGTTCTACAATGTCTCCCTTCACTAATCATTACAAAAAACATGGTTTGAAAGCATAAAAACAGAATTTTTAAAAGTCTGTAACAATTTATAGAAAGAATACATGAACAGTAAAATAGTGTTTTTTGGTAACGCAGTAAGGCATTAATTATGAGTCAGATGGAATATTTCATAAAAAAGAAATTATCACCACTTCTATCACCACTTGAATCAACTTATATACTATACCAAGATTCAAAAGAACCTAAAAGTGAACTCAGTATCTATTTAATCCTCAAAAACTCTATATGAATTTTTAAAGGTACTTGAAACATTGAAGATACACAAAAATTGAAGAAACAATATCTCAGCTTCAAATAGCAAAATAACAATGGTAGTTTGGTTTGAATGCCAGTTATTAACCTAAACGTTTCTATTCATTATAAAATATCAGAGGGAATTTATTTTCAAGAAAGTGACATATTAAATAAAGTATCACTTTTTTATTCCCGCAATTATGTAAGCTTAAGAAGCTAAATATTACCTGATTTCAAAGAATTTTATTCAAATAAAAAGTCCAAATTACCTGTCTCCCAAAATGAAAAGTTGAAAATCCCTATTACAGTTGCTAAAATATCTAATCTTCATTCTATAGCTAAAATACTACCTAATGTTAAATATTTTAAAGCTATTATAAAAAGCATAACAGCATACTCAGCCAAGGATAATGATTCCCTGCTATTACTATCTTCTTCCTCAAAACACTCAACATTACTCAAATATTCTTCGATATTTGCTTGAAGAACATCTTCGATTTCATCTTTTTCCATACCAAAATGTATCTCCTGCCAGTCCGAACTACAAAACTAATAAATCAAAAGACTGCATTAAATAATGGGTTCATCAAATTATTTACATTAACAAAAGACATTAACTAATGACTATTGTTTTTAAATTTATACTACCTGATAAAATCCACATATAGCCTGCACTGCAAAGAACCACTTCTTAGAACCAGGTATACCGCCCACTGAACAGGCTTGAAAAAAAAAAAAATCACACTTATTAGAAGAAAGGCATACCACAAATAAGCAGATGTTATAGCATATGTACTTAGAGAATCATAAAATTTTGATACATACTATATAGTTTCCCAAGTTATATATGTAATATAGATATATTGGTAGATAATATTATATATACTGTGTAGTTTCCTAAGTTATAAGTATAATATACATATATTAATAGATATTACACACACACACACACACACACACACACACACGTAAAATAGCATCTTTTTAGAATCTCTACTAAAAATCCAAAAAGGGCAATCTGCCTAAAGAGCAAAATTATTCACTTGCCATGAATACTTTGGTCTAGTTCATTATAGTTCAAAATCTGTATTATTATTTTAATCATCATCTTGAACACTCAAATCTACCTGAATTTATGGAGGTAGAATGGAAATTATAGAGGTAGAATTCACCTGACTTAGTATTGGATTGGTGTGATTAAAGAGAAAGGAAGAATAAAAAGTAATGAGAATGACATTGGATTTCTGACTCGGGTATTAGTGTGATGGTGTCATTTAGTGAGATGAGGGAATTAGATTTGGAGGGAATAGGACATGTTCAATTTAGAACATCTGATTAGTTGACATCTTAAAGATGTCAAAGTGAAAATGGATTATAAAAGTTGGATACAGATGCCTGGGCGTCAAAAGGCAGAGTAAGGCTCATAGAATAGTATATAGACGTTAGTTCAAGCCAGGAGAAAGGAGAAATATAGTTATTACTATACTTCTTTCTTTATAATTCCCATAAATCCTGTCAACAAACATATGACCCTGCTTGCATTCCCACTGAGCCTTTCCTCTTTCCTTCCTGTTGACACGCCAGGAGACACGCCCTTCGAATCCAAGGTTACCCTTCCGGCTCTGCTTGGACCCCCGGCACTGATTATACTATCTTTCTTGAATCTTCAATCTCTTCCCCTCTGTCAGTTCCTTCCCATTAGCATTTAAATTTGCACAAATGTTTCTTAAGTGATTTTTTAAAGAATCTCCTTTAAATTCTTCTCCTTCTTCCAGTTACTACTGTATCTCTTTCTTTACTCTTCTTCAAGGATAAACTTTCTGAAAGTGCCGTCTACACTTGACTGTCTTCACTTCCTCATCCCCTTTCCTACTCCTCTCCAAATCCATCTCTCTCTCTCTTTTTGCATCCACCATGCCACTGAAACCAAACTCACCAAAGTCACCAATAACTAACCTGTTACTAAGTCTAGCAGACACTTTTTAGTTCTGTTGTGACTTGACCTCTCCTTCTATGAGTGAGAAAGAAATCATGGATGGCACGTTTGTCTACCATCTACCTCCTCCCAACACTTGGTTTCTGTGGAACCAATTTTTCCAGCTGCTCCTTTTCATTCCATTGAAAACTGAAAACCGGTGCTCTGTTCCTGTAAGTACTGGCATTCACTTCAAGAGTTTCAGCTCTTCTCACTATCCATAAGCAATCTTATCCTTTCTCCTGGCTTGAACTAACGTCTATATATTATTCTATGAGCCTTACTCTGCCTTTTGACGTCCAAGCATCTGTATCCAACTTTTATAATCCATTTTCACTTTGACATCTTTAAGATGTCAACTAATCAGATGTTCTAAATTGAACATGTCCTATTCCCTCCAAATCTAATTCCCTCATCTCACTAAATGACACCATCACACTAATACCCGAGTCAGAAATCCAATGTCATTCTCATTACTTTTTATTCTTCCTTTCTCTTTAATCACACCAATCCAATACTAAGTCAGGTGAATTCTACCTCCATAATTTCCTTCCCATCTATCCATTGTCCTCCACTCGGGCTGCCCCTCTCACTTGTTAGCAATTCCTTTATATTATATCGATACCATCTTCTGATCTGTCTACAATACTCTAGCCAGAATACTTCAATAGCACAGATATGACCATATCTCTTCCTTCACTCAAGCCTTCCTGGCTACTGATTATCACTAGCAAAAAGTCCAAACACCCTGTCATGATTTACAAAGTCCACTAAATAGCTACGCCTACCTCTCCAGCCTTATCTCAATTATAATCCCATTTGCGCTTCCAGATCCTCAGATTTAGCATTATACTATAAGCAATAATCCCAGCGAGGTAGAAAATTCAGGGCAGGCAATTTTCTCTTTGCATGGTTCTGATATGTACATATTTCAGTTATCATGGTTTAAGTAACACCAGTTCCCCCAAAACAGGGCTCAACTTCCAGTTACCATGGTTTATTAATTAACTGTAACTGCATAAAGTAAAACTTCTTTGCCAGCCTCTCAGATCACAAATCACTACATAAGTAAAATATGCGTATGATGATCAGTAACTACTTCCTTCCTTTATTTATTTATTTCCTTACCTGAGGACATTTTTCCATTGCTTTTAGAAAGGAAGAGGAGAGAGAAAGGGAGAAAGAGAAATGTCGACTGGTAGCTTTACCATATGCACCAGGACCAGGGACCGAACCCAGGTATATGCCCTGACCAGGAATCAAACCTGTGACCCTTCAGCTATGGGACGAAGCTCCAACTGAGCCACACTGGCCAGGGTTACTACTTTTAAAGCTCGCTGCCAAGTGGTCACTGCATGCTATTCAGTTGGCACATAGATGACAAAAAATGCAATTGTGTTGCCTCCTATCTTCCAGTGATGAATCCATGTGATATTTTACAAAAATGGATACTAGGAAGAGGGAACTGGCAAAAGGAAAAAGAAAAGGCAAAAGCACAGAAAAACACAGTGATAACACTTAAAGTGATAGCCAGATCTAATGTAAATAGATTGTAATAATAGTTTCTGTGATTAAAAACATAGTTGTGCCAAAAATGACGAAGAAGTCCCAGAGAAAATGACGCTGGCAAAATCCTTTGCATTAAAGGAACTCAGGTAAGGAAATGGTTGAAAGAGAATTAATAATGTATTTATACACAGGAAAAAATAATCATCCTCCTTATAATGCCACATTATCCAATTTTATGTGGAGCTACAGATGGGCAACAAAATCTCATAAAGAAAACAAAACCCAAGCTCAGAACCTAAAATAATTTCATAACAACTTTATGGCATTCAAGCATCACAAAGAGAAGTTTAGTATCTTTTTCAGTTTTGCATTTCCTTAGTTACCTTCTGATCCCAGCGACTTGTACACAGTCAACAAGTATTTCTCGTACGCATAAAAAATTAAGTTTATTTCTGGTACAAATAGATACTGTGCGAGAGAAAAGAGGGATTTATGCTCTACTTACCAGGGAAAGTACTATCTTCTGGATTAAGTGAAGCACTAATGCTTCTTTTCAGAAGGTGATAAACATTTGCTGCTAAATCTGAAAAAGAAGTGACGGACTAACTCAATGGGCTTAAGAGTTACATAATCTAGGCCTATTCTAATTTCACCATTAGATTCTCAGGAACATCATGTTGAACATAAAAAGACTATGCTCTGTTCAAGTTTTGTTGTAATAAATCTAAGGCAAGCATAGGAAACACTCCCAGCTTGTACATGCGAGCCAGGTAACACATATCTAAAATTCTCCCCCCTCCTCAAAAAAATTATGCAGACAAGGGAAATTCGGTCACAATACCCTATATACAACCACATACACTTCCTCCTGAAAATGCCTGCTCGATCAAAACGCACAAAGAAATAAAAATGCCATTCAGACTCTAGACAGGAGCACCAAAAAGCAGTGCCATTTCAAACAGTTAAAAATGTTCTAAACTTATCATTTGTTTTTTAAGTTGTGTGTGGGATGTCTCCTCCCATTAGATTGTCAATTCTAGGAGACTAGGACCCTTTTCCATCTTGCCTCTTTCTACAGTGCCTGCGTTTGCAACACAGGCGGCAGAAATACCGATGGAATGCATATATTTCCAAAAAGCAGAAATTCCATTACTCAAGGCACAGAGAATTTATTCAATTAAAGTTTTACTGTTGCCAAGAATTTCTGGGCGCTGTAATCTTGCATCCACCGATTTGTCCCTATTTTCTACGAAGATAAGGAAGCATTTTAGCTCTTATTAGCTCGACCCCAGATACAGTCACAGCTTTCTGGGACAATTCGGTACGTTGTAGTTCCCTCCCAATTAGAACTAGATCACAAACTGAAATTTCTCCTCCCCGCAAGCCGTTCCCGCTCTTTCTCAGCCCAGCACTTACCTGGCTGCTTCTCGGTACCCGCAGCGGACGGCGACCCTGGCCTGTGGTCTGCCTCCCCACCCGCCGCTGACGGGACATTGCCTTCGCCCCAGATGGCAAGGAGCAGGTACCGATCCATCTCCTCCGAGTTCAGCCACAGTTTCAGTGCTCGGATTCCACATCAAAACAGCCGCGCGCTGTTGACATACTTCCGGCTCCCTTCTACTTAGGCCCGCTGGAAACGGTGTGTCCTCTGCTGGTTTTCTGCAGCTTTTCTAGCAAGAGGTGAATTTCTGGAGTTGTTCTCTCAATAACTGCATTCTTTCCTCCGTCGTGATGAAATCGCGATGGTGGGGAAATTGGAGGGGACCCCGGAAAAGCAGAGAATACAGAAGTATCGGCCGGTGTAGGAACTGTCACGCTTGGCTCTATGCGTTTCCCGCCGGGTCAGTTATGTTGCGGACAGGATCGTGGTCGGGATAGTGGGGAAAGATGTCGAGTTTCTCTAAGGCGCACCAGGTGAGCCCGGACACTGTGTTTGATGGGATTCATTACTGGCAGAAGGTGGTCAGTGGCCCCAGCAGGCGTAATGTAGCCGAATGGGCAGAGAGGCCGAATCCTTGGGTCAGGATGTTACCTCTGGGAAGCACAGGAAAAAGGGTCGTGATCCTGGCCACCACTTGTTACCTTTGTACTCGTTCCCTCTTGTTCCCTATCAGCCCTTTTCATGTCTTTTGTTCCTGGCAAAAGTTCTAGGAGAGAAGGTCAGAGAGGTATTAAGATGGGTCACCTAGGGCATTGTAGATCATTGTAAGAATTTGATTTTTACTGAGTAAAATGAAGACCTGTTCGAGGTTTTTGAGCCAAAGAGTAACATGTTCTCAGGTGTTAAAGGGAGCACTCGCGCTGCTGAGTTGAAACTAGACCATGTAGAGATGGGGACTGGTGGAGGAGAGAAGCAAAGAATCCCTTTGGAGGTTATTGCAGTATTCCAGGCTAGCCAAGATGATGGCACAAACCGGGGTAGTAACTGTAGTCTTGAAAAATGATCGGGTTCTATTTGAAGGTGGAGCCAATGGGATTTCCTGAAGGACTGTATGTAGGAGGAGAGCAAAAGAAGAAACAAGGATTACTCCAAGGGTTTTATTTCAACAACTGGAAGGGTGTGCCTTCAACTGAGACTGAAGGAGGATTCAGTTGGAGGAGCAGTTCAGTTTTGTATTGCAATTTAAGATGCCCCTTAGGCCAGTCCGACTCCGAGTGTGATTCCTCCCTGGGACAGGTTAACTGTTTTTAACCTGCCCCTGATTAGGTAAATACAGGAATTAAAATTAAACATTTTAAAACATGTATAATAGTTTGGTATTGTGACAGCATTTTAGCTTTTTTTTTAATCAAAGTTTTATTTTCTGTAAAAGTATTGGTATATAGTGGATTGGAGAATTAACTAGCCTTTTGCTACATACAGCTTAAGAAGTTCTGAAGTGCAGATGTTAAGTGGGCATTATGGATCCAAGTGCAGAGGTGAGGAAAGAGGGCCCGGCTAGAGATGCAAACTTGTGAGTCATCAGCATACACATGGCATTTAAAGGTTTGCTCTGGGAAGTCCTTGAGGAAGGGACTACAGAGAAGACAGGAGGACCTGTGACTAAGTTCTAGAGCTTTGGCAGGCAGCAGAGCGATAGTGATAGGCAGTGGAGGACAAAATCCAAATTGGAGTAGGTTGAAAAGAGAAGGTGGACAAATTGGAGTAAAGACAGAGGGAAGGAGGCAGTACCTGGTGGAGAAGTGAGGTCAGGAGTTGCTTTTTTAAAAACTTATTATGGAGAATTTCAATTCTATATAAAATAGATATTACCCACTACCAGAAAACTAATAGCTAATATCATTTCATCAGTACCCCCATTCACTTCCTTCCCTTTATGAATTTGAGGTAAAGCTTAGACTTACTGCTGCACCAGTAAATGTTTCAATATGTTCTCTGCAACAGAAGGACTTAAGGAAAAAAAATCACAATATCATGTGTCAAAGCTAAATGAAAAATTAACATTCCTTAATACCATCAAATATCCAGTATATGTTCAAATTTCCATTTTTATCATGTATCATATATATTATACAAATACATAATATTTTTACAGGTTGTTCCTTTGTATTAGGATCCAAAATGCAATTGCTGTTTTTGAAAGTCCCTCTTAATAAATAGGTTCCTATCCCTGTCTTTTTAACCTTACAGTTTATTGAAGAAACAAGATAGTCCTGCAGAGCTGAGAGTGGTAGGGGAAGGATGTGGGCTTGAAGCTGTATTTTTCTTCTTTTTTCTTTTTTGCAAAAGACATGATCATCTATGTAAAAAAATAAGAATCTACAAAAAACTACTAGAAGCTACTGGAACTGATAGATATCTTTAGCAAGGATGCTGGATACTAGACCAATATACAAAAGTGAAGTGTATTTCTATATACTAGCAAAAAACAATCAGAAATTTAAATTAAAGATACCATTTACAATGGCATCAAAATATATTAAATAAGGATGAATCTAACTACAGTTATGCCCAAGGAACTAGATAAGAGACTAAAAAAATGAGAACAGGACTAAAAAACAAAATTGGTAAGCAGTTTTATAGGCTGAGTTGAGGTTTGTGGTCATTAAAATAAAACCAGTTAGCCTAGTTGTATTTTTCCAGCATTGTTTAGCTGCTGTGCATTTGCATAGAGAAAGCATCTGTTTGACATCTTCCTGGGCTTTGTCTCAGAGCTTGAAGGCGCTGAGGGCACTGAAAAGACAGTGGTCTATGCCTAAGGCAGTCTAAGATGCCTAAGGCAGTTTAAAATTTGGGTTTATTCAACATCATCCTTCTATATGTTCCCAGCTGCATTCTGCTCTTTAACTTTCCCTTTGGATTAAACTTCTGAATAGTCTTCAGTTTCTAAGTGGCCACTCATCTTTCAATGTATTATATCCACTAATCTGAAAATATTTTTGCAGTCTTCATAAGCAACTTCTATTTCATACATGCTTCTTATTACCCCTCCAGGTTCTATGCTGAGTGAAAATAAAAACTCTAAGTCATAATGTAAAAGGAAATAAATCTTTGGAATATTTTTAATAAAGAATGATGCATATTATTGATAGAAGGCAGGAAAAATTATTGTGTTAATCTTTGCAAAATAATGAGAAAAGATCTCCCCCTTTTCCAAAAATACAAATTTAAAAAAAACAAAAAACTCTTTAGTGATCGAATCTTTTTAAAAAGTAACTATTGATATTAACTGTAGGATACATGTGCTGATGTATGATAATAATAATTTCTCTGACATATAATAATAATTTCTATTTTAATTAGAATTGTATTTGTTTCCTCTTCTGTTTTTTCAAGCAATGGGCCACATTTGCTCGAGTTTGGTATCTCTTAGATGGGAAAATGCAGCCCCCTGGGAAACTTGCTGCTATAGCATCAACTAAACTTCAAGGATTACATAAACCTATGTATCATCAACTGAGTGAGTATCATTTTAGACCTGTTATTAAGAACCACAATTTACGTACCGGAGTAGAATTTTAAAGTAGGTTGACGAGACTGCTTTTAAGGACTTCCTTTTTTTTTTTCCTTGATGATCCTTTATTTTGTCCATGCTAAAAAACCTACTGGGACACTAAAATGAATCTGGCTTATTGACAGGAAAAACATACAGACCCATTTGCCTGGGACAACCCTTTTTTACACCAGTGCCCCAGCGACATGATCCGTCGCCCCTTCTTTCACACTGAGAAATACCCTGATTTGGACTGTAAATTCAGTGCTCATTCCTGTATGTGACTCTTCACACGCATTGTACTTTTGAATAGACAGGTTTTGAAAATGAACAGATAAGGTTGCTTCTCTTCTAAAAACCTTTTCCTCCAGAAAGATATATAGGTATATATATCTTCGTCCAGGTAGATACAGATATATAGCTAGGTATGGAAAGTTTACTTCTGCTGTTTTGAATTAATAGATTGCTTTTCTGTATTCTTTTTCCAAAACAAAACAAGAAAGGCTGTTTTCATACTAAGAGACTTCTGCTTTTAGGCGGTTTTGATTGACTTCACTGAACCGAGGCTCATCGGTGTTCGGCCTGCTGCATCCAGGCGTCCACGCTGTTTCGTCTTGCATGGCCTGTCGATATCTGTTGCCATTGATCACAGTTTTGACTTCGTATTAGTGTTTTGTAACATGAAATATACAAAGAGAGAGATGGATAGAGATGTGTCTATCTATATATATATGTATAATTTTAAAGAAAATCACAATAATAATGATGATAACGAACTCACTACCCATGCACTCAGCATTTGGGTCGTTTCCAATGTTTTTGTCATTACAGACAACATTGCCGTTAGTATTTCTGTACCTTTTTCCCGTGCTCACGGGGAAGAGTTTCTCAGACGTCGGAGTAAGACAGGAATTCCTGGGTCCAGAGCTGCCTGGAAAGCTAGCTGGTCTTCGCGCCAGCGCCCCCTCCTGCCAACAGCCTGGGAGAGTTTCTGTTACTCCTCATCTTCAGGAACACAATATTTCCATTCTTTTTAGTTTTGACTACTCTAGTAGATGTAAATGCCCTCTCTTGATGGTTTTAATTTACATTTTCTTGACTACAAATGGGGCTCTCTCTTCATTTGTTTATTTGCCTTTTATCATTTCCTCTTCTGTGAAATTTTGATGCCTGTCTTTTGACCTTTTTCTTTTCTTACTGGGTTGTTTTCCTTTACTTTTTTCTAACTTTTATTATGACAGTTTTAACTTTTTCCAGACATACTGAACATAGGACAGTGAGGTTTTCTTAATATCTCAACTTGGGTCACATAGTTGTTAACATTTTATCATACATCTTTCACTCAGTCATTTGAAAATAAGTTGAAGATGTTACTATTATCCTCCCTAAATACTTCAGCGTATGTATCCTAAGAAGAAAGATATTTTCCTATGTCACCAAAGTGCCATTATTACACCTAAGCAAATAAACAATTCAATTATAGTTTATATACAGTGCATTTTCAAAGTTCCCTAGTGCCCCAAGAATTACTTTTTAGCTATAATTTTTTTGAACTATGATCCAACCAAGGTTTATGTATTGCTTTTAGTTATTTTTTTTTTTTTAGTGTCTTTTATTCCTCTTATTTTTTTCTTACCATTAATTTTATGATGAGTCCAGGTTGATTTTCATGTGAAGAACTTTGTTAAAACACATTCAAACCCTTTTCCTGCGTGCCGTTCTTCCTGTTTTTACCCCTCTCCCTAATTCCTTTTTCACAGTCCCCTTTGCCCTCTTCAACTTCCTAAATTCCCAGTCATTTTTCTCCCACTGAAAACTGGGATTGTCCAGAGCCCAGCCCTTGGGCCTCTTCAGTTCCGTGTGTGATCACACGGTCTCGTGTCTCTAAATACGGGGCGGGGCAAAGATAAATGTACAGTTGTGAATACACAAAACACAGAATGTACTCTCCTATTATTATTTATTAACTATTGTGTTATTTTCTATATGAACAACTGTAAACCTACTTTGCCCCACTCTGTATAATCTATATGCTAATAGCTCCCAAATTTGTATCTCCAGTTCTGACCCTTTCCCTGTATCACAGACTTAGCCAAATTTCTACTTAGAAAAATTGTGGACTGAAAAAAATTGATTTTTTTCACAGCTGTATCCCCTGTGCCCATTATAGGGCTTGACACAGAGTTGGAGTTCCGTCAATGTTTGTTGAATGGATCATGCATTCACAAATTTTTTAAAATGAAGACATTACTTTTAACCAGGGCCATGGCATTTAAGCTAAATTAGGTTTTTGGATTCGTGGTGTGAGGGGGAGGAGTATTCTGGAAAATGTGATTTGGGCAAGAGCAAGGCATTTTTGATATTATACTTGTTGCTCTAACTTTTTTTCTTCACTTCATGAAAATTTCTGTTAGGTATCCAAATAAGCTACATCCTATAAAAATATGATTCTAAGGATTTTGTCATATTAATAATAAGCACTTAGTTTAATGCCTGGTCTGTGATAGATGCTTATCAGAACTATTTTCTAGAGTAGCACTGTTAAACAGATGTTTTATAAGCACAGCCAGTTCTCACTATTCGTAGCAATTACTTTGTTTAAAGTCATCATGAACGTGGAATTGGTAAACACCAAACCATGCCATCTAGGGGAACTAGAGTTAGGTTCCTCTGAGCCTCTGGTCACAGCGTCATCATCCACCAATCAATACATAGCCTTGTTTTATGTGTCTTTGCGTTTAAAGACACGTTATTTAATGAATACAGTTTTGATTCTTTAACATTGAACTCATGGCCAACAGCACTATAGCTCCTGCCTGATCTAATACATGTATTTTCTCTGCAAGGCACCTCACAGCCTCTTGCACTTAAGAACATTAGAGCACTTCAGCCTCAGTCTTCAGGGATATTTTAAACAATGAAGTCACTAATTAAAATCATAAAAATGCCAAGAAACCTGGCATAAATAGACCACCAAACAACACTTGTTTATAATACAAGAGCTGAGAGAAGACAGCAGAGCATCCCTTGGTGCAGCCTTTGCAGGAAACATGTGCCTTAAGCTTCTCAGTTTTTGCCGCTCTGTGCGCGTCCTGAACAACAAGGAAAGCTTTGCAAGTACTGATGTGGGGATTACCAATACATTTTAGAGGGAAGGCTGATTCGCAGTATGGAGTCTGTGAATAAGGAGGAGCAACTGTATGTTGAAAGTAAAAGAGTGATCGGCGGACTTATGCTTAACTAATTGTAAATCTCCTTACTTTAAAATTTTCTCTTGCCCTGGCTGGTGTGGCTCAGTGGATTGAGTGCCAGCCTGCAGACTGAAAGGTCACCGGTTCGATCCCAGTCCAGGCACAAGCCTGGGTTGTGGGCCAGGTCCCCAGTTGGGGGCATGTGAAAGGCAACTGATTGATGTATCTCTTGCACATAGATGTTTCTTACCCTCTCTTTCTCGCTCCTTTCCCTCCTTCTAAAAATAAATAAATAAAATCTTTAAAAATATCTCTCTCTTTGGCAGATCAGTAGAATGCCATAGGCATAGAATACCAATTCATAGGATTTTTTTTTTAATTCTTCAGGACTTTACATAGTTTGTTTAACTGCCTCGTTGATAAATGAGGAAGCTAAAATCGGAAGAATAAAATGACTTTCCCACTGTTGCTCAGCTACATTATGGTAGGTCTGGTACTAGCACCCAGGCTCCTGTTCCTCATAACAGAAACCATGAATTCCTCTGGCATTGTGATTCTTAGCCACATACTCTGTGTTTTCCTTCTAACTCCATTTTTCCTTAGTAGTGATAGCAACAAGGTGATACACAAGATCTCTTAGGTTGTCTTTGTAAAAACACAAATGATGCAAAATTTGGGGAAAAAGTGGAATGAGTAGTTGTCACCTAATTTCCTTCTTAAGGTGTAGTACTTAGCTGTCCACTCCTTAAAGTTCAGCTTCCTTACCGGCAGGCCAGTGTTGCAGAAGCCTCCCTCAGTCCTGGTGTGCGGGTACGCATTCTGCTTGCCCACCGAAGTGCGTTTGTGGCTGCCGGTCAGGTCATCCTCTCCTGGGCATGGAGAGTAGCTTTTCTACGAAAGTAGAAATTTACATTTGGAAGTCTGAATTTGTATTTTGGTTTCACACTAAATATATATATATATATATATATATATATATATATATATATAATATATAACATATCAGCAAAACTTGTCCTGTCCACAAGATGTCACTAAAACCAAAACTTAAAGGAAGCAATTTTCAGTTTATAGGTATGTTGTGTGTTTATTTCTAACATTGACTGGTTTAACCAGTACTTATTTAATATATATAATTTGCTTATAATTACTGTGAACATGTTTATTTGAAAATTGACATTCAATTTCCCAGGAAAATAGTATTATAAATGATGGCCATGTATCCAGGAGCGGCTATAGAAGTTAACCAATAAGGTATCTGAACGGAGCATATATGATATTTGAACTACTTTATAGGTCCAATGGACTTTGTGAAGAGTTGTGGAAAACCATTTTTCCATTTACAAGGTTTATTTTGTTTGTTCGTTTGGTTTTTTAAGAAAAATATGTGCTGAGTCAAGATGGAAATTATGTGGAACTAGGAAGAGAATTCCCTCCTCCTTCTAATTAGAGCTATCCTTCTGAATTTGGGACTTGGGAGCTTTCTGAACATGAGCCTTTTTCACTGATTAATGAAAAGAAAGGGCACATGGTGGTGGTTGGATTTTGACTACTAGCATACCAAATAATGCACAAAGTTTAGATTAGATCTACTTTAATCATTAGTATTCTGTCTTGTATTATTTATTACATCTTTTAAGGACTTGATAGAAAAAATGTTTATGATGCTCTTTTTTTTTTAAGGTTTTATTTATTTATTTTTAGAGAGAGGGGAAGGGAGGGAGAAAGAGAGGGAGAGAAACATCAGTGTGTGGTTGCCTCTCGTGCACCCCCTACGGGGACCTGGCCCGCAACCCAGGCATGTGCCCTGACTGGGAATAAGAACCAGCAACCCTTTGGTTCACAGGCCAGCACTCAATCCACTGAGCTACATCAGCCAGGGTTATGATGCTCTTCTTAAAGTTACCCAGTTTGCATAGTTTTCAAGTGTCAGCCTATTTCAAATGTTAATTATTACATTATTTTAATTTTGCAATCTAATTTGGTAAATAAATTTGGCTTCAACACAAAATTAAATACTCCATTTTCCCTCTAAATAGGTGTCATGGAAAGAGCCTAAACAGGGTTTAAGTAACTTGGTATGTGAGCTTTTGGCAAATCACTTAGTCTTAATGGGCCTTAGCTTCTTCAGCTGCAAATGTCCGGATGAAAGCTAAGGTAGTTCAGCATTCTTTGAAACTATATAGATATCTTGTCACCCTCTTCATTCATTATTCTGGTTTATTTGCCCCCAACTGCCTTAGTAGTCGACTGTGAGTCACTTTGAGGAACTTCACTCACTTAATTCTCCAAATACTGTTAAACTATTTATTTTCAACACATTAACAGTGAGCTTCCCAGGTTATGTCTTCATACCTCTGACTCCCTTTCACTCCAGTAAGGAAAACCCACTTGCTCTATCCTCTTTTCTTGACCTTTGTCCTGTATAGATGATCAACTTCTCTCGGTAAATTTTGTCATTCAGCTTCTAAGCTCTGGATAGAATCACAATGTAATCTTTAGTTTTTATATACTGTGTTTGTTTATACTCTTGTTTCAGTGGTGTTTTTCTTAAATAACTAAACTTCTAGAATCTTTTGAAATTTATTTTTCTATAGGTAGAATAGGCATTTAATAAATGTTTCTGATTACCTGACTTTGTCATCTATAGTAACTCATTTGAAAACTTACATGTTTACTTTTGTGGGTTTTGGTGGGGTTTTGTTTTGGTTTGGTTTTTGTTTTTTGTTTTTTATTTTTGGGGGGGTGTGTGTGTGTGTGTGTGTGTGTGTTTAGATGAACAGCCAAACTTAGGGGTATTTTTCACTGGAGAAATCAATCAAATGCATATATTTTAATTTTCAGGTCATCCCATCCTGTCTGATATGTATATAGTCATAGTTGAGAGTGGCAGTTTAAATTTAACTACTTAAATGTGGTTGGAAAAAACCTTGGGTTAGTACTTAAGCATAAGATCATAGTATTCTATTGTTCTCTAAATTTGAGAATAATAAATTGTGATGTTTTACATTTGTTTTCAATTTACCTGTTGGCAAAACATACTTTTTTATAACTATATGCATATTGTTTTCATTTTCTCTTCTGTTTTTAAGGGAAAATTTATATTAGATATTTAAAGCATACTTAATATAAACATTTTTAATGATGTATAATTATTAATAGGAAGATATGATAGAAATAACAGTAGTTTGCCTTTAAAGATGTATTGTTGGTATTGGCCTCTTTTCCAAATTCTCTTCTACCTTACAGTGCCGAGATTTTCCAAATGGCTAGCCAACTCTTTCTATACTTAGATGTTATACAAAGCAGTAACAGAAATCTGTTCAAGGCTTTTGATACGGCTCTGTGACTTTATATTTTTAATGTTTTGCTTAGACTTTGATAAGCTTTATAAAACCAAGGACACTTTTTCTTAAAGTCATGATTTTTCATATAAAAATCTCTTTTTCTTTTTAAATGTAGGTGACTGCGGTGATCATGTTGTCATAATTAACACAAGACACATTGCATTTTCTGGAAACAAATGGGAACAGAAAGTATACTCTTCACATACTGGGTAAGACAGTGCTGATGTCATGGAAGACAGGCAGTTGAAATGGATTGCCTTAATAACACCATTGACCTTATTTAAAAAGAAAAATTTACTTTCAAACTTTGGCATTTAAGAGAATACTGATTTTACTCATGCTACATAGATAAGTTACTCAATCAAAAAAACACAAACCTGAATCAAATCTTAGTTTTTAACTGACAATATTTGTGTTCCTGGAAACTTTTCACATAAACCCCTCTGATCAAGATTATTCTCATTTTTAGTCGGTCTTCTCACTTCCTTCTTTCAGCTTCCTATAGTGCATCTACTATTTCCAGACCCATCCTGAATGCCTGAAAGTACAGGGTCTGGCACAAATAATGCCTCTTTTTTTATTACAAAATCTTATATTACAAAATCATAAGCATGTAATTCTGTAACATAACAATATCACACCCAAGCACACCATATAACATTTTAGGCAAAATGTTCAAATTGCTCTTCATCTCGTGCAAGACATTCACATACCCTACCAACCACATTCAAGCAGGCGTTACTTCTCAGATGTTTTAGTGGTTAAGTTTGGAAGATACCTAAAATCTCTACAACATACCTTTCAAATTATAGGTCTTTCTGCCTATGTTTAAATAAACCAGTCTCATAGTTCATAAGGCATCCCATTCATTCCACATTTGAAATGGTCTAAATTTTAGTAAGGTTTTTATGCTATTGAGTCACAATCTGTTTCTCTCTAGCTTTCACATTGGTCTTATTTCTTCTCTTTGGGACAGTGTAAAATAACTCTATTTCTTCCACATAACATTCTCCAGCTAATTTTGAGACCGTGATCAGCAAGTGCGCACTGGTTTGTCTTCTCCCAAGGCTCTCAGCGCCTGTGGTTCCCTCAGAGTTCTTTGTATGGCTTCACTTCAGGTATCCTCCATATATTTTGGTCAATCTTTTCTAGATGCAATCACTGGTTTTTGTTTCTCTGTTCCAGTTGACTCTTGACTTACACTTTGTACATACTACTTTTACTATGCTCCTAATAATTGTATTGCAATTATACATTCAGCATTTATCTCATTGTAAAAGTTTTAGTGTGTGTTAATACTAGGAAATACAGAGATGTTTAAAGAAGGAACTAAAAATCACCCTTTATCCTCTGACTCAACATTTTGATGTACGTATATAAGTTTTTATCTTTCAGTATCCTTCTTAACTAAATACACCCACCTGGTTGTATTCTGATGGTTTTGCAATATAATGTGACCTCTCCATCTCTCAGCTACTCCGGCTTCTACTACAATAGAACTTTCTTCCAAGGCCATATGACTATGTGACCCGCTGAGTTCACTATTGGCTGAAAGTCCTAAGTCTTTTTCAAACATGCTGCTGTTCAACCATGTCTCCTCCTTTCTGGGTATTTTAGTTGTGTTTTCCTCCAACCCCAGTGCCTTAAGTTTACTCCACATTAAGTTTCATCTCTAGCCTTTTAAGATCTTTTAAGATCTTGATTCTGTCACATAATGTGCTAGTTAGCCGCTCATCTTCCAGGCGTGGACAAATTTTAATTAAACATACCTTCTGCACTGTTGTGAATATGGTTAGAAGTGCTGATCTTTCATTCTTGATCAAAATGATTCTTCTACCAATTGCGTCTGTGTCTCAGATAAGTAGACCTTGATGTTCGCATCTTGCATCTTTACATCTCTCCCCCCAGCAGGTCTTAAATGCTTGGAATAACTTTTTCCTTCCTTTAACCAACCTTTGCCCATTCCTCCACTTAAACATATTCATGAAATCTTTATTTAAGTTCACAAAAATAAAGTCACATCTATCTTTAGTAATTTCCGCTATTGGCAAATCTCTACATACAAACCAAGTTCTATAAAATGTAGGGTAATTGGGAAAGAAACATGAAAAGTCAGGATAACGTGAAGTGATAAAAGCATAAAGGGAAGTACTGACAGAAAATACTAGGGTGATCCCTATACCCAAAATATCTGCAGTGTTTGTGCAAAGGAAGGAAAATAATAGCGCAGCCAGTAAGTAGTGAGCGGCCTGGGTCACGTGTTCCCCAGCCGGCGGCATCCGCTCACGCGGCTCGCTCTCTGCTATGGAGGAAAGTGCAAAGACCTTTCAGGTAACTGGCATCTACCTACCGCTACTGCTTCATAATCCTTCATTTTAGCCAACATAGTGCTACTTCTTACCTCTCTGCCTTGCATGTGTGGCTCTCCCTAAGACTCTTTCTCAAGAACCTGCCTATTTAGCCATTGACACCTGACTCAGGTGGCACCTTCTGTGCGCCGTCCCTATTTCCTCATCCCCCGTAGGGTTAATCGCTTCTTGTTCATCCGGCTCTGTAGACTCTTGACTTGCACTTTGTACATACTGCTTTTATTAAGCTCTCAATATGTTATTGCAATTATGTATTCAAAATTAACTTTCTAGTTATAAAAGTTTTAGTTCATGCTAATATTAGAAAATACAGAGAAATTTAAAGAAGGAACAAAAAAATCACCTTTCATCCTTTGAGTCAACATTTTAATATATATAAGTTTATACCATTTTTACTTAAGTTTTCCATTTTTAAGTATTTTCTGTCATAGTATGTAGTAGTGCATAATATAAGTTACCCTACTTAATCATTGCTCTATTTTTGAAATTAAAATTTTAACTTTTATAAAGAGCTGGAAAATAAGTCAGCTGAGCATTACATTACTCAAGTTGTTCCCTTACTCAGAATTTTACAGTAATGTTCCAAACTTTTTAGTATAAAGTCCAACTCCTGAAAAATAATGTAAATGGTATTGTGCTTTACAATTTGCCATCCGCTGTTAAAAATAAATCATCTTTAGTGTAGAAGGTGTGAAGTATTTCTTTCCATGGAGAGAAAGAATACAGGAATAGAAGTCTAGACAGGTATTTTTTTTTTTTCTGAAGATGAAATTCCATGAAACAAATGAAAGAATTTCAGTTTGAAAATTATGTCTTTCTCAGCAAAATTTTAAATTCGCTTTCTTAAATTTTATTCCTAAAAGATGGTTCTCTAAATTATCTTAAAATGTTTTTAATTCTTGTTGAAAAGAAACACATTTAGGTAATCTTAAACTTTTATTGCAGAGTTTCACTGATTTTACATTTTCTTTTTTCCTTCCTTGAAAATCATTTAGGCTTTATTCATTTATTCAGTATAATAAAACCTTATATGTGAATATTGTTTTTGTTTTAAATTTCCTAAGCACTTTCACATTTTCTCAATTGACTCATAAAAATCTTGAGGTAGATGGAGTAGACATTATCATTTTTCTTATGAGTAAATTCATATAAAGAGGTAAAAGGAGTTACCGAATATTATGCTGGTAGCCACTAGCATATCTAGATTCCAGACCTTAATCTGGGGTATCCAAGTTACTGAGCTGCCTCCAAAAGTATCCCAAATAAAATATATTTAGTAATCTCCAACTTATCCATTTTATATATAATTTTCATCTGAACACAATGAAATATTTCATTACTTAGAATCAACATATAACTCATAATAGGAAACAGGATCATGACCTGCTTAGAGTTTGAACTTAACTTCAGAACCAGGTGGCCTATGACTAATTTCCCCAAACCTGACCACTAGATTTTACAGACATTGTGTCTAAGTTGGCAGGGAATGTGAAACATTTTGGTCATTGCATTTTCTTTCTTAATTCAAGCAGTGATAAACCACCCCAGAATGAACGAGAATGAGTGCATAAATGAATGAATGATGAATAACTTTAATTTCAAATAGGAACATAAATAGTTATGCCAAGAAATTTTCCATGATGTGGAGCTTTTTGTGAAATAATGATAGTGACCACTTAGAGAATGGCATTTCGAAGAACGTAGGCTACTACGTAATTTTTAAGACAATAATGAATAGCAGCATAGTTCCAGAAACAAGTATAATTTTATAATAAAAATAGTTTTTCTATTATAAAAGAATATTGAAGAATACTGTACCATAGCCTACTCCCAGCTTTAATGTCTTGTGCTTCTTTTACTAGGTACCCAGGTGGGTTTAAACAAGTAACAGCCGCCCATCTTCACCAGAAGGATCCCGTGGCTGTGAGTCTGTTTGGTTTGTTATTACTTTTATCGGTGGGAAGACGGTTCAGACACTGCTTTTTCAATTCTTTTCCTCTTTTAATGTAGCTAGGATTCAAAGCTCTAACTTCTTCACTTTCACTGTACCACACAGCTTTGATAAGTATTATTTCATTATCATTCAGTTCTACGTATTTTAAAGTTACTTTTTAATATGTTTTACATTGAGCGAAAGAATTTTGATGCTTTAAAAAAAAAAAATTCTTGATGCCAGCATGATCACCTAAAATACAGTGTTTGCTGTAAATGTCTTGGGAAAAATTGGGGGGAGGCGGGGGAGGGGCGGGGGTGTGTATCCATTGCAGATATGCTAAATATGTTATTTCAATCTTACATTCTTTTGAAAAAAGACTTTATTTATTTATTTTAGACAGAGGAGAAGGGAGGGAGAAAGAGAGGGAGAGAAACATCTATGTGCGACAGAAACATCAGTTTGTGGTTGCCTCTCGCACGCCCCCAACCAGGGACCTGGCCCACAACCCAGGCCTGTGCCCTGACCAGAAATCGAACCGCCCAATTCACTGAGCCACATCAGCGAGGGCTCCAGTCTTATATTCTTTCTTCCTTTTTTGTTCACTTGATTATTGATTACTTAAAAGAGCTATATTAATATTTCAGTTGTGGGTTTGCTATTTTTTTTCCTTGTAATTCTCTCAGTTTTTGTTTTGTATGTCTTGAAGATTTAGCGTTACCTAAATTTAAGTTTTGAATTATAATCTTGCTAATTAATCAATCAGGGTGTGCACTGACCCTCTTTATCATGCATATCTGTTTTACAAAAACATACTCAGATTCTTCTTAAGAAATATTTAATACCTGTTTCATAACTCGTGTGTTGTTAGACTATTACAGGTCAAATATAGCATCCTATTTGGACTGTTAATAGGGATTGCATTTACTAGTATTAAAACGTTGTAAGGGCTGCTGATAATGTATACCATAACTGTTAGAACAAAGTTTTAATATTAAAAGGTTTTTAAAATTCAAGCTTATGTTTTATTCAGGCATGCTCTCTGTACACCAGGAGGCAGCAGAGTCCAAATTTTCAATGTTAAGAATTTGGCATTGAGTAGCATTGTAGTCATTGTTTCCCCTTTTTTTAATAAAGAAAGAAAGAAATGTTTGATGGAGGCTTGCAAAACATTTCAGAGTTAAATGCATTTGAATTATTACCTCTTAAAAAGATCGTAATTTTTCAAAAGTCTTCATTTCGACTCTGTGTTTTGAAAAAGCATGGCGTGGCAAGGAGTGGGCCAGTTATCCGACTCGCCCTGTGTGCGTGTCTGCGGCGGTGGGTTTCTGCCGGCAGACAGCGCGCAGCTCAGCACGTCGTGCGTGTGCCTCGTAGGGGAATTTGTTTCCTAATGCATTCTTCTGGTCATTAGCACAGTCTTGGAATATTATTTGTGAGGTGCATAATTAATAAATCTTCAGTTATCAGTAGGTTATTAAATATTTCAAAATTTACATAGATGATTAAGTCTAAACTCAAATAATATATTGATTCAGACCTCTCCTTTTATCCTTTATCCCTTTGTCATATAGTTTAAGAGTTTCTGCATCCTTACATTTTTCTTCTAACGTGGTTCTTATGTTTCTCCGAACCCTCTTATAATTAGTCAATAAAGTTATTTTGCATGAATTATATGGCACATGCCCTGGGTTACCAAATGTCTGAGGAGGGTCTTTAATATTTCTTAACTCACCTTGTTTTACCTTCCTTGCTTTTTGAATTCCTTAAAGCGTATGCTTAAGTCTGTACAGGTAGAATTATTACTTGATTGTATGTGTATGTTTTATCATATTTATTCGGGGATATATATGTTTGTATATCTGACTTTTTCTCTCCCCTAACAGCTTGTAACCTTTGCACATTTTGTTGCTTTTCCTAATTTGACTTAAGTTTGCATTTTTTTTAATAGGGTATATTTTTAAAATACCAGTTTGTTAATTCAGATACAACTAAATTTTTTTAGAACATGTAAACCAGATCCCATGTAATCTCACTAATGGAATAAAACTGCTAAAAGGATGATTTTCAGAGGATTAACGACTCCTTATCCGGAAAAGATGTTGAGTAGTCCTAACATGGTCAGCTCTACTTAAGACTTTTTAAAACATTAAAAATTCTAAAGACTAATTCTGAGATCAGTGCTGTTCAGTAGAAGCCTCTACCGTGATGGAAATGGGCTCTGTCTCCACACTCAGATACAGTAACCAGCCACCACGCGTGGCACCTGACTACGTGAAAAGTGGCTGTGTGACGGAGGAACTGAGTTCTGTGGCTTTTAGTTTTAACAATTCAGATTTATCCTTAAATATGCCTCCAGCGCATAAAGTATTGACAGCACTAACCTGGAAAACAGATGGAAAAGATAATATGAGATATCATTAGCTTGCCTGTGCTGAAAGGTTTTGATGAGAAAATAAAAGAAATAGGAAATTCTTTTATAGGGCAACGCCGTTCTGACATGCATTGTGTAAGGACATTTAGCTTTAATACATGTGAAATTATATTTTTGAAATGTGAGTAATTCTCTCAGTTTTTGTTTTGTATGTTTTGAAGATTTAGCGTTACCTAAATTTAAGTTTTGAATTATAATCTTGCTAATTAATCAATCAGGGTGTGCACTGACCCTCTTTATCATGCATATCTGTTTTACAAAAACATACTCAGATTCTTCTTAAGAAATATTTAATACCTGTTTCATAACTCGTGTGTTGTTAGACTATTACAGGTCAAATATAGCAGATGATAAAAATCTATGTAGCCCTCCAAGTGTCTCTGTCAGTAGTTTTATGAAGGGATCACCACGTATCTGTATGCACTATAGGCCATATCGGTAATGGGTTTGGTCGAGAGAAGGGACTTCGTCTTGAGAAGCTGTGGAGAGGAACACACAGCGGGTGCGATTGCACGGACTGTGTGTCTGTCGCGGGTTAGACTGCCGGGTTTGGGCTCACGCGGGAACACGTCCTAGATACATGACGCTGGGGCAGTTCTGTAGTCTCACTAAATCTGCTTTTCTTAGCTGTGCCAATGAGACTCAGAGTTGTAAACAAGATACTAAATGTAAGGCTGCACTGACCGTTATACACATAGCAAGTTTTCAATGAATGTTAACTGTTACCACTGTTGTGGATTTGTGGCCTCTCGAGTCAGTCTCGTGGCTGTAGGATGGGGCCTAGTTTTTGAGTTGGAAACCTGATGTCCCATTGGAAGAAACGGGATGAAGGCCTCCAATTTCTGCTCTGTTCACTGCCTGATAGATTTATTTGAGCCACAGGTGCTTGTCAAAGCTTAGAAAATTTCTTCTTCATCTAGCTAAAATTGGCACATATATAGGTTATTTTTAATCTCTTCTTTTTGTCCTTGTTCTAAATGAAAATAGACAAATGGAGGCAAAAGAAAATAGAAATGTATAAAATAATAAAAGTTCCTTTTCCTTTGCTGCCACATATCTGCTCAGGTCTCAGTTTCTTTCCCTTCATATTCCTTTTGAGGTTTAGCCCACTTGTTTTCTTCACTCTTGCTAATTATATCTGCCTTCTTTATATCACATCATATTTTTATTTTATTGGGTCCTCTCTATATGTTTTCCAGATTGTAAAACTAGCTATTTATGGCATGCTACCAAAAAACCTTCACAGAAGGACTATGATGCAGAGGTTGCATCTTTTCCCTGATGAGGTAAGTCAGTGGTCAATGGTAATGATGCTTTTCCTAAATTTTCAATTAAATGCTTTCTCACCTTTTAAAATAATTGCCACACTTATTTTCATAATTTCACGTCAACCTCTGAAAACTTTTCCGTATTTTATAGTGAGCTCACTATACTAACAATTGCTCTTATTTCAAATCATAAAGTAAGCTATTACTGGGCTAAAGATTAAAAGTCTATTAATTCTTGGGGGTTTTTTTTTCATTTTAATGAAATGTACTGCTTTTTTTGAACAAGGAACTGTAATCAGAGCTCCTGATAAATTGAGGGTACTCGTTAATGATGTCATCCACTATAAATACAAACTATGCATTTAATTTACATTGTATCTGACCAGTAGTAAAAATTCTATGAATCATGGGTTATTAACAACTTAGGTTTGGTTACTAATTAGGTCCCATGGTTTAACTTTAGGATATACGTCCCTACTCAAAAGTATTCATCTAAAAAGTACTTGGAAAAAAGTACAAACATTTGTATTTATTACTGTTATACTGTTTTAAGTATTTAGCTTTTCTCTTTAGTACCATATAATGTAACACTAGAGGTTCTGTAATAAAATAATTGGTTCCAGGCTCTGGAATTAGACCATCTGGATTAAGATCCATGCCCCACCATTTACTGACTTTATGGCCATGGACTAGTTACTTATTATCTTTTCTCATATGTGAAATGGGTGTAATAATAATAACTACTGCATAAGGCTGTTGTAAGAGTTAAATGAAGACGACATTTATAGAGCGCTTAGGTCAGGGCTTGGCACAGTAAGTGCTGGTTGCTGTCATTACCATGGTTATGATGATCGTCCTCATAGTTCCTACTAGAGGAGTAATGTAGAAATTCATTCCAAAACATTAAGTCACACCCAGTATTCAAGCCACTGTGTGCTCTGCTGTTAGCATGAACAACACAAGTAAACTATTCGTGCTTTAATGAAAATGGTTAACTTCCTGCCTTTGCTTTGTATGAATAAGTAAAATAATTTCCACTACTCACTTTCCCTGGAGGTACCAAGTACAGGAGCATTGTCATCAAAGTATAAATGGCCTTCATGAAATCACTAGAATTTAAAAACTTTTGTTTCTGATAACTTTTTTATGAACCGTAATTTCTAAAAGACACAAACTATTTATCCCAGTTTTAAGGTAGTCAGGTTTGAGTGCAGATGTTTTAAGTGTTCGTGGTAGTTTAGCTGAACAGCAAATTACTTAAATAATTTCAGACTGTGAAGCAGCCCATTCTCCTGAGAATGGATCGTTAAACATTCAGAAGCTTGACTACGCTTTTCATTGTCGAGGCCACTGGGAGACAGGCCCTCGTGTGTCGCTCGTGGACGTTCACGATGGTGCGACCCCTGAGGAGTCTGGCAGTTGGGAGACAGTAGACAGGACGCACACATCAGGAGGTTCCTGCTCGGCCCAGCTGTCTCACGTAGAGCAGTGTAGTTGGAAAATGTGCAAGATTTTTTATATATATTATTTATTGTAATAAAATAATAGAAATAAGTGTTTATTCATAGGAAATTGGATAAACTGTGATAGCCACTCAACTAAGTATTATGCAATTGTAAAAATAGAATGACAAATATTGCTGTGACTTGATAAGTCCTGTTTTTTCCAGGGTATATTGTTAAACCAAAAAAAAAAGTGAGAATTCCTACCTATGTTTACATACATATATACTATATCTGCCTCTTTTTGCATAAAGAAATACAGGAAGAATAGATGAGAAAATGAAGTTGGCTACTTGTGCGTGGGCACAAAGAGTTGGAAGGAGTAGAGAAAAGAATGCAATTTTTTTTTCTTTTTGGAGAGAATACCTTCTAAGTTTTTTTTTACCTTTTTATTTTAAGATTTTATATATTCATATAATTAAGTGACAGCATGAACAGAAGTTAGCACAACCGTGCCTGGATCTTGTTTTCTAAATGCTGTTCCCTGATCAAAGGAACCTGGTTCTCCCTAGGAAAATGGTTGATTCTGGGTAGGATGCAGAAAAACAACAAAGTTATTACAGAGTATACTTAGGCAAGCAGTAAAATATTAAGTAACAGAAAGTAAGGCAGTGCTCAAACACTAACAGAGGTACATCAAAAGAACATAGGAGGCAGCTTGACTTGGTGCCCACTGACCGCATATGGGGCTGTGTTCACCTTAAAATGAATAGTGATAATAATGGACTATGTTGAATAGAAAACAAAAATCTATGAGCCCACAGTGAGAGTCTTCATGTATTTTTAACTTGTTATAATTTGTCACCTTCTCTCTGGAAAAAGAAAAGCTCTTCTCTAGAGAAGAATGTCATCTAAAAATGTAGGAATAATACTGAATTAGAAAAGTGACCATTTTCAGCATATTCTACCGTCCTCAGGTAAAAGCTTAGGGTATTTATAGAACGGGACATTGACAGTTTCAAAACATCCTGCCACAGAACACTTCCTTTGTGCTCTGAAAAAACGCTTTTGCGTTACAGATATCTGGTAGACAGTCATGAACCACAACCAAGAGATCAAATGTACCGTCAATGTGGACAGACTGACATCACTTTTTTTTTTGGAGCGTGGATTACAAGCCTATGGCACCGGAAACAGTAGGCCCAGAACATACATCCAGCAAGTGCAGAATCATGAGAATGAGCCATGGCGGTGCCTTTTTTTTTTTTTTTTTTTTTTTTTTTGCAGTTGGAAGGAGGAGAATAAATTAAACAGCATTTTTAAAAAAAACATAGTGACTTAATAGTTTTCAGAATTGAAGACATCTAATTTATCCTGAGAACTGTGTTTTTCAAGATTGCAATGTGATGTGTTTTACTGTACAGAGATTTCTTATTGATCTAACATACTTTTCAGAGATTTTTTCAAAGTTTATATTTTTCCTCATTTTATAAATACTGCTTTTGTTTATTATTTTTAACACTCACAATGTATTACTAATTTAGTACTAAGGAATACACTTTAAGAAGATTAAGCCTAAATTTGTATTTAATCCAGAGTGTACCAGAAGACATTCTTAAGAATTTAGTGGAAGAGCTGCCACAACCACGAAAGGTCCCCAAACGCCTGGATGAATACACGCAAGAGGAAATAGAGGCCTTCCCCAGACTGTGGTCTCCGTAAGTCTTTCTCTTTCCTGCCTTTGTGTTGAGGTGTTTGTTTTTTAAGCCGAGTTCAGTATCCCTTCTTTCCTTAAATGATAAGGCCCTCAAGGTGGAAAGACTGGATTCTATTTGACTTCTTTCAATACTCTGTTCAGCTTCGACATGCAAATAAACTCTACATGTTGATAGTTGAACCCAAAGTCTCTAAATCTTAAGAGCTTGCTGGGTAAGTGCAAGGGTGTCCATAGGTGACTCTAATTGCCAGATATTTTGTTTGGGGTGACATTACTTGGATTACTTGTATTTTCTTAGAATGATAAATAAATTGTCATTACCTCAAACAAAGTGATTTTCCATTTTCCGGATTGTTTCACCAAGCTGAGAGTATTATCTAATGAAAAGGCATTCATTCTGGATACTTACAGATAGTGTTTATCCAAATTGAAAAACAACAGTTTCCTCTCCTCTGTACAGTTCCCTCTACCTGGGGTCTGGGAAGTGGCTCAGATTGGACATATCGTCTCTCATCTAACTGTTACTAATTCTTTGCCTGGCCTACCAGGCTTTCCATGGCCTGGCTCCTCCCTCTCTCTTCAGCTTCTATTCTTCCCACTGCACTGCCCTGTTCCAACAATAGCAGACTGTTTAAGGTTGGCAGTCTTTCTAAGCAATTTAACTCTTCCTTGCCCTTGTTCTGCTATTACTTCTGCATAAAATAAGTTGCTCACCATAATCATCTGGGATAAGTCTTGCTCATTCTTTAGACCCTAGATCAGATGTCATCTCTTTTAAGAAGGCTTGCCTAAATATCAGGGCCAGGCTCAGCCCAGCCGTCTTCTCCTGTGGCACGTGCTGTGGAACGCTGTCATCGCCACATTTAGCTCTTCAAGAGCAAGGCTGAGCCTTGTTCATTGTTGCATCCCCAGTGCCTAGACCAGTGCTTCACGTTGGAGAGCCTCAAATGTTTATAGAACGTACACAGTCTAGAGAGAACCACACATCCTCATAGCTTGACCTACATAAGGCAATGAATCTTCAAATAGATAATGCCCTCTGTACTCTGAAAATCCCATCCCTTTATTGGCTCTTTGGCTAAATAGGTTTGTGAAAATCTAAGCCCTCCCAGGATTGGCTTATGTCAAGGACTCTAATCTTTGACTCTTATTATTGCCTGTATATTTATATCTTCAGACTCTCTCCACACAGGAGAAGTATTTAGGGTATTTTGTTTTAATCGCTTTGACTTTGCTGACTTGTGTCAAGGTTCTCCTTTACTAAATCTGCAAATGATGAGTAAAATGAGAGTATCAGAGATCACTTATTGAGCGCTTTCCAGTTGCTCAGTGCTGTGCTGGTGGTTTCCATGCATTGTAGCCAATCCTTTCTACAGGCCAATAAGATAAGTATGTTATTCCTATTTTTAAGAGTAAGTCAAGGAGCAGCTGGTTTGTAGTACAGCCTGGATTTGAACCTGTCTGATTGCAAAGCCTATGGTCTTTCCACAAAAATTACCATTAAAGAAATTATTTAATTAGATTTCGTTTATTTCGTTCTAGCTCCTAACTAGGTCAGGTCATGGTCCTCACCCCTCTGCTGGAGTGTCTCTTGTTGCCTCTTGTATCTTACATAAATGTACCTCAGTCATATGAAGTTCTCAAATAGTCTGCTTTAGTAAGTTATATCCTAAAAATGTATTCTGAGTAGTCCCTCAAGTTGTGGTAGGTTACTGTGCTGTACAGAGTTCTGTAAATCTAAGCATGTTGTACCTGATTGTCTTATAGAAACATCATCATGAATGCATTTATATACCTAACAAGAGGGGAGTGGTCCTTTTTGTTTAACTAGAAATACCAGAGGTGTTATTTAATCAAATAAGTTGTCAAATACACATTATGCCTCTAGAGTTATATATTATGAATATTCTAAAGTATGTTCTAAATCAGGTACACCAGGCAGTGTAGTAATATAATAACAATTTCCACCAATTATATTTAATATTATAGTCAAAGAATACTACTGAAAATGCTCATTTTACTAAGTGATTCCTCTTCACTTAAAACTGATTAGGAAAGCAACTGAGTACCTTTATTATATTGATGGAATTAGAAAAGGCTTTCCTATAATTATTTGTAAATAGACTTTTAGAAAAACTTAGAACCTTTCATGCACTTTTAGTTACTACTCTGGGAAGGGGTTTCCTTGCCCTTTCTCTTCATTCCAGATTTTCCTGTAGCAGCGACATGTGTCAGACGCCAGGCTTCCCTTTTTGCTCCTAAAGTGTGGTGGTCTTTCCTCGCAAGTAGCCCCGCAAGAGGCAGTGTGAGGCAAAAGTAGGTTTACAGTTGTGAGTACACAAAACAGAGTCTATTCTTGTACTGTTATTTATTGTATTATTTTCCATACGAGCAACTGTGAACCTGCTTTTGCTGCAGCCTGTATATGAACTTGTGTTCCCACAATCATCAGGTGTGTATACACTTACTGAAATTTGAGGATATAACATGATATACCTGTAGTAATTTTTAAGCATAAATCATTTAACATTTTATTATTCTGCACATTAGCGCTAATATCAAGTCTAGTTGGTTTTTATTACCATGGAAAACATGCGGTGAGGGAAAAAAATATGCATTTTTGGTTTAACCAAAAATTTGTTATCTAATAAACAGATGATCTTTTAGTTCAGGACTATGTAACAGAACTTTCTGCAGTGATGAAAAATCTCTACATCAGAGCTGTCTAATGTAGCAGCTGTTGGCCACATTTGGCTCTTGAGTACTTACACCGAGCTAGTATGACTAAGGAACTGAATATTTAATCATATATACCTTTAATTAAGTTAAATTTCAGTAACCTCATGTGGCTACCTTAATGGACTATGCCATTTAGTTGTTTGCAATGTCATAAAATCTCAGTGTTAAATATTACACACATTAGAATTAGAATTAAAATATTTGAAGTACCATGCAATGCAATCCACTAAAAATAGGATTTCTTATCAATGCTACATTTGCTTTCAGGAGAAAAAAAAATTCTCCTCTTGAAGAAGGAACTTACTTAAATACACTTTCGTTCCACCCAGAATAGCTAAGCCAAGAATATATCCTTCTTTTGAGTGTAGTAGCTGGAATGTGTCCAAGAGCGTCCGATGGTGAATCTGCAGAGACTTGACTGCAACACAGGCACCTGGATGGCACCATAAATAAATAGACACAAAGATAGCTTGCTTTGGTTTTTGTTTCCCTGGCAATTAAACTGGAAATATGTTTATAATATAAAAATGTACATTTCGTCTTTGGAACTGTCATTAGCTTTTGATTAGAAATGAAATATTTGGTTAAATATTAGTTTTCTAATTAGAGACAAAAAGCTTTTGAGCAACTATAACAATTGTCAAACTTAAGATTTGAACCCAGTTAGTGATTGACAAAATTGTTTTAATCTTCATTAAAAGCTACTATTTTGGGCATTTTATTTAAATTATTTTAAATTACTTACAAAAGTTGTATTCTCTCAGGCGTAACTTTGCAGCATGTGTGTTTTTTTCTTAATGCCAGTTGTTTAGTCATTTTCAAAACTGGTAGAAAAGGCAAAGGTGATTTTTTTTAATGAGAAAACTATAAATATTTTTTATAACTGAAAACCATTTTCTCCTATGAGACATTGTGGCTGTAGAGAGAAAGGAAGGGGGAGAGAACGCTAAAGTGAGAAACACCGAAAGGTCGCCTTTCGCGTGCACCTGGACCAGGGTTCAGACCCACAACCAAGGCACGAGCCTGGGGCTCAGACCCGCCCCCTTGTGGTGTGTGGGATACTGCTTCAACCAACTGAGCCGCCTGGCCAGGGATTTACCTCACTTCTTAAATTAATGGATATACTTAGTATGTCAGTATTTTTTTTATATCTCATGGATATATAAATTGTATTATCACATGTTATGATATTTTGGGTTTCTTGGTGGTACGAAGTAGATGTGCATTTGCCATGTGTAACTGGTAATTGTAGGGTATATACTTAGAAATTATTTCTCTAAGAAAAAAGAGTAGCACTATCCTTTCTGCACAGTTCAGTTGTCTGAGATTATAGCTTTCAAATGGTTAACTTATTTTATTACTGTCAATAATTATTTCCATAATCATTGCAGTTTTGCCAACACATGACAAAACCACAATAATCATGGAAATTATAATGCTGGCACTGTATTGGAAACTTTTCATTATGTAGGTTAAAAATAAAACTTGGAGCATTTTAAACGCTTTTTCATTTTTTAAAAATTCTCTAGGAGAGCTTTTCTTAGTAAAAAACTAAGTATATGGAAATTTTCAACTTCAATTGCTTCACATTAGCCCCGGTGATAAAATAAAACCAAAAAAAAAGAAATGGATTTTTATTTCTAAACTGTTAAATCAGCAATGCTTTATTGTAAGCAAAACCCTCACTTTTGTACTGAATGGAGAAAGTTTCAGCATCAATAAATGCTGATAACGGACACTTACTATGAAATCCCTTGTTCCTGGTGTGAAGAGTTCGTTCTGGAGCGAGTGTGCCCTCAAGGGAGCCAGGGTGGCAACGAGGAAAGATGAGGCACAAGGACAACCACCGTCAGCCGGGAACTCTCTTTTCTGAGAGTAGGATTGGGGTTAGGGGTTTAATAGATGATACAGGCAGCTCCGTGAAAAGAAAAGAGGGTCCCAGGTGCCAGAGTGTGAGCACTGGAAAGGGGACATGGGGACCGACCTGGACTGCCTGGAGCTCTCGGAGACAGCAGGGATTTAAGCCCAGCGCCTGCCCTCTGATACAAAGCTATTACTCCTCAAAATTTACAGATTTCCAGTGTTAGTTAGGTTCATACCCAGGAAAAAAGCTATTTTTACCTATGCCTTCGTAAACTGTGCTTCAGATTAAAAGACTTAATTAAAGACACTGGAGAAGAATTTTTACATTTTCAAAGCCCATGAGGAGCTAGGATTAAGACATCTTCAAGATTTTCCATAATGTCATGCTAGTCTAGTCAT